CATTTTTTGTAACTTCTGTCTTATCTCAAAAATATATACATGAATTATTACCTGAACTGAGAGTTTATAAACTGCAATATTCACTGCGTAGTCAACACGCGCGTATAAATGTATTTTCCTCTTCAAAATACCCTTTAACATGTGTAGCGAAACGTCAATATGAAAATCGTTCATAGAAAAAAGGGCAGAGACAGAAACGGTTAAGTCAGCTACCATTTCAAGGTGTCGAATAATTTTCATACTAATATTTCAAAATATTCCATATCTGTAATAATTTCGAGTGGGCTCACGAAGGGGCGTGTCCACATCATTTCGTTTTATTACCCGTTAAATCTTATATATGCAACGTGTTCAAATGCTATGTCCATTTCCCAATACGTACTTCAGTATATTTATAGGTGATTGATCATCACACGAAACCTATAGCCTACATTTACCTATGACGTAACAAAAAGAAATCAATTTCCACACAAACTATCACTACGTGTCAATCAACAGTCGCTCGTTAAATCTGCGTGTCACGCTGTAGTCGCTTGTGATCGCCCAGCCTGCGCTCATCAAAACCAGGGCCCGGGGCCTCTATACAGGGAGTGGCTTGTGTAGATCTGCCCCGGGCTGCAACATATTCATGTCTGATATGGCCGGGGGATTCAGACTGACATCTATGCAGGTATACTGATTGATGTACTGATGCATAAATGAATAAACGCTGTGATGTTATTTGTGATAGCTGACTCTGAAAGGCAAAGCCCGTGGTTAGTGTTAAACCGGCATATAGACGTATTGCCTTCGTGTCTGCACAAGACGACCTTTGGGTGAAATGTCACGGTACAATTACAAATAGACAAACATCGAGTCAGTCTTTTGTTTAAAGTTATATCTCTGGTGACTCAGAGGCAGTCATCAAGTCAGACTAAAAGACTGCACTAGCTAAATTAACACGTGACTCAGACCGTCCAATTGATTTCTACCTATATCAACACTACAAAATCTTAACTAAAACTAACATGGAAAACGAACAATTTGTACGGGTAAAATATCTTGTTCTCCAACAATTTTTGTTACTTAGACCCTACATCGTAGCATGTACATGAAATGACTAGTTTCGATATATAATCGTTTGAATTACTTATTTGTTGTTTTTAATCCAGCTCTGAGCAACATTCAATCTGTATTACGGTAGTCTGTGGAGCCTATATGTTCAATTATCCTGTTAGTCGCCTCTTACGAAGCGCATGGTTTGCTGAAGACCAGTTCTAACGGGGTTAGAAATTATGATCCGTACAGACGCTATCAAGTCACACTTTCAACTATTTGTATGCGTACTGTTATTTCAAGGCTGTGGAAATTGAAATATAATCTCATCTCCATTCATACATACTACTGACTGACTGAGTTTGGGTTTACGCCGCTTTTAGCAATATTCCAGCAACATCACGGCGGGGGACACCAGAAATGGGCTTCACACATTGTACCCATGTGGGGAATCGAACCCGGGTTTTCGGCGTGACGAGCCAACGCTTTAACCACTAGGCTACCCCACCGCCCCTCATACATACTAACATGCAGGCGTGTCACATCGTAATTTCAGGCCCAATGACTCATTGAAGTTAATGGAATAAATTATTTTCATAACATTAATACTACGTTGAAGATCACTGTACATGTATATGATCAAACAGCAGGAAAAAACTCAAAGCTGGACGTTTTCCAGAAGAAATAATCATATTCAATAAAAGTGAAAAAAATATTTTTCCCACTATTTTGCATAAACGAAGCGAAATTTTTTTTCAAAGAAAAAGATATATCGTTTACTGAATAGGCTTGATGGCCTGAATAACATGTGTTTAAGACCGAAAAGATTGAATAAAACAATATCCACGACAACAGCTGCCGTGTTTAATGGTGTACGTGGCAACATAGTGTGACACGTGGTTAGTAAAATCAGTTATTTAGCATTGATGTATTGACTGAAGTTAAGCGAAGCACAAGCTGCGACGCTGTGTTGACAAACCCGTGTGTGCTTACAAGTTATGTTCACAGTGAAGTAGAATAGAAGCCAGTGTGTTGATCTTGCGTCTCAAATATCAATACTTCAACATATGTCAACATTTTACTGCTCTGTTGAACACATTTCATCCTATAGTTCTGGTAAGCTGTGTTTATGCGCTAAGTCCGGACTGTATATGAGTTATTTCACGGTTTTTTACTCGAAGACCGCCTCCGTGGTGTAGTGGTTAGAGCGTCCGCCCGGAGAGCGGAAGGTCGCGGAGTTCGATCCCCGACCGCGTCATACCAAAAGACGTTAAAATATGGTACTTGTTGGTCCCTGCCTGGCGCTCGGCATTACTGGGTACAACAAGGACTGGTCGGCTCGGAGTCAGTATAATGTGTCTGAGTGGGGTATTCATGCTTCACTGCGGCATGGTATCTCAGTGGGCTAGCACTATAAAACCAGCTTAAGTCTGGGCTAGTACAAGCAGCCGCACATACACACACATACGCATGCACGTCGTCATATGAGCGAAATATTCTCAAGCACGTTAAACCCAATTTCACCTCACCTCACCTTTTCACTCGAACACTCTCTATTCTGAAAAGAGTCTCTATTGGCCTGTAATATGTGTAGTCTCAGTGTATATCAGTCATATCACGGTTGGTTTTTGACTCGAGTACTTTGTGTTTTGAAAAGCGTCCCTATTGGCCTATCAGTAGTTATATGTACGATTTTGTACATCACGCGTGTGTGTGTGTGCGTGCGTGCGTGCGTGTGTGTGGAACGAGGGGGCACCTTCTTTGTACATAAAGGGGGCATTCACATTGTACATGCTTCTCCTTAGAATCATTATCAGCCCCTCTAGCCATAAATTATTAACGGTCCCTAATGATTAACCATGAAGCAATTTGCGAATCGAGCAAGTAACAACAGTTGTGATGAAGGGAGCGGAGCGCCCGTGCACAATTTAAAAAATAAATTACGACGTTCTTAAACTCTATTTCTTCCATTTTGTGACCGTTACAGTTAATGAGTTTAGTTTTACACCGCTGTAAGCAATATCCCAGCAACATCACGGCGGGGACACCAGAAATATTAATGGGCTTCACACATTGTACCCATGTGGGGAATCGATCCCGTACGTGACGAGCAACCGCTTTAACTCGGCCACCCCGCCACCCGTTAATCTTAGATTTTATTTTTACCAATATTAGTAAATTACTTATCAGGATTTTGGGATATTACAGTTCAGAAAATCATATTAAACAGACAAAAGGTACTAGTAGACTACTAATATTCTGTCAGTTTATCATAAATCCGAGGGGCGGTGGGATAGCCTAGTGGTTAAAGCGTTGGCTCGTCACGCGGAAGACCCGGGTTCGATTCCCTACATGGGCACAATGTGTGAAGCCCATTTCTGGTGTCACCCGCCGTGATATTGCTGGAATATTGCTAAAAGCGGCGTAAAACTAAACTCACTCACTCACTCACTCACTTGTAACTGCTTTCGAGTGGTATAAATCCGAATGGGGATTTCATGATGACCTAACACCGCCTGTCAACGTTTCAAACAAACGTGCGATGCCAAAGGGACATCATTTTCACAATTACAGAGACCATCTTCCACTATAATCGTGAAGTGCCGTTCAAGTGCGTGAAATTGCGGCTTTCAAGTTAGACAATAAATATCTTGTTCGACTTTGCACAACCTGAATTAATAATTTACGACAGAGACGGTAAATTGAGGATTAATTTTCCTAAGTTATTAAATTGCCATTGATATATTTCGTTTTTTGATGGTCTGAGAAAAATACAATTTCTGAGAAAAAATAGTAACAGCCTTGTATATATATTCTATCAACGCCTGGTCCCGAATGGGTTTAGTTTCAAATTCTCTCGAAGTTATTATCAAACAGCATCTAACGGTTCACCTCTGGAAATAATGCCCACCAAAACATCCACATTTCCCATTCGCACGAACCAGAGACCATATCATAGAATATAATCTATTATATGGTCTCTTCATAAACGTATTGTGCGTACACTTAAAGATTTTAAGAGCGCTTCTATTTAGCATAAATGTCGAGAAGAATTTATCGGGATTGATTTTGGTCGCTGTCGTTCCATCCACTTTCACCGTTTCTTCTACATTTGTTTACGGAAATAAGGCAAACTGTCACTGGTTTCAAAAATTTACCTTCATATTGAACATCCATAACAAAGCATATAATCATGTGAATATTTTTTGCATGTCTTCAGTGAAAAAACCCAATGATTCTGCAGTTATGACTTATTTCTTGTTAGTTAAATTTATTATACACGGATGTAAATCAACTGTAAATGACTGCCATTTTAATAAATTTCGAAATGATTTGTTATTACACTCTACAATATTCCAGCTGTATGGTGGTGGTCTGTAAACAATCGAGTCTGGACCAGGCAATCCAGTGATAAACATCATGAGCATCGATCTACGCATTTGGGATACGATGACATGTGTCAACCAAGTCAGAGAGCCTGACCAGCCGATCCCGTTAGTCGCCTCTTACGACAAAGATTGGTTGTTGAAGAGCAATTCTAACCGGCTCTTAATGGGTAATTAACTGAAGTATGTTTAATCGCCAACTGATTCCAAACTAAAACTATTTTATTATGCCAGAATTTTTTCTTTTATTAGTTCTAACGCAGAAAAAATAACCCCTGATATTTCTGTCAACTTAATGTACTGTTTTATTTAAAACTATGGACTCATGACATAATGAAGACGCTGTACTTGACCAGATCAAAGTGAGTGAGTGAGTATGGTTTACGCACAGTTTAGTAATATTCCAGCAATATCACGGCGGGGAACACCAGGAATGGGCTTCACACACTGTACCGATGTTGGGAATCAAACCCGGGTCTTCGGCGTGACGAGCGAACGGTTTAACCATTAGGCTACCCCACCGCCCCGTTAGCAATAAGAATATTCATACGATCTGCTTTTGGAAAGAAAACAAAAGAGAATTGTTATGTGTCTTTAATGTTTGTCGCACCGAGTCTTTGTGTAGTCGTCCTTGCCGTTTCCAGTGTTGCCCCGGAACAGCAGGTGAAGCGTCGCCATCACCATCACCAGGGACACACACATCAGAGCCACGCCCACTATCAGGGCTGGGTCGCCATTAAGATATGCGTTGCCATCCTTACGGTCATCTGTGAATGAAATCTGAAATAAAGCTGATGGACTTTTCGAGAGGGGATACAGAGGTAAGCCTAGGATACTGAAAAGGAGGGGAGATGTGTTTGTTCGTGTGCGTTACATACCCAAATCACGAAGCGGCTTGACCGAGGGTGCCGTTAACACGAAAGGCTTGTTACATGTTAAGTATGAAATCGATGGATCTACAGGCAGGTTTATCATTATGATTATACAATGTATATATTGATTTTAAGCTGGATCGGAGATCTTACGTGTAGCTATTGGTAGTGAAAACTGAAGGTAGATCACCATACAGCAGCACCAAGGACGACCAACTAGGACCGCCGAAAAAATGAACATACTTTCAAAAACAATTTACTACTTTGGGACTACTACTACTACTAAAATCACAGCACCAAGGACGACTCCGGAAAATGCATACTTTCATAAACAATTTACTACTACTACTACTACTACTACTACTACTACTACTACTACTACGACCATCACTACCACCACCGGTGTGCTTGCCCTTGATACAAAGAGACTGTGCAGGCGCAAACCCGTAACCTTCATTCGCCATACTCATTCGTCACCACTCGCCCCTTTCCGTACCCTTCAAGAAGCTATTCGGCTTGTCCCGGAATAACACGAGTTGGTCACCAATGTCGCCATACTATGAAACGTTATCCGGACCTCGTCAATCTGTGATGCCCTCTTCCGGACACCATTATACCAAGAATCAAAATACAATGTACCTAGAATTCCTTAATCCGGTTATTTATAACCCAAAATCGTGTTTAATAAAAATGTCCGGATAATAGAGGTTTAACTGTATACATTCTATTTTGATTAATAAAGGAATCGTTAAATGTCGTACCAAACTTAGGTGAGCGTTTTGACCTCTTGTTTGCAATTCTGATCGGTCCTGCCGAGAGTTGTTGTGAAGTCAAGTGTGCCTCTTGCTCTAAGTCGCTTCCGCCGCTCTCCCCAGCGTCCCTCCTTCCACTCCCGGGGGTCAGACAACCGTGGTGACATCTGGACTCAGGGTCGGACGCGTTACACACCAACACCTCGCAGTGGAAGTAGACCATGCGGGAACTGTTCACGAACTTGAACGTCTCCAAGGTCAAGGTCACCTCGGAGACGTCACTGACGTTCATGAAGGTTAAGGTTGAATCATGCGCACACCTGTGTAACAAACATACAAAAGTAAGGGGCCGTTGATACTTTATGGCTAGAGGTGGGTGATGATGATTTTTATGGAGAAGCATGTCCAATGAGAATGACCCCCATCCCCCTATAATTTATGTATAAGGTAATCCCCCACCCCCACTCCACTGTCATGTACAAAATCAAAATGTGTGGGCAACACACCCACCCGGTGGGATACGTCACACACACCTGTGCGTACAGCCCTGGCTAGCTATTCTCGAAACGTTCGTAGCCCTACGAACTTCTTAAGCCCATTCTTAACACATTGGCTTCACACATTGGCTGATAAAATTTACGAATTCTTACGAATTCTGTCACTAATATGTGGAATTTAAGCAAATCTACAAATGTTATTTTGGACCAGTGAAGTACAGACAGGACCACTAATTATTGTCCACTCACTGGTCCTGTGGTCTATTTGGAAATTGTGAAAGGTTTCTTTCCCTGCCGTTATTCGATACCTGTAAAATGCACGTGCACAAATGGTATCTAATGCAATATATTACAGTGAATATTCAACGCCATTTAGAAAGTGGTCAAATGTATCAAATATTATATTTGGGTGTCTGAGCGAGTGAGATGGCTGACTTTGTCCAGACTACCCGTTGTCCGACTTCCATTTTTGGTGGCTAAGGGGGTTAGATGGCTGACCATGTGTGCTGGCGATTAGGTGCCAACCATACAAAGAAAGTACCCTGCACACATGCATCCATAATCAAACAGTTTGAACATAATAAACAGACAATTTTCCATATACATGTATAACAGTGATTTAAATGACATGTCCACCCCCTCCCGTTAGTCGCCTCTTACGACAAGCATGGTTTGCTGAAGAGCAATTCTAACTGGAATCTTCTTTATTGTTGCTGCTTGGTAAGGTGGCTTTGAACGTTATTTCAGTTGTATAGTTTGTTATTTTATGCTACACTATGCAATATTTCAGCAATATGGCGATGCATTTACATATAGACAAGCGATTTGGCATTAACAGGGCCGGCTACAGCTTTTCGAGAAAGGGGGGTGGACACTATTGAGAAAGGAGGGGTGCACACTTCATTTTCACGAGAGTTTCAATGGTCATGTAATAAACTTTCAGGTCAAGAAGGGGTGGGGGGGAGTTGCGCACCCCTGCTCCCCCCTCTGGATCCGCCTATGATTAACATCCCATTGAACAGTCACCAAGGTCTAGTTATATTACGGCCTGGTAATGTGGGGGGAGAGCCCGGAGTCATGCAGATCTCGGACGCTCTCGGAAACATGCACAATAAGGCGAACAAACCGGGATTCGAACCCACAATCCGATCTGATAAGATAGGACCATACTTGCCCATTTTCAAGGATCAGGTATTGCACAGAACTATCTGGTGAGGGAGTGGGCGTGGCCTTGCAGTTCCTTGCAAACACCTGAAGGTTCGAGTCGTTGGATTGAAGGGAGAGTTTGATTGACAGGTCCTCTCCCGGCTTGACGCTGAGGGGCGTGGAACTAGAGGGTTGGTAGGTCACTCCTTCATAGATCAGATTCATACTGAAACAAGAATGTGTCAAGATCCTTTTTGTCCTGAGAGCTGTTTGACTTGACTGAAATTTAGTCACAGACTGAAAATTATAATCTAAAAAATATATAACAAAAATCCAAAAGAAGATCGGAACAGTTTTTAATTTCACATCTACTATCAGGCAGCTTACCGTTTGACCTAATATCGATCTTACTCTGCGATCTAACTCATCTTGTATCTTGTAAGTTACCATATATCGAAGGACTACTACCCTCCCACGCGGAACCAGAATAGAAATGGAAATCTCGCTGGAAAAACACAATTAAAATTCGACAGTTGTCCTTATTCCGATCTCCACTCGCCCCTTTCCGTAACCTACAAGAAGCCACTCGGCCTCATTCGTCACCACTCGCCCCTTTCCGTAACCCGCAAGAAGATATTCGGCTTGTCCCGGAATAACACGAGATTGTCACGAATGCTATTCGGCTTGTCCCGGAATAACACGAGTTGGTCACGAATGACTCGGCCTGTCCGAAACGGCACGAGGTGGTCACGATCGCTTGAAACTTAGAGGACTGGTGATTCTATAAATACCCTTCTTTTGAGAAACATGGCTGTACAGAAGCGTAGTTGTGCCAAAATCTAAAAATATTCGTCATGCACGTAAAGGATACTTCCATCAACGTAACTTATGTTTTCATCTTGGTAGGTTATACTTGCGCCAGCGTAGATCATACTTACGAGCACGTAAATGGTTTTTCTACGTAGATGATACTTACGACCACGTAGACGATCCTATACGTAACGTAGATGATATTCTTTTAGTAGTTTTAGACCGGGCACGTATACGCTCCGATATGGTTGATGTCACTGACATTGTCAACAAATGTTTGTCTGAGTTTTCTTTTGACAGTTCTGGTATCTGTCCAGCGAGGGGAGCTGATATGGGATCGGTGTTAGATCATCATGAAATCCCCATTCGGATTTATGACTGTCAGAGTTTAGTTTTACGCCGTTTTTCGCAATATTCCAGCAACATCACGGCGGGGGACACCAGAAATGGGCTTCACACACTGTCCCCATGTGGGGATTCGAACCGGGGTCTTCGGCGTGACGAGCCAACGCTTTAACCACTAGGCTATCCCACCGCCCAATTGAAAGAAAGACAAATTATGAAAAAAGACATCAGTGTTTAATAACGTAATACTAATCATCTCCATCTAAAAGTTTTTCACACGCTTCATCCTTAATCTCCATGTCTTCGTCGTCGCTCTTGACAACGATGGAGAGGGCCACTGTGATCATGATCAGGACCACGCCCAATAGAGCTAGCCCAGCAGTCATAGCAGCTCGCACCGTCTCTGGGTTCGAGACTTTGTGGTCATGGTTTTTGATTGGTGCGTTAGACCTAGTAGCCAATCAAATTGGCAAATGGAAATCAAGGACGTGTCGCGTGAGATAGCAAGGGAATGGATCCAGAGGTTGGTGGAGGTAATCGAAATCCTGGTCCCGCTTGCACAAAGCGATCTAACAAAGCCTTAAAATGGTCGTAACGCTAAGATCGCATTGTGCAAGTGGACCCTAGTATTGTCACACCTTAGACTCACGACCACTCATGACCTCTCGTGACCTCTCACCCCCGAGACCTACCTGATATCATACTTGCCCTGTCCGCTGGTGAGGGCGTCGAGCTCCTCGGTATTCACGAGGTAGTAGCTGCGTGCCACAGTGTTTCTGCTGTAGAAACAACGCACTGTTACGTTGATGTCTCGCACGTGCGAGATGTGACCCGACACTGTGACGTCCTGGGCAGTTACCTCGTTCACATAGACGAAGTCATCACCGACCACCTTCAGATGAGAGTGATTTTCAGATAAGTACTTGCAGTAAATCGCGGCAACATAATTTAATTAAAATATTTATCCATTACATACCTCATCATGGTGGGACGGGGTTTTTTTTATTCAAAAGTTAAATAACAGTGAATTTATGCCACATATATATCCGTCTATTGTCAGAACAGTACCAAAAGACAACACTATCGGAAACACGAAAAGAAACAGTAGTGTCATTTGGTTTAATGTTATTGACTTATTTCATTCTGAAATGAGAGTAATAACAGTAATGGGAAACTCTTTCATAGTGAGAGAGACGGTAGTGGACGCGTCTGTGGCTGTCACTCACCTCCATATGTGTGCCACACCCTCCGAGTGGTGCAGTGAGAGTGATAGTAGTGGGCGTGTCTGTGGCTGTCACTCACCTCCATCTGTGTGCCACACCCTCCTAGTGGTGCAGTAAGAGTGATGGTAGTGGGCGTGTCTGTGGCTGTCACTCACATCCATCTGTGTGTCACACCCTCCTAGTGGTGCAGTAAGAGTGACGGTAGTGGGCGTGTCTGTGGCTGTCACTCACCTCCATCTGTGTGCCACACCCTCCTAGTGGTGCAGTAAGAGTGATGGTAGTGGGCGTGTCTGTGGCTGTCACTCACATCCATCTGTGTACCACACCCTCCTAGTGGTGAAGTGATAGTGATGGTAGTGGACGCGTCTGTGGCTGTCACTCACATCCATCTGTGTGCCACACCCTCCTAGTGGTGCAGTAAGAGTGACGGTATTGGGCGTGTCTGTAACTCACCTCCATCTGTGTACCACACCCTCCTAGTGGTGCAGTGAGAGTGATGGTAGTAGACGCGTCTGTGGCTGTCACTCACAGCCATCTGTGTGCCACACCCTCCTAGTGGTGCAGTAAGAGTGACGGTATTGGGCGTGTCTGTAACTGTCACTCACCTCCATCTGTGTGCCACACCCTCCTAGTGGTGCAGTAAGAGTGACGGTATTGGGCGTGTCTGTAACTCACCTCAATCTGTGTACCACACCCTCCTAGTGGTGCAGTGAGAGTGATGGTAGTGGACGCGTCTGTGGCTGTCACTCACATCCATCTGTGTGCCACACCCTCCTAGTGGTGCAGTAAGAGTGACGGTATTGGGCGTGTCTGTAACTCACCTCCATCTGTGTGCCACACCCTCCTAGTGGTGCAGTGAGAGTGATGGTAGTGGACGCGTCTGTGGCTGTCACTCACCGCCATCTGTGTACCACACCCTCCTAGTGGTGCAGTAAGAGTGACGGTATTGGGCGTGTCTGTAACTCACCTCAATCTGTGTACCACACCCTCCTAGTGGTGCAGTAAGAGTGATGGTAGTGGGCGCGTCTGTGGCTGTAACTCACCGCCATCTGTGTACCACACCCTCCTAGTGGTGCAGTAAGAGTGACGGTATTGGGCGTGTCTGTAACTGTCACTCACCCTCCATCTGTGTGCCACACCCTCCTAGTGGTGCAGTAAGAGTGACGGTATTGGGCGTGTCTGTAACTCGTGTCTGTAACTGTCAACTCACCTCAATCTGTGTACCACACCCTCCTAGTGGTGCAGTGAGAGTGATGGTAGTGGACGCGTCTGTGGCTGTCACTCACCGCCATCTGTGTGCAACACCCTCCTAGTGGTGCAGTAAGAGTGACGGTATTGGGCGTGTCTGTAACTCACCTCCATCTGTGCCACATCCTCCCTAGTGGTGCAGTGAGAGTGATGGTAGGGGACGTGTCTGTGGCTGTCACTCACCGCCATCTGTGTGCAACACCCTCCTAGTGGTGCAGTAAGAGTGACGGTATTGGGCGTGTCTGTAACTCACCTCAATCTGTGTACCACACCCTCCTAGTGGTGCAGTGAGAGTGATGGTAGTAGACGCGTCTGTGGCTGTCACTCACCGCCATCTGTGTACAACACCCTCCTAGTGGTGCAGTAAGAGTGACGGTATTGGGCGTGTCTGTAACTCACCTCCATCTGTGTACCACATCCTCCTAGTGGTGCAGTGAGTGTGATGGTAGGGGACGTGTCTGTGGCTGTCACTCACCTCCATCTGTGTACAACACCCTCCTAGTGGTGCAGTGAGTGTGATGGTAGTGGACGTGTCTGTGGCTGTCACTCACCTCCATCTGTGTGCCACACCCTCCTAGTGGTGCAGTGAGAGTGATGGTAGTGGGCGTGTCTGTGGCTGTCACCCACCTCCATCTGTGTGCCACACCCTCCTAGCGATGCAGTGAGAGTGATGGTAGTGGGCATGTCTGAGGCTGTCACTCACCTCCATCTGTGTGTCACACCCTCCTAGCGGTGCAGTGAGAGTGATGGTAGTGGGCGTATCTGTGGCTCTACATGTGGGGTCTCGTAATGTAAGGCTATCAGCATGAAGACCTGGGAACTCTTTCTTGGCAAACTCCACAAACATATTGTGAGATGTACACGTGATTTGGAGGCCCTGAGCTACAAGAGAGGTCGTACAGAAAGCATGATTGTCTTTAAAACACTAACACATATATTCAGTAATAGCCGTGATTTTGCCTGTGATTTGCAGTCCTCGTATGATCTGATTTTGTTTTGGGAAAAGCAACAAAATATTGATCTAGTTTCATTTAAAAGAACAATATTTACCATGACAATCCAACGATCAACAGGATGCGCATCGATCTACATAACTGGATATGATCATATTTGTCAACCAAGTCAGCTAGCAAGACCACCCGATCACGATAATCGCCTCTTACAACAAGCATGGGTTTCCTGAAGCCAGTTCTAACCCGGGTTATTTACTTAGCGTGAACAACATAATTGCTTTCACATATATTTATTGCATACAGTAGCGTTCTATGTGTACTATGGACCACGTACGGCTGACGGCTGTGGTCATTTACAACAGATTCTGTACCCAAGCAAACAAACACCTGGAAATTTATTATCATATTTTAATCATTTTTTATATGCTATAAACAGCTGTTTTTAGGTGCCAAATCACCACAGACAGCTACGAGGTTCTTGATCCTAAACGAACTAAACTGTCATGGAAACATCTTTGAAGAATACAAATCTGTGTTGGAGTGTGTGAAGAATGAACTTTTCTCGCTGCGTTTTAAGCCCTATTCCAATGACATGACATTAAACATCGTCATCCAAAGAATTGCTCTTATGAACGAGATTAATTATAGGAAAGGAGGTGGTGTACATCTCAGAATATGATTTTCCAACATCTCTGAATTGATTTAGTCCAACATATCTGATTTATCTAGTCCAACATTTCTGTATTGTCTTTTTCACTATTTCTGCATTATCCTTTTCAACATCTCTGTATTATCTAAACCAACATCTCCATATAATCATTTCCAACATCTGTGTATTATCTTTTCCAACATTTCTGTATTATCTAGTGCACAAAGTGTGAAGCCCATTTCTGTTGTCCCCCGCCGTGATGTTGCTGGAATATTGCTAAAAGCGGCGTAAGACCAAACTCAGTCAGTCAGTCAGTATTATCCTTTCCAACACCTTTGATTTATCTAGTAAGTTATCATATGTACACTCCGAGATTATTTGAGGAAATAATGGACATTGCTTGATCTACCATCCAGTCAGTCCATGAAACCCAGTTGGACAAGAACAGTTGACTGCATGGGTGTGGGGTGTGTCCATACATTTTCCCCCGTTTCTACATACATGATCGGTACATTCACTAGAACAAGCCACATGCAGGTGCTCGGTAGTCCCGCAGTTGTGAGTGCCCCAAGCATTGTGCACGCAGTCTTGCAGCGCAGCTTCCCTTCCAGTACATTTGACGTCGTCCAATAAGAAATCAACAGGCGCCGTGACCGAGGAAAACGTTGCACGGAGGGGTGAGTAGCCTAGCTGTCGACAAGCGACAGCAGCGGCGTTGGTGGTGAATTCGTCATCGCAAACTCCACCCCATCTGTAAAATATTTGTCTGTTTGTTATGGAGGTTTTGTTTGTTTGTTTATAGACGCATTCAGCAATATTCCACCAATATGGCGGCGGTCTGTAAATAATCGAGTCTGGACCAGGCAATCTTGTGATCAACAGCATGAGCATCGATCTACGCAATTGGGATATGATGACATGTGTCAACCAAGTCAGCAAACCTGACCACCCGATCTCGTCAGTCGCTTCTTACAACAAACATGGGTTGCTAAAAACAAATTCTAACCGGGATCTTCACGGGTCACTGAACATCGACGTTTCATCAGCGTGTAGTAACACCCACCTTCCATTGTAGAACACCTCCAGCCTCCCTTCCCCCAACCAGGCACCGCCCACCAGCCGAATGTCCCCCGGGGTCTGGCAAGGAAGGAAAATGATTCACAATGATTCGGAATAATTCTTTCATTTCTTTGAGTGGTATTTTCGAAAGTCCTGCTTGGCAACGGTACAAAAATCTGTATCGATACGTCGCACTCACGAAATAAATACGTTCTTATCAATAAGTTTGTCAATAAAATTCTCTCATTTCTTCATACTCTTGGCTAACAGTAGTTTACTCCAGTGTGACTTTCAACTAGGAAAGCTCCTTGGTGTAAGATGCTGGTGAAAGTGTCGGTTTACATCATGCAAATATGGCGTTCCAACTAATGATGAAAATGTTTTAATATGGTGACGTGCATGCACGTTTGTATGTCTGGTTCAGTCATTACTTATTAACTTACTTATATAATTGTATGTGTATTTATTTTTCATTTATTCAGGTGCTCGGTAGTCCCGCAGTTGTGAGTGTCCCAAGCTCTGTGCACGCAGTCTTGCAGCGCAGCTTCCCTTCCAGTACATTTGACGTCGTCCAATAAGAAATCAACAGGCGCCGTGACCGAGGAGAACGTTGCACGGAGGGGTGAGTAGCCTAGCTGTCGACACGCGACGGCAGCGGCGTTGGCGGTGAAATCGTCATCGCAAACTCCACCCCATCTGTAAAGCGAAGTTATGAAATGTTTGTTTGTTTGTTATGGAGGTGTTGTTTGTTTGTTTATAGACGCATTCAGCAATATTCCACCCATATGGCGGCGGTCTGTAAATAATCGAGTCTGGACCAGGCAATCTTGTGATCAACAGCATGAACATCGATCTACGCAATTGGGATATGATGACATGTGTCAACCAAGTCAGCAAACCTGACCACCCGATCTCGTCAGTCGCTTCTTACAACAAACATGGGTTGCTGAAAACAAATTCTAACCGGGATCTTCACGGGTCACTGAACATCGACGTTTTATCAGCGTGTAGTAACACCCACCTTCCACTGTAGTACACCTCCAGCCTCCCTTCCCCCGACCAGGCACCGCCTACCAGCCGAATGTCCCCCGGGGTCTGGCAAGGAAGGAAAATGATTCACAATGATTCGGAATAATTCTTTCATTTCTTTGAGTGGTATTTTCGAAAGTCCTGCTTGGCAACGGTACAAAAATCTGTATCGATACGTCGCACTCACGAAATGAATACGTTCTTATCAATAAGTTTGTCAATATGATTCTCTCATTTCTTCATACTCTTGGCTAACAGTAGTTTACTCCAGTGTGACTTTCAACTAGGAAAGCTCCTTGGTGTAAGATGCTGGTGAAAGTGTCGGTTTACATCATGCAAATATGGCGTTCCAACTAATGATGAAAATGTTTTAATATGGTGACGTGCATGCACGTTTGTATGTTTGGTTCAGTCATTACTTATTAACTTACTTATATAGTTGTATGTGTATTTATTTTCATTTATTTGTTTCAGTTATTTATACCATTGTTTTTAACGCCGTATATGTTTCCAATAATTCAATAGCTAAATAATGTAAATGATCAGTGTCAGTGACTGACATCTTGAGCATCGATTATTCGGAGATAATAAACGATGCATCAACCATATCAGCGGGCCAGACCACCCCATCCTGTTAGTCGCCTCTTACGTCATGCATTGGTAGCTGAAGGTCAGTTCTAACCAAGATCTTTACGGGTACAGTCCAATGGTGCTACCTCTCTGACAATACTATGACGCGATGTAACATACTTGTACTTTAGTAAAGGCGGCATTTTTGGGGGTGTTTTCTTGTTGTTTTTTATTTTGAGTTTTATGTGTATATTTTAAGATATATTTACCTTGCAATTGCAATCATAATGCATGGCAATTTGTACATAAAACGCATTCTAGACATATTTTAATACGACACTAGGAATTCAAAGAATTACAGGCGACTTAAATTAATCACTTTGATTCAATCTTCTCTCATTTTCTTCTGGCAAGTTGCATCTTTTGTAAGGCCACAATAAGAAATAAATGGTTAGGGAACGAAAGTTCAAATTCAATAGCATGATTCAATTAATTGTAGAACTGAAATGAATCCTACTAGAACCTTGTACAGAAGTGACATGACTGAGTGAGTATGGTTTTATGCCGCTTTTTGAAAAGTTTCAGCAATATCACGGCGGGGGGACACCAGAAATGGGCGTCACACATTGTGCCCATGTTGGGAATTGAACCCGGGTCTTCGGCGTGTCGAGCAAACGCTTTAACCACTAGGCTAACCCACTGCCCCAGAAGTGACATGAAAATTGGCACATGTAATCCTTCTTTACCCTTGAAGTGAGTGAGTATGGTTTTACGCCGCTTTTAGCAATATTCCAGCAATATCATGGCAGGAGACACCAGAAATGGGCTTCACACATTGTACCCATGTTGGGAACCGAAAACAGGTCTTCGGCGTGACGGGCGAACGCTTTAACCACTAGACCACCCCTCCGCACTTACCTGTGAAGACGTTGGAGGAAACAACACAGTTATTGTAAACACTGTAAACAGCTGTCTGAAATAATCCAACATTGTCTGTGCCCCAGTAACGGTAATGTGAGTGCTAGAACGAACTCATATCTTTTTGTCTGGGTTACTGTGAGAACGACCGCGTGTCGCGACCTTTAGTGATAAAACCTGAGACTGGTAAATGTACCACACTGCGCCTGGAAGCGACCATTCCAGATAGTTTTAGTAAGGAGAGATAGGACACAGTCTACATTATGTCACCTGAAGATCCCACCGTCGAGCAATGCTGTCAAGGTTCTACAATACTAAAGACACATGCAGGCAGAACTAATTGTCATCTGTTTGAGTGAGTGAGTTTAGTTTTACGCCGCTTTTAGCAATATTCCATGATGATGATGGAGGGGGGGCACCCATTTTGTTCTTGGGAGGTAGGGGTCATCAATTTTGTACACATGGGCGGGGTGGGGTTCGTCATTGATTGTGTACGACATGCGGGGGCTTACTTTGTACATAAGTGTTAGGGGGCGATATTCACATTATTCAGCCTCTCCATGAAACATCCCACGACCCCCGCCATAAACTATGAACAGACCCTTATTCAACTTCGTTAGTGTAGTATAGTGCAGTTAATTATTTGTTTTGCTATGCTTTTTTACGAAAGACGTTTTGCGGAACTCCTTCAGCCACTTGGACACAAATAAAAACATTTTGAGGGTTTAGTTTGTGTTGTGAGGAGGTTATATTTCCAGAACGATTGCGTTTTGTTGTATTTGTTTGTTGTTTATCGACGCTCTAATATTTCAGATTTGATGAACACTTTATTCAGAATTGAAAGCCATGTGGCCAAGAGTACAACAGGTAATACAACATTGTCATGGTGTGTAGAGTTGAAATATAATTCATAATACAATTATTTTAACGTAGGTTTTGCTTCAGGAATATACATATTCCTTTAAGAATAGTGACACTGTGTATCTTCATAAGGGCTCGGAATTTGACAATTGAAGGTGGGCTGTAGAAATAGGCTGGAATACATTGGGATCTGCATCGGTTATAAAATGGACATATTAGCAACAAGTGATATTCGTCTTCAAGCACGTTTCAAGTACATTTGTTACAAACTAATTCTTTATATGGGACAATTATCTTTGAAAAACGTTGTTTTTGTATATTCAAGTTATGTGATTGGCATCGGAATTTGATCAACATTCGCATAAGATCTTTGTATAATGCGCCACAGGAAATATACAATTCAGGTTCAAGAAGTGACTTAAATGTACTATAATTTACAAGAAATGATGAGTTTCTTATTTTACTATTCCAGTGTTGTATATTAATATCTATACAGCGTTGTTTGAACTCAAACATGAAGTGATTTACATCGCCACAATCTTGCAGCTATATGATGGCGGTCTCTATACGAATCGCGACTTGACAATCCAGTGTCTGACGTCATGAGCATCGACTTATGTCAACCAAGTCAGCGAGCCTGACCACCCGATCCCGTTAGTCGCCTCTTATGACGAACGTGGATTGCTGAAGACCGGATCTTCATGTGTTGAAGCGTTCCTCTTAAGGAATTAATTTTTTTACCCAAATATATAGTAGCGTCTTCAGTGTTACAATTGGGCGCAGTCGTCTCCCCCTTGATCCAAAACGCAGGCGGAGAGTGTGAAGCCATCCCTGGTGTCTTGAGTCGTGAAGTCGATGCAATATTGGTAAACGTGACGCAAATCTCAACTCTTTAGCCCACTGTATTGGGTCAAAGCAATATAGTAATACAGTTAACTACGTTTACATCGAATACGCTTATAGCGAACTTTCTTGTCCCGACTACTTCATATTTTAGTCGAATAACGCATAACAAACGTTGTTGACTCCGGCGAGTCAAGGATCCTATCACATCAGGTTTACCCTTCAATATTCAATATTTGGTACTTACTTGTGAAATCAACTGGGATGAGACTGGCAGCCGACGCCTCGCAATGCACGTGCTCCGCATGCGCTACCCGTGACCTGCACGTGCGCTGCCCGCACTACCCGTCTTGCGAGGTACACATGGTTCATACCGACAAACAATCTCATTCTTCACATCGATCCTTCGTAGCCTAGTGGATAAAACTGGTAAGCGAAGGGTTGCGGGTTCGAAACCGGGTGTCGGTACTACATGTTGGAAATTATCAATAATGTCATATTTTAAGATCGCATTCAGTGATGGCAAGACGAAGTCGTATCAATCTTCAAAACAAGTCAAGGGCTATTCCTCAGAAAATGCAGAGGGACGTTATTAAGATAATGCCCGGGGCATAAGTTTATATATGACTATCAAATTTTGGGGTGTTTGTAGTATATATGGCGGCTGCTTGTAAAATAACCGAGACTGGGTCAGAAAATCCAGTGATTGACAACATGAGCATCTGTGTACATCATTGGGGTACGATGCCATACATGAACCAAGTCAGTGAGCTTGACAACAGGCGAGGCATATTAAAATGGCTAACCAACTTTTATTTTGACACGACAAAACTGTGTTTTACTTTTCTCTTTTTGCAAATACCGGGGGCGGTGGGGTAGCCAAACGGTTAGAGCGTTCACTAGTCATGACGAAGGCCGGGGTTCGATTCCCCGCGTCGGTACAATGTGAGAAGCATATTTCTGGTGTCCTCCGCCTTAATATTGTTACAGTATTGCTAAAAACGGCGACGAAAACCCAAACACACAATTGCCGACGCCATTTTGAAGCAGTCATCTACGCAGTATCTGATCTGTTGTAAGATACCAAAATGTCCTTGGCAACTGTTCAGACGTCAAAATTGAGTTTGGAAACACTAAAATGTTGGTTAAGATGCTGGTAGGAATAATTAATTTAAGTTTGTAATGACTTTTGGAATGGGACCCGTGAAGATCCGGGTTAGAACTGGTCTTCAGTAACCCATGCTGACTTGGTTGACACATGTGATCACTTGATTGTCTGGTCCAGACTCAATTGTTTTTCAGACATCCGCAATATAGCTGTAATATTGTTGAGTGCGGCGTTAAACAACAAACAAACAAATCCTAGGTCACTTTTTGCCCGAGTCTCATGTATTCTATGAAACAACCAAACAGAGAAATCTATACAAGAATGTTTATTTTGCATCATGTTGTTCACCAAAATGACTTTGGGGCTGATTTAGCAATATTCCAACACCAGAAATGGGCTTCACACATCGTACCCATGTGGGGAATCGAACCCGGATCTCCGCGTGACCAGCGAACGCTTCAACCACTAGGCTATCCCACCGCCCAATTGAAAGAAAGACAAATTATGAAAAAAGACATCAGTGTTTAATAACGTAATACTAATCATCTCCATCTAAAAGTTTTTCACACGCTTCATCCTTAATCTCCATGTCTTCGTCGTCGCTCTTGACAACGATGGAGAGGGCCACTGTGATCATGATCAGGACCACGCCCAATAGAGCTAGCCCAGCAGTCATAGCAGCTCGCACCGTCTCTGGGTTCGAGACTTTGTGGTCATGGTTTTCTGGTGGCAGAAAAGTGTAAATAGATAATACTATATATATTACTCGAGAGACACGATTTGTTCATATGACTAAATTTTCCACATAATCGACCCGCACAAGAGAGGAATTATTAGGATTTGACTTGCTTTCTGTTGATCTTGACCTTTTGAAACATTATTGGGATGGACTCTCAGACTGATTTTAAACATAATTTCTTCAATTTGAGACAATGAAGCCATATTAGTCTGGATGCCTAACACATATACGTTGTACATTTCCTTGTACAACTTTAACTGTTCATTTATATATAAAAAAGTTTAGACTCACTTAAAGCACTCTTCCCAGACCGCGTCATACCAAAAGACGTTAAAATATGGTACTTGTTGGTCCCTGCCTGGCGCTCGGCATTAATGGGTACAACAAGGACTGGTCGGCTCGGAGTCAGTATAATGTGTCTGAGTGGGGTATTCATGCTTCACTGCGGCGTGGTATCTCAGTGGGCTAGCACTATAAAACCAGCTTAAGTCTGGGCTAGTACAAGCAGCCGTACATACACATACACACACATGCACGTCGTCATATGAGCGAAATATTCTCAAGCACGACGTTAAACCCACTTTCACCTCACCTCAACCTAAAGCACTCAATACATGATTTTTGTATGTATATGGTTACATCGAAGATGAATTTCTCCACTAATTTGGGGGGAACCAACTGCAAACCTTATGCAGGTGAATTGCGCCAGGATCATGCATCAAATTGCCGAAAAGCATGTGCAAATATCGTGCATGTGAACAGCTGCATTTTGGTGCAAAGTTTTGTTAAGAATTCTCCAATTTTCACCGAGTTTCATCATTTATTGAACTCATGACAATAATCCTTTCAAAGTTACGAATTTGTTTTACAATACATCACTTCATGTGTATACAGTACCTTTAAACAGTATGGGATATTTTGCAAAATCTAGTTTAGAACAGTTGACTGAAGTAAGTCGCTACAATTACACTAGTGATGCTAAACATTTGATGGGTAGTATATTTGCTACGTCTCCTTAAATTTGTTAAATGATATAAAAAATGTAACAAGTTATGAAACATGCATGTCTTTTTACGCCCCTCCATATAACAGCTGTTCCTTGATGAAATTTATATATTTTATATATATTGGTATATTTTATTAATATTGTCATATTTTACATTTTATAGGCATTTATATTACTGTAAGATAAACATTCATTTTTCGGTCTGATAACATCGCATCGCGTATCACCTTTTAGCCAATATGTGGTGATATACTCAGCTATTCATAATTTTCTCATGTCAAACTGTCATGTACACTGAATGTGTCTCTGTATTAAATATTTTTCGTGGAGTGAAACTTTCACATAAAGACTTCGATTCTAGATAGATAGATATTTGTATGTGTGTGTGTGTGTGTGTGTGTGTGTTTGTGTGTCTGTGTGTGTGATATGTATCAGATGCATATATACTTGAGTGTATACATATATACAGAAATCCACAAAATTGTGACACGAGAATGTTCCTCCAACGTGTATCATGATCGTCATAGACCGCCTCCGTGGTGTAGTGGTTAGAGCGTCCGCCCAGAGAGCGAAAGGTCGCGGGTTCGATCCCCGACCGCGTCATACCAAAAGACGTTAAAATATCGTACTTGTTGGTCCCTGCCTGGCGCTCGGCATTAATGGGTACAAGGACTGGTCAGCTCGGAGTCAGTATAATGTGTCTGAGTGGGGTATTCATGCTTCACTGCGGCATGGTATCTCAGTGGGCTAGCACTGTAAAACCAGCTTACGTCTGGGCTAGTACAAGCAGCCGCACATACACATACACACGCATGCACATCGTCATATGAGCGAAATATTCTCAAGCACGACGTAAAACCCAACTCCACCTCACCTCACCAGATCGTCATATATATATGAAATTATTACCCCAATCCTATTACATATATCTATGCATATATAAAGGGGTGACACACGAACGGACGCGTGCGTGCGTGCGTGTGTGTGTGTGCAGCATATATATATATTCTTAAAAACAGATGTTTACAGGTGAGGTCAGGTGAATAATTATAAGATGGCTGAATTTAGTTTGAAGCAGGACTCGCTCAAATCAACAACATCACAAACGCTAAATCGATTCATTCAATACTCTATTGGACATACCCGAATGTTTCGTCCGCTTGGAGGCCCCAGGCATTTCCACTGGTCCTAAAGTCAGGTGGTGTGAGGCGACGGAAACATCGGCCCGGAGACTCTTCCGGTCGGAACTCCTCCGGAACCTCCCCCCAGCGTCCCTCCTCCCCCTCCCGGGGGTCAGACAACCGTGGTGACATCTGGACTCAGGGTCGGACACGTCACACACCAACACCTCGCAGTGAAAGTACACCATGTTAGAATTGTTCACGAAATTGAACGTCTCAAAGGTCAAGGTCTCCTGTGTCATTTTACTGACGTCTTTGAAGGTCAAGGCCGATTCGGTCGCGCATCTGTAAGCCAAATAGATTAAATAACATATTAAGAATATATTTTTATGACAAGATTCACATTATAAAGATTATTTCCCATGCTGTTCGGCATTTAAATGAGGCAAAACATGTCTGATGATTGGTGTGATGTCTTGTGAGCGATAAGTCTGACAAGTAAGTTCGTTCGATTGATAAGTTACGAATCAAGTTTTGGCCACTTTATGACAGCTCGTCGGTTTATGGCGAAAACAATGCTGCTGCGACGCATTTTAACTCACGGACCCTTAGGATAGATTTGTTTGTTGTTGTTTAACGCCGCACTCATCAATTTTCCAGCTATATGACATCGGTCTGTAAATAATCAAGTCTGAACCAGACAATCCAGTGATTGACATCATGAGCATCTATCTACTCAGTTAGAATAAGTGTCAACACAAGCCAGCGAGCTTGACCACCCGATCCCGATAGTCGCCTTTTACGACAATCATGGGTTGCTGAAGACCAGTTCCAATCCGCATCTTCACGGGTACGTTTGATAGATACACCCAATAATCGTTATTGGAGACATTCAATAAGTTACGATTGATCAGGCTTACATTACATCCAAATGGAATTGGCTTTATGGTAAAACATCGATCATAGACGACACAACAGTACGGTAACGTAATTGTGTAGAGTTGAGTCCATTTCTTGTACCAGGATGCCAGGCGATATGTTTTCTTTAGCAAATAGGCAACACGTCGATATAGAACTTATGTCTTGTTACAAGTTTGTTCTTTTCTGATGTGTGATTTTATTTGCATATTATTGGATCGTTATACGAAGATTACCAGCGGCGGTGAGGTAGCGTAGTGGTTTAAGCGTTCGCCCATCGCGCCAAAACCAGGGTTCGTTTCCCAAATGGGAACAATGTGTTAAGCTCATATCTGGTGTTCCTCGCCGTGATGTTGCTGGAATATTGCTGAGAGCCGCGTAAAACTAAACTCACTCACTAAGATTATCGATAACCCTTTCTCTCATACGATAAAATGTCGTACCCATTTTCTAAAATATGGTATTGTTCAGGATGGTCTGTTTCGTCAGTGGGGGTGGCTTTGCAGCTTTTAGTGAACACCTGCAGGTGCGAATCGTTGTTGTCGAGGGACAGTTTGATTGACAGGTTGTCGCCAGGCTCAACGGCGTTGCCTGGGTGATATGTGTCTCCGTTGTGGACAAGGTCTGTGCTGAAATAGACAAACGATACATTCTGTAACGCGTAACAAAGATCCCATTTGGAGGGGAATGTCCGAGTTATTCTAATTCCGTGAAAATATTCGAGCCAAGACCTTTTTCTTCACGTATGGAGAGTTACGAGGATCTAGTACTGTGTGAGTCTCTGTCGCTATTGCAAGTTGATGTTTACAATGCATGGTACAGGGCTCGTAATCATTTCGTGGAGCCCTGACTAGTGTCATAATAAATATATACAGAGCCCTGAACAAGGATACATATCTTCATTTTGTTTTCTGGTCGAAGGTATATCAATTTGCTTTAAATATCAAATGTTAATTCTAATGTTATACTACATTATATGTGTAATATCTCGCGAGTTTTAAGAATTATGTAAACATTTGAAAACTTTTAATGGCAAATTTCATGCCGCCACCATCTGTGCCACTGAAGGTGAGGTCGATAAGTTGTTTTCGAGCAGGCGAGACAAAGTGGTACAGCATGGTGTGTTGTTTGAATAGGACATTAATTGGCTCACAGACTCGGGCATTTTTAACACGTGTTACTGAAAACACGGCTGAACATACACCAGAACCATTTGTCTGGGTTGTTCCAAAATGGTAACGCATTATATGTCGTATCCGACAATGCGGGTATGTGTGAATGGTGTTGTAATAAGTAACAAAAGACGTCATCCTGGTTCCCGGGCCTCTCGTTACTTTATAAAAAATAATGAGAGGCCCGGGAACCAGGATGCAAAAGACGTGTGTTTGAATCCTCTGGCAAAAATGTTTTCCACCAAAATTTTAAATCATTCACTTTCCAAAATATAAAACAAATAGGTCCGTCTGTTCCATGTGTAATTTAATTGAAACTTTGATTCCAGACGATGTATCATTGGCGAACGACTCTACGTTCCTGAAAAGTACTCTAGCTTTCACTCAGTCATTTTTTTATATAATATACTGGGGAAGAAACTAAGATGGGACTGTAATACAGTGCCACATGTCGAACGTTAACGTATTGAGAAGTTCCTCTTATCCGTTTATTCGACATTGACGGGCGGTGTGGTAGTCTAGTGGTTAAAGCATTCACACGTCACGCCGAAAACCCGGGTTCGATTCCCCACATGGGTACAACGCGTAAAGTCCATTTCTGGTGATTTTGCTGAAATATTGCTGAAAGCGGCGTAAAACTAAACTCACTCACTCATTGTTCGACATAACATTACAAATAAAGTAAAGTACACAAAGGGACCACTAATGTAGTTCGTGATAACCGTAGTTCGTTATAGCCGTTTTTACTAAACTATACAGGAAGTGGTCGATACGAAAACATAGATCGTTATATCCGCCAGTTCGCTATAACCATGTTCGTTATAAACGTAGTCACTGTGTGCGTTTATTGAAAACCGATACGGTGATAATATATATTATGTTTAGATTTACACCTTTTATAGAAAGTGAGGGGCGGTGAGGTAGCCTAGCGGTTAAAGCGTTGGCTCATGACGCCGAAGACCCGGGTTCGAATCCCTATATGGGTACAATGTGTGAAGCCCATTTCTGGTGTCCTCCGACGTGATATTGCTGGAATATTGCTAAAAGCAGCGTAAAACCAAACTCAGTCAGTCAGTCAGTACAGAAAGTGATATCACAAGTATTCACGTATTGTATATAGGGGAGTCGAACTAAATCTGAACCAGGTCCAGAGCTCAGCGTATGAACGGCATACCTTATCTGATAGGCTCCTTGACTGTGGTCGGTGAAGTGCAGCTCGCCAGTGTCAACAACGTAGAAGTTCCTCGCCGTGATGTTGCTACTGTAGTAGCAGCGGACGGTGACGTTGACGTTCCTCACCCTCGTCACCAACCCCTTCACTGGCACCGTGTGAGACAACACTTGGTTCTCGTAGACAAACGTTTCCCCGATTTTCTGACATACAAATATAATAATACTATAGAAACTCATGGCCATAGAAAGGTACTAGCAGTTAAATACAAATCAAAGGTGTGCACCCCCGACTTCCCGTCGAGCAAAAATAGAAAAATACTGAACAGAAACATACTAGACAACTACATCGCCGACGTAGATCTAACTGGCATACGATGGCCCCAGAGTCTCGAATATGGGAGTCATCTTGACGCCCTCTCTGCCTTCAAGGGTGTCATATGCCTATAATAGTGAGTGAGGGAGTTTAGTTTTACGCCGCACTCAGCAATATTCCAGCTATACGGCGGCGCTTTCAAAATAATCGAGTCTGGACCAGACAGTCCAGTGATCAACAGCATGAGCATCAATCTGCGCAACTGGGAACCGATGACATGTGTCAACCAAGTCAGCCGATCCCGTTAGTCGCCTCTTACGACAAGCATCATCGGTTGCTGAAGATAAATTCTAACCCGGATATTCACGGGTCTTGAATGGGTGAAGTGAGGTGATATACTAAGTGAGGTTCTGGTGAACGTTGAGGGGTTATATGGAGTGAGTGAGTATGGTTTTACGCCGCTTTTAGCAATATTTCAGCAATATCACAGCGCGGGACACCAGAAATGGGCTTCACGAATTGTGCCCATGTGGGGATTCGAACCCGGGTCTTGGGCGTGACGAGCCAACGCTTTAACTACCAGGATACCCCACCGCCCGGTTATATGGATGAAGAATAACTTAGTATGGATCGCGAACACACGATCAAATAAAGTTAATGTTTGTAATTTACTCTGAAAGACTTACTATGAAGTTACGTATGGCAAGGGAGTGTTTTTCTCCATTTGTTTAGCAATACCACATATTATTTTTCTCGACTTATTAGTAAATACAAATAGAATTGGAAACCACTGTATGTTCATAACTATAGATAAGGGTAATCATGTACTGGAATAAGCTTTTACGGATGAATGCAAAGTTGTATTGTGCTGAAAATATTACATGAGAATTGTTACGTCAGTTGGTCATCATGTTGTTGGTATTCGATAGTATGTAACAGTAACTTGGAGTAAGCGAGGATGGTTGTACGCCGCTTTTAGCAATATTCCAGCAACATCATAGCGGAGGACACCAGAAATGGGCTTCACACATTGTACCCATGTGGGGAATCGAACCCGGATCTTCGGCGTGACGAGCGAAAGCTTTAATCACTAGGCTACCTCACCACCCCACCTGTTTGGAGTATGTATCTTATGTGTATATAGGCCTATGGCCTTCAATCGTAATAAAGATTGTTTTTGGTTTTGTTGTTGTTGATTTTATGATGATAGTGACGACGACGATGATCTGGGTTCGATTATTTACTCCCATTAGTTAGACATCCCTCTTGTCAGACACTGGACTAGGGATTAATTAGGGCAATACCCTTGTATAAATGGAAAAGTTCCAATTGGATATTTCAACCAGTTAGTTGAACCTAAGGAAAGCTGTTATTGTGTATACATATCTTGGAGTTATTTTTGATAGAAAATGTTCTTTCAAATTATCTATATCAAATCTCTGTCAACAAGCTACTACATGTACTTTTGTTTTACGCAGAAGCCGAATGTTAAACTTATCAATACAATGTCAGCTATATCTCTTTGATTCAATGATGAAACCAATCTTGTTGTATAGTTGTTAAATTTGGGGATATGTTAATTTAAAACAAATTGAAAGTGTACATACATGTATAATATTTATGAGAAAACTGTTACTTGTAAAGAACAGTTTCCATTGTGTAAGCTTTATGGTGAATTAGGTAGAGTCCCACTTTCTGTTGTTGTTAAACCTCATATGTTAACTTTTTGGTCTAAATTATTTACAAACAATTCATCTAAGTTTTCTTCAATCTTTATTCTATTGTATATCTTTATAATGAAGGCATTCACAGCTGTAGCTAAATTCCATGTATAGAGAATATTTTTAATAACATTGGTTTAAGTTATGTATGGCTTTCACTCTCCTACTTCATCTTCCTGGATCAAAAACACAGCTCATTCAAGTTTAAATGCCAATGCTATTCAAATCTGGAGGTCAGAGGTGGAAAATTCCAAAAAAGGTCAAACATATTCTCTTTTGAAATCTCAATTTGAATTTGAAAATATTCTAACGTCCCTACTCTTTAACAAAGTTATCCCCTTACTCCATTTTCATACTTCATGCCACCATTTACCAGTTGAAAAAGGAAGATGGAATACCATACCAATAGAAGAAAGAAAATGTAAATTATGATGTATGGATGATGTGGGTGATGAGTTTCATTGTTTTTAAATGCAAATATTTTAGAAAAGAAAGATCAATGTATATACCAGCTTCTTTTATAAAAAGACCAAGTATACTCATACCAATAATGGTTGTCACCCCTTCAATTTCTTAATTGAGAGGGGGGGTGTGGGTGTGGGGTGGGGGTGGGGTGGGGGTGACAACCATTGTTGGCATGAGTATATGTTAAAATTTGAATCACTCTTTACATGTAAAAAGATATCTGTTATGAAAATCTCAGTAAATTCTGTAAATATATCATGCAAATTGCAAAATCTTCTACTATTCCGCTATGATGTTATTATCTGTTGGGATGTCTGACAAATGGGAGGATATCGGTTCGATTCCTCCCATGGCTACAAGGTATGAAGCCCATTCCTGGTGTCCCACGCCGTGATATTGCTGGAATATTGCTAAAAGCGGAGCAAAACCATACTCACTCACTCACTCGCACAGGATGAATGTATTGTAGTTTGTATGTTTTGTCTGTAAAAACTATAGTTACTCATTTGAGAATTGGTTGTCTAAACACTTGAAACAAGTATTATAAAGAAAGATTTACGTTTGTAAAACCATTTAAAGTCATATGACATACAAATACAACGTTTGGTAGATTTATTTTGAACTAAGTTACATAATGGTATGTAACAAGCTTGAAATGTGACATTCATGTAATCTATCTTACCGCACTATTGGTCATGTAGCCGGAATTACGAATTTGAATTTATATTATTGAACTATTGAGCACGCCTATGGTGCCGGCAAACCAACAAACACAACAAAGGCGGATCAGTGATTCTAACCAAGGAAATTAGGTTCCTCGCACGTCTAAGGGAGGCAACTGAAGGCAAATTAAAAAAGGTGAATTACCCATCATGAATACCTACCTATATTGTTAAGTGCGGCGTTAAACAACAAACAAACACACACACACCTATTTACGTACCTACCTGTATGATATTATACTATTTACGTGTGTGAGTGAGGACCTGTGAAGGTCCGGGTTAGAATGAACCTTTAGTAACCCATGCTTGCCGTAAGAGGCGACTAACGGGATCGGGTGGTCAGGCTCGCTGGCTTGGTTGACACATGTCATCGGTTCCCAATTGCGCAGATCGATGCACATGCTGTTGATCACTGGATTGTCTGGTCCAGACTCGATTATTTACAGAGCGCCGCCATATAGCTGGAATATTGCTGATTGCGGCGTAAAACTAAAGTCACTCACTCTGTGAGTGAGTGAGTGAGTGAGGGGAGCGTGCATGCGTTCGTATCCACAGGAAATTAACACAAATCGAACTGAACGCTGCTTAGCATCTCCTCTGTGTATATGTATTGATAAATATCATGGGGTGATATTTTAAAATGGAAATATATATAAAGTTGAAACTTATTGAAGAAAAAACTCCACAGATACATTCAAGTATATATAGAACTTATACATGATAATCACTTTTATGTATATTGAAGACAAGGTTACTAGGCAAAACTGCTTTATTCACTGCTCTTTCGACAAGCATGGACAACGAGATCTAATTCTCACTCATTCTTCAGGAACAGGTAATGTTTTCGACATTCGTCACCACTCGCCCCTTTCCGTAACCTCCAAGAAGGTATTCGGCTTGTCCCGGAATAACACGAGTTGGTCACAAATTTGTTTTCGAGTGAGCATGGACAGGCATTCGTGACCAACTCGTGTTATTCCGGGACAAGCCGAATACCTTCTTGGAGGTTACGGAAAGGGGCGAGTGGTGACGAATGCATGGACAGGAAGATAAGGTTATATAGAAAACTAAGAATTGAAGAATTTAAACCTATAACTGAAGAGTGGAAAATGATTCGGTGTAAAGAAACGAAATAGGATTTAATAAAGCAGTAAAGTCATTCATAACATATATTACAACATAGCCCCGTGATATCTATTCATACATCTGGAGGCGAAGTATTTATATGAAAATTTCACCCCACGATAAATATTTAGTACATAGAAACACTATCTATGTAGCTGAATATATCACAGTCTATTATCTAGAAGGTGACATGCAGACTGAAAAAGCCAATGTTTATCTTATATAAATGTAGATGTCACATATGATGAAGGTACAGCTGTTACAAGCGACCAAGTACGCCTGATTGTCATGAAAACGGCATCATAACAGCATCATTAATTTACATCTCATTTGATGCCGACCCGTTCGGAAGCCTCGGTGATAATACCGCGCTTGTACCGATGGTAATATAAGCTGACGCCATCCAGTCCAGCTGGACGCGAGTTATGGTGCTGTATTGTCGTATAACCCATACCTGTATCCGAATTCATCACGTATATTAACTATAACGACCAATCTGGCACGTATTGCAACGACAAGTAGAGACATATATTACGAATAGGAGAATAGGTATGAGACAAATGAAGGTTTTATTATCAGACCATTTGATATAGATGGTAGATCCAATGAAAGCATAGACAAGACATGCCACCTGTTGAACACGTACATTGTTCTCTATATATTTAAGCATTTGTGTTAATTGGTCCGGTGTCGAAATGTAGATGTAGGTCGCACTGTAGTTTTTCGCCATGATGAGGATAAAGATGATATGCTTCATTTTTTTATCATGGACCTTCCTTAAACGCCATTACATCATTTGCATGTCGTTACAATTGTAAACGCATTCAATTGACATTCTCAGCTAGCTTGGGCAATGAAAGGTGTAGACCCTTCGTAGTTTTTCGTCATGATTGGGATAAGGATGATAGGCAAACGTTTTATCATGAATCATTCTTAAACGCTATTACATGTCATTACCATTGTAAACGCATTCAATTTACATTCTCAGCTCCCCTCGGAGTATACACGGCAGTGAAAGGTGTAGACATAATATCTGGATTGGTATATTGTTATAGCAATTTAAATAATTACAACGACTTACCAAGTCATGTCTGACAACAATGACGACGGTGATACAAATAATGATACATAGACATGAGAATAAAATGATAACAGTGATGATGATGATGATGATGATAGTGATGATGATGATGGTGTGGTGAGGTGATGGTGGTGGTGGTGTGATGATGGTGGTGGTGGTGTGATGATGATGGTGGCAATGTAGATGATGTTATGGTGGTGGTGATGAAGATGTGGTGTTGGTGGTGATGTAGATGATGTTATGGTGGTGATGATGATGATGAGGTGGTGGTGGTGGTGTGATGATGGTGGTGGTAATGTAGATGATGTTATGGTGGTGATGATGATGATGTGGTGGTGGTGGTGTGATGATGGTGGTGGTATGGTGATGTTATGGCGTTGAAGTGATGATGGTGGTGGAGGTGGTGGTGGTGATGTTATTGTGGTGGTGGTGGTGGTGATGTTATGGTGGTGGTGGTGAAGATGTGGTGTGGTGGTGATGTAGGTGATGTTATGGTTGTGGTGGTGATGATGGTGGTGGTGGTGGTGGTGATGTTGATGATGTTGTGGTGGTGGTGATGATGTTATGGTGGTGGTGGTGATGTAGGTGATGTTATGGTGGTGGTGGTGATGTGGTGGTGGTGGTGATGTAGGTGATGTTATGGTGGTGGTGGTGATGATGATGCTGGTGGTGGTGGTGATGATGATGATGTTGTGGTGGTGGTGATGATGATGATGTGGTGGTGGTGATGATGATGTGGTGGTGGTGGTGATGTTGGTGGTGGTGATGATGATGTGGTGGTGGTGGTGGTGATGTTATGGGTGATGTTATGGTGGTGGTGGTGATGTAGATGATGTGGTGGTGGTGATGTTATGGTGGTGGTGATGTTATAGTGGTGGTGTGGTGATGTTATGGTGGTGGTGGTGATGATGTGGTGGTGGTGGTGATGTAGGTGATGTTATGTGGTGGTGGTGATGATGTGGTGGTGGTGATGTGTGGATGATGTTATGGTGGTGATGATGATGATGATGTGGTGGTGGTGGTAGTGATGATGATGTTATGGTGGTGGTGGTGATGATGTGGTGGTGGTGATGGTGATGTTGTGGTGGTGGTGGTGATGTTATGGTGGTGGTGGTGATGTAGATGATGTTATGGTGGTGATGATAATGATGTGGTGGTGGTGGTGATGATGGTGATGTAGATGATGTTGTGGTGGTGATGATGATGATGTGGTGGTGGTGGTGTTTTTGATAATAGTGTTGATGCTAGTGATGCGCTGCTTGTAGTATTGATGATGTTGTTGATAATGATGATGAAGTACCTATGGATGTGTTGATGAAAGTGGCAGTATCTAATCCAAAGAAAAACCACACTACCTTGACCTGAGTGCCACACCCATCGAGAGGCACAGTAACACGCAGGTGCGTGGGTGTGTCCGTTGCCCCGCACCCTCCATCCCTCATGGTCAAGTCCTGCCCATGGAGCCCAGGGAAATGGCTCTTCTCCAACTCCAACTCCATTGCCCGGGACCCACAGGCTACACGAACGGCCCCGACAGATGCCAGACAGACACAGGTATTAAATATCCAAAATTCTAGAGTCAGCCCTTGCATGTCTCCATCACGAACCTCTTCGGTCCAAACACCACTGTTAGACTGTCAGAGCCCACCACTAACTGATGCCAGTAACGTGGGCAGAACATAAATGTAACCGCTGTTCCGTTACATGTGCCACCATGCAGGTATAACGTTTTTATTAATGCATTCCGCATTGCGCCAAATATCGATTGTTTCGGTTCGGAGATATTCATTTATCTGCCAGATGTTAGCATATTTGTAATTCAATAATGGCACGTGCCCTGGGTCGTTTACGTGTTGACAGGGAGGTGTTTATCATTGGTCGAATATGTTGACGGAATTTGACCTGCTCTAAGAAAGTGATTGTTACACTGTGGCTGTGTTAACTCCTATAGTATAATACAGGCTTACGACTGTCGTAACCCCTATAGACTAAACTTACTTACGACTGTCGCAACTCCTATAGACTAAACTGACTTACGACTGTCGCAACTCCTATAGACTAAACTGACTTACGACTGTCGTAACTCCTGTAGTTTAAACAGACTTACGACTGTCGTGATTCCCATAGTTCAAAACAGACTCACGACAGTTTCTCCCAAACATACCACTGTCGTGATTTCCATAGTTTAAAACTGACTTACGACTGCCGTAATCCTCATAGTTTAAACAGACTTACGACTGTCGTAATTCCCATGGTTTAGAAGAGACTTACGACTGCCGTAACTTCCAAAGTTTTAAGAAAGTACGGCTGTTTTAGCTGCTATAGTTAAAAAGATTTGAGACATACGTAGCGCTACGGTCGCTTTGAGAAACCCAGCCCACCACTACAGTTTGCGCATTTGATGACCTTCCTTACCTGTTTGCTGCTCCAGTTTCGTGGGATTTTAAGGTAGACCTTTCACGAACTGGTCTTAGCTCAACCATTATAGTCGTAAGTAAAAACTGTTGGTTTCAGCGCTGTGAAACCAAACCGAGTCATCTTTACAAGTGAGTCAGAAGGTTACATTTACCAGCAGGCCCTGATGGCCTAAAACCAGAATGCCGGCATGAGTTTCGTAATGTATATGCTATAATCATTTTGTGAAACCGGGTCATTTAAAACCTCGAATTCCCCGAAGCCAGTTCCTTCGACAACTGAGTGACAGCTGCTGGAATCTATTTACATATTTTTGAATAAATGGCGACATGATTTTATACGTCGTGCTACCGTGACACGTGTGGTTGTCTGTCCCTAGTTGAAGTCCTACATCCGGGCACTCGCAGGAGTAGGCGTCAGTGGTGTTGAGTGTTGGCCTGGCACTCGTTCAGGGTGTCTTTGTACGTAGCAACCATAGCGCTACGACTGTCGTAAACCGTGGACTCTAAGCGCTGGTGTCCAACAGGGGTCAGTGCTTGGCCCTATTTTATTCATTGGATACATTAATGATATAGCAGATGAATTTGATTGCTTAACGCGTCTTTGGGTTACTCATCACCAGATAACAGGATTATTGAAATGAATCTAAATGCTAATTTATGTAAGGTAAATATTTGGGGTAAAAGATGGCTAATTAAGTACAACCCAGAAAAGACGGAAGCTGTCCTATTCTCGATGAAAAATGATATCGACATACCACATCTTTATTTTGATGGTGTTGAAATTAAAATTGTTGATAATCATAAACATCTTGGAGTAAACTTTACCCACAATGGAAAATGGGTTGGCATATTCAAAATATGATATAAAAAGTTTCAAAAATGGTTACCTCCATTGGAATATGTATATATGTAGGGGTACTCTTAATAAGATCTATACCATGTTCATTCGGCCGCATCTTGAATACGCATGTGAAGTCTGGGACGGGTGTACTCTTGAACAAATAAATAAGCTAGAACAGATTCAATTACAAGCAGCGAGAATAGTTATTGGTTTACCAAAATATACATCACGTGAATTTCTTTATTTTGAAACTGGATGGGAAACATTACAAGATCGTCGTAGAAAACGAAAACTGTTTTATGTATAACATTCAAAATGAAATGGCTCCTCCATATCTAAAAGAACTGCTTTCTTGAATGTTGGTTCTAAATCAAAGTATAATGTACGCAGTTCTCTAAATATATCGATTTCTATTCCAAGACTTCCACCGTTTGTAATTCAAAAAGTGTTTCAACTTTTAAATCATGTATAACTGATAACCATGCATATGCACCTCAGTATTATTCGTGTGGTAAAAGAAAATTAAATATTATTCATACCAAGTTGCGTTATTCAGTTAGTTGTTTGAACTTTGATTTGTACAGAGTTGGAATGAAAACTGATCACATTTGTATATGTTGTGATTCTATTGAAGGCTCGTATCATCATCTGTTTGAAATGTCCATTGTACAAACAACAGAGAGTTAACTTCATGTTATCTGTTAAGCGCATTTGTTCATCAGCAGTTATTTCAGTTGACCTTAAAGGTTTGTTAGAAGGAAGTGCACACCTATCATCATGTGAAAATACAAATGTATTGAAGTTAGTGTAATTGTTCATAAGTGAGACAAAACGATTTGTGTAGCATATTGATATTATTTTGTATAAACTCTATCTCTTTTTACTTATATTGTACTTTCTTGTCCACTATCTGTCATCTTTAGTTGCGGGAATCTAATTTACCTATGTACATACCAAGGAGAGGGTATTCTAAATTGGAGAACTTGTTCCTAATCCTTTTCTCTGTGAATAAAATATGTTTAAAACAACAACGTTTAGATAGGAGTTTCCCGTTGGGGTATTTCCGCACACAAGCATGGCTGCAATTGGGAACTATATGATAAATATAGCGCTATATTCAAAATATAGTACATAAATAAATATAGAGAAACATAGTTTTAATATTCCATTTCTAAATTTACTTAATTGAGTTTATAGGTGTGTAGGACCCGTATGTTTTGTCACAAGAGTGACCATTCGTCACCACTCGCGCCTTTCCGTAACCTCCAAGCTATTCGGCTTGTCCCGGAATAACATGAGACCATTCGTGACCAACTCGTGTTATTCCGGGACAAGCCGCTTGGTCGAGTTTACGGAAAGGGGCGAGTGGTGACGAATGGAGTGAGACCCGACTCTCGTTTAAATCCCCAGCACTGATTTTGGGACGAACTTAGTGCTTTATGAAAATTCTTTTTCCAAACATCGGACACAAATCCAAAATGCCGATCCCCTTTTATTACCTCCTACCACCACCGGTACAAGAACATAATATAATTCATTTTTGTACAAGATTCTTTCATTTAATTATATTGGAACATATTTGAGAGAGGTTTTTGTTTGCCAGATTGTTTTAAAGTATAAATACTTGTCCATTTTAAGTAACGTTAACGTTCTGGGATTAAGGTGTCTCTTTTCCTGTGTTATTTATTTTATTATATATATTTGTATAGCGCCAATATCCAGCTCAGCTGCTCAAAGGCGCTTTGTTTTTTCCTCGATCGTTGGATGTCAATCTCAACTCCCTAGATCATACTTGCAGCCACTAGGCGCACCGAGTTAATGTGGCTTTCCCACCCTTACGATGTACCCATTCACAACTGGGCCAAGTTTACTGCACGTTGCTGTACCCGCAACTAGGTGATAGCACGTATTCAAGTGGCCACTATCTGGTCATATACCAACGGATTCGTGGGTTCTTTTAAGTGCACAGGGTTGTGTACTGTACACTAGGGGTTGTGACTCAACCTCGCTGGATCACTAGCCTGGCACCTTAGACAGCTCGCCCACCACACCCCTATTGAAATTGTTCCATCGAAATATGTTCTAACATTTGAATATAAAGATAATTTACTATTCTACCTGACGAACCGCTATCAAACATTATTGATCCAAACTATAGCCATTACTTCAGCATACGGATCAATAACATGATTTAAACTTAACCAACCCTACAAACAATATATAAACCAACCCTACAATCATTTATAGGTAAATAATGATAATTTATCAGTTACCATGCATTAATAATACCGATGAACAATAGATGCTTGCACTGTGCATTAAGTGAACCATTGTTTTCAGTGCAGCGACTGATGCCTGAGGGTACTGAATTTATACCTTGATAAACTAATTATAATATTTTTAATATTGAGCATTGTCAGAAACCAGCGTGGATGATCCCTTCATACGGATGAAAAATGAAGGAATGTCTGCCTTGAATGAGTGAGCGAGTTTAGTTTTACGCCGCACCCAGCAATATTCCAGCTATATGGCGGCGGTCTGTAAATAATCGAATCTAGACCGGGCCATCCAGTGATAAACAGCATGAGCATCTATTTACGCAATTGGGATACGATGGCATTTGACAACCAAGTCAGCGAGCCTGACCACCCAATCCCGTTAGTCGCCTCTTGCGACAAGCATGGGTTACAGAAGGTCAATATTCTAACCCGGACCTTCAAGGGTCTTTTGGGAAGCGACAACGCTTTGTCCGTTCTAGGACTCCATACAATTCTCATGCCTAGGTATTTTCGTGTGTAGAGAAGACATATTGTCATCAAGATAACATGACAATATAAATCGATGGATGTATGTTCACAGGACCAACAAAATATGCGCTCTGATATCCCTTAAACAGCATCCACAGTTCATTGAATATTTCATTCATCTCGAACATCAAATGCTGTGAATACTTAATTCATCAACTTCATAAATAATGCACACAGCTTCGTTTTTAACCACACGTGCGTGTACAGATAAAAAAAGCTCATATCTGGTGGGGGCGACGGTTGGCTTAGTGGTTAAAGCGTTCGCTCGTCGAATGAGAGAGGAATGAACGATTTACGCCAATTTTAGCAATATTCCTGCAACACCAGAACACCAGAAATGAAATAATCTTAGTCAATGGGTTTAGGTTTATGCAGCTTTCAGCAATATTCCAACAATATCAATTCGGGGGGCACCAGAAATAGGCTTCACACATTGTACCCATGTGAGGAATAGAACCTCGGCCTTTGGCGTGACGAGCGAACGCTTTAACCACTAGGCTATCCCATCGCCCTTCGCATTTGAGATTGGTGGTCAAAAGATTTTTCCATCAGGTACCCAACAGCCCTTTGATTGGATTGTTTGAGTGTACATCATGGGATACCCAAGGAAGACTTGTATCTGTGTAGCTACCTAAAGAGGATCGGTTGGTCAGACTACACGGCGGATCGCGGGGGTCGTTGTTCTTGCAATCAAGCTGGTATGACCTATACGTTGTTGTTTACATGCCGTGAAATGGCTGCAGAAACATGCAGAACGTATTCATTGACATAGGAAGTGGCCCCGTCGTCTACGGCGCTGCGATTCACTGTGCGGAGTTGCGTCCCTTTGGCAAGACAGGCACCTGTGATCGTAGGTTCGAATCTCGGTTAGCGCCGTTTATGTTTTTAGGTGATTCAGCTCCATACCTGTGCTGTGGGTTTCAACGAGGAAACATGTCTCAGACTTGCACTACGTCATTCTTTCCAAGCTAACGTTACAACAGGATTCACTCACTCACTCGCTCACCCCAAGTGGCCATCCTTCATGTTAACCACGTGGGCACCCTCCGTTGAACCAGAACATGAGTAAAACTGGAGAAAGTTACCAGAACACTGGTCGGTGACAAGCATATTAGACTGTGGTGGAATTGGGTTTAACGTCGTGCTTGAGAATATTTCGCTCATATGACGACGTGCATGCGTGTGTATGTGTATGTGCGGCTGCTTGTACTAGCCCAGACTGAAGCTGGTTTTATTGCCCGACGTCGAGTCGCAGTGTTTTTAGAGCGTCCGGCTTGCGGAAGTCGCGGGCGTCGATCACGATCGCGTCATGTCAGTTGACCTTTAAATATATGGTAATGTTGTTTATTTAAAAATCAACAAGAAAACGTCCGGAATATACTGGAAAATTCATGATTCACTGGGCAAGTGATTTTGCAGTGGGCCACTGTACCCAGAGTCTGGGCTACTAGCAATTTTAAAGTTATTTCCACCCCACGTGGTGGTGACGAAATATCATGATCAAAGCCTTGTTTGTTTGTTGTTTAACGTCGCAGTGAAGCATGACTCCCCAGCACAGTACACCGGCTTTACGGTGGTATGTAAAATGCAACCCAGTCTGGACCAACAGACTACCATAGTGATCAACTTTTGCATGAGCATCGATGCGGTCCTAAGCAGTTTGGATACAGCGGCATGTGTCAAGCAAGTCAGCGAGCCTGACCAACCGATTCCGCCAAGAGTATGGGTTGCTGAAGACCAATTCTATCCCGGATATTCATGGGTTCGGCGCTAAGGTAACTCCCTTACGACAAAGTGAGTGCGTACGGTTTTACGCCGTTTTAGCAATATTCCAGCAATATCACAGTGGGGAACACCAGAAATGGGCTGCACACATTGTACCCATGTGGGGAATCGAACCCGGGTCTTCGGTGTGACGAGCGAACGTGTTAACCACTAGGCTACCCCCACCGCCCCTTGTCTTACAAACCTCTGTCATATAGTTGAAATATTGCCGAGGACAGCCTTTACTTACCTACTTACAACTTACTTATTCAGGCCATTCGCCCCATGGGAGCATATGCCATCAACGGCAACTCCCCCATCTAACAAAAAATAAATAAATAAATAAAAAAAAATTATTATTATTATTTTTTTTGTTAAATATAAAAAAAATAATCCCCATCTAACACGGCTCAGGGTTAACTGCTCTTGTTAAGAAACAAGCAAAATATATATTGCTAACCATCTTGAATCAAAATGATATTATTTGATTGACGTTCAGAGATTAGTTATCGAAAGAATAAGTAAATATAAAACGATGTTGCCGGGAACTTTAATGGACAACATTATGGATTAATTTCAGAGTTTTGGGTGCAGTGTGATATCAGTCGGTATACTAGGTGTCGGTTGTAGCATTTGTCGGTATTCTTGCGGGTCACTGTACGTTGACGCAGGCCCTCTGCGCAGGGTCAAAGGTCATTCCCTCATCGCACGTATCGGTGGACGTGATTCTCTGGTCCAGGCACGTGATGTAGATGTTGCTGTTGGGGTACCCGGGATGGGGATGAGCTCCGTCATCCAGCCCCTTGCAGTCAGGAACGTTACAGTGAGCGCAGAACTTGTCCTCGCATCGGAACACATAGTAGTCGCCTAGCAACAACACAACAAGCTTCAGTCGCATAGCAACCACATAACAAGCTTAGGTCTCCTTGTTACAGATGCACTGGTGTCCAGTTTTTTTGGAATACTGTAAGGGACATTCTCGCGATCTCGCATTCTCGCGATCTCGTCCTTTGGAATCAAGCTAAAAATTCCCAAAGTGTAAGAATGCGAGATCGCGAGAACGCGAGATGTGGCCAAAGGACATTCTCGCGAACTCGCATTCTCGCTCTTTTGGCATTTTTAGCTTGATTCCAAAGGACGAGATCGCGAGAATGCGAGATCGCGAGAATGTCCCTCACAGTATTCCATACGTAACATGGTCATGATCAAGCCTCAGCGGTATTCCAGCAATAATCAAGTCTGAGCATGCCAAACAAGGAGCTGATAGATATAACAATCGACACTCACGGAACGATGACGTGCAGGCAAGTCTGGACATCCAATTCCCAGTTTTTATATATCCGCCAAAGGGTTGCAGTGTCACGCAAACAGTCCAGTCATAGTCTGGACATCCAATCTCCATTATATCAGATGCCCGCCATTGGGCTATACAATGAAACGCAAACAGTCCAGTCATACCAGGACATCCAATCAGGACATTCATGGGCGCCTTGGGACGCTTTACCTGGATTCAAAGACCTCAGCGATATCTAGGGATAATTTCATTTTCTTAGTTTAATAAAATGTTGAAAGGTAATATACATGTATTTCTTGAGTGGAGAATGCGAATTGTGAGGTTTTGAAAAATAAAAATTATTCCGAAGTTTCCCTTTCAGGAATTGAATATTTGTCGAAAAGTAATGATAATTTCTTGGAACCTCAAGCTCTGTTCAAAATGTTTTACGAAAAACAATACTACAATACTAATATCGAGTTATCAGATTTCGACACAACGGTGCTCGACTGTATTTGTTTTCCTGCTGGGAACTGCTATAACGCATTCTAATTTATTCAAATTAATATTTCTGTAGTTCAAAAATACCCCATTTTTAGATTTTATGGTGTAAATATATTGTTTGTCTTACATATTGCTGTTGGTTCCTCCCTGTCTCCGCAGTCGACGTTGTTGTAATGATCGCATGTGCCGGCGTCTGCGTTGAAGAGCAAGGGGAAGGGGCACTCCTGAAGATGGTCCGGCCACCACAGGAGCTGGGCCCGGGCGCTGCAGTTGTAGTAGAGGCTGCAAATATCCGAGTGCATGACGACGTCAATGTCGTTCGGGCACACTGACGGGGTCTGGATGTCACCTGAAGAATTGGTGAGTGAGTGAGTGAGTTCAGAAAACGATTTCTCAAATGAGTATATATCTTACAGACAAAAAATCTAACAATGTATTCATCCTGTATCAGTGATTGAGTTTAGTTATACGTCGCTCTTTGCAATATTTGTGGGGGACACCAGAAATGGGCTTCACACATTGTAACCATGAGGGGAATCGAACCCAGGTATTCGGCGTGACGAGCGAACGCTTTAACCACCAGGCTACCCCATCGCCCTCGCTTGAAGAATGATATCGGAAGTTGGTTTGAACTGTTTCGTAAACATCACTGTGTGTACGTTTAACGCGAATGGATATTTCTGACCAACTGTTGTTATTCCGGCACAAGCTTCTTGCAAGTTACGGAACATAGCGAGTGGTGACGAGTGGTGAAAGCCGGGACGCATGCGCCAGTACTTAAAAGTTGTAAAACAGCCCGTAAGTAGGTCACGGCACTTCGCGAGATCTTAGTACTGCCAGTGACAAACAATGTTTCATACCTTTTCGAATGGTCTTATATTATGGTTGTCAGCTGGCAGTAAGGAACCGATAATCCTTGCAGGAATAACACATTTACGATCGGACCATCACCAAATTAGCCAATTGTTACGACTGTCAACAGCTGTGACAGCCAAGCATGGTTGTACACTTGTTCCGGTCGAGTTAAGTCATGTTTGGCGGTCGCGTTATTTGGAACCAGAACTGGTTCTTGAATATACGCTTGGTACCACTCTCCTACCCAGAGTTCCATGCGATCAGCATAGTACCTCTGCCACAGGCCAGAAAGAAAAGTCCATTCAATATAATGAACGTATTTCTTAACCCTTTTATTTTTGAAGAATCTAATTAAACATCTTTGATAAAATGGTTTAGTTTCACTGGGAAAATATCCTAAAACGTGTGACACTTTGTTTACATTAGTTGTATGTCATCGAAGCCTTATGGAGTGTAAAAGATGCAGCCCGTTTGATATATAAATATGTTTTGTCATATCCCTTACTGTCGCGGGTGTATTTATGAAATAATGTAAAACATTATGAAGACCGGTCCGAATCGCTTGCGTTTGGCCAGTCTCTTTACGAATATGCACGTTTGTTCACAAACAAGAGAAAACTCCGGTCACGTGATATGCAAATTAGCCTGTGGCAGTGATGTTATTAAGCCTTCACTGCGACGTGGTGTGGCTTGTCACTGGAAATCTGATAGCGGAAGTAAGCTGGGCCCCGTCGCGCATATCGCAAGTTGGCGTGCGCAAAAGGAGTCGGAAACCAGCTTAGTACCGGAAGTAGATCCACGCGAGACTACTCGAGGGGTATATTGTGTGTACGTCTATGTATCTTCAGCCGTTATGCGGGGGTCGCGTCGTTCATGTCGCAATACAAGCGCATCGTCAGTATAATAATGTAGGAAAGCAAGGCAAAGCCGGAAAGAACAGAACGTTTTATAATAGCGGTCCATACCGGATCTCAGCTTGGCGCAGGTTGACGCGCGCATATTGATATGGGAACCAGCTTACTTTAGCAGTCAGCATACATTCAGAGGGGTCGGTTATTAACTAATTTATCTTATGGTCTTTCATTCACACAGGTTCGGAATGTTTGCCCGCAGTTTCGTAGTTTCACTGAGTTGGCAAACTCATCCCGGACGATGCAAACGAGCCGAGTTACCCCCCTTTACCAATGCATTCGCGCAACATCGGCACAATGGTTATACTTATGCGAGATGAACAAGTTACCTAAAATGAACTCTGATGTTGACACGCTATGGATCAGAATCAGGGAAGTTTGGAGAAAATCCCATGGTTTTAACTTGTGGATTCGAAGCGCGTCTAAGTAAACACCTTAGCACAACGAATTTCCTAACCAACGCTAATCGAACCTATCTCTCAATATGCGAAGATGGCGTAGATTAGTTATAGGATTTAGAGAGACTATTAGGTGAGGAAATTTGGATTTAATCATCGCTTTCGTGTGGTATCCGAGAAGGGCATAACTTTCTCGCCATTAGAGAAAGCGATGTCTCCTCTCGGTCACCATACTTTCCAGAATGTGTCACTTATCTAGCCACGTGCATGCACGTGCGTCGTGTCATCGCATACCAGTTGAATAGCTCGATGCTCGTGATGCTGATCACTGGATTTTCTGATCCAGACTCGATTATTTACAAACTGCCGATAAATAGCTGGAATATTGCTGAGTGCGGCGTTTAACGACAAAGTAACGAACTGTCTAGTATTCACGTGTGTGAACGCGTGGCTGATGTTGGGTAAATCGTGCTAGCTCACTAGCCTCTGTTTCACGTGGATACGCACTCAGACACAGTATTCTGTCTCCTTGTTTTATAACGAGCCGAGCCGAGCCGAGCCGAACCAAGCCGACTCGAGTTTTTCAAGCCGAGCTGCGGGCATGGAAACAACAGGTATAATTCTTCTACGTCTTTTGGTAGGACGCGACCGGGAATCGAACTCTCCAGGCGGGCGATCTATCCACTACACTACGGAACACTCTACACTGAATCTTTGTTAATCCGGACAGGGACGATCCTAGACGAGAAAAATATAAATTTTCGTTGGCCACTCGCCAGAAAATACGAAACAATGTCAGTGGTCGTATTACCAGGCACTGTTAATGTTATGTTAATATTTGGAATCTTGTTTGAACACATGCAGCTAAAAACTCACAGCCATCTTCCGAAGAACCTTTGATGACACATCCCCCTGCTCTCTTGCTGAACACGTAGTCGGGGCCGCACAGCCGTTTGGTGAGGCTGTAACCGTCGTGGCAGTCGTAGTACTGTCGGCAGTCGTAACGGAAGGGGCGGAGGTCGTCCTTGTAGGGCCCCTGGACACACATATAGTCGAACTCCCAAACAACGCTCCCCTGGACAACAGAGGATGCACTACCACGCACGGCACATATCCCCGCCCACAGCAGGGTAGAGAATACAAGGAAGCTCATTGCAAGGACGGCGTCTGCCAAGAAAATCAGCGTCTGAAATTAAACTGAATGCAGTATAAGATTAACTTCATGGTCATAGCTCATGTCTCAGCTCCCTACGGAGTATACAACCCAGTTTGTTTCTTACGCACTAGATTATGCATTCTACCGGGTACCCAGCATCGTCGGATCCTTGCACTTCTTGAGGTCACGCTTTGCTTCCTTGGTCTAGTGGATAGAGTGTGATGTGTCTGATTTGGGTAAAAGGTTAAATCTCTTTCTCTGATAGTAGGTAGGCTGTCCGAATTGTTTCTCATATTCCGTGTCCTCCTTGAATTCAATGACTTGGTTGACACATGGCATCGGTTCCCAATTGTGTAGATCGATGCTCATGTTGTTGATCACTGGATTGTCTGGTCCAGACTCGATTATTTACAGACCGCCGCCATATAGCTGGAATATTGCTGAGGGCGGCGTAAGACTAAACTCACTCACTCACTCACTCCTGCGTGAAATAATAAAACAAGTTTTCTCATCTAAATTTTTAATGCCGCTATGGAAAATAATGCACAAATGTTATGAAAATATACTCCTACATTTGCTGACTCGTATAAAAACCAAGTCAGCTTGATCATGCGCGCGTCAGAAAAACTCGGCCTAGAATATTAAGTTATTTGGGACGTTCATCTAGTGAAAACAAATGTTAAAATATATACATCAAATTTTTTTTCGCCCGCCCACTCTCTTGAATGTTGAGGTTGTTGTTTAACGCAGCGATTAGCAATATTCCACTTGTTTGGCGGCAGTCTGTAAATATTCAAGTCCGAACCAGACAATCCAGTGACTGACATGAGCATTGATCTACGTAATTGGAATACGATGCCATGTGTCAGCCAAGTTAGCGAGCTGGCCACCCTGTCCTGTAAGTCGCCTCTTACGACAAGCATGGGCTGCTGAAGAACAATTCTAACCCGGATGTTCAAGGGTTGCTGGAGATGAGAACACATAGAAGGCAATACGGATTGCCCCGAGGAGCGTCAAAAAAGGGTTCACGTGAAACCAGGGATAATATTCAGAACGAAGAGAAAATTGCACCTTCTCTACTTACCAGTTTGTACGTTAACGCTGCCACTGGGTTCGTAAACACTGTTCCCGAACCGCCATTAAAATACATTTTATGTAAAATAAGAACACAAACTATGCCCCTTTTGTAATCGTAATTACGATAATTAAGAACTAAGAGAAACACTCACATTCTCCACCTACCACATGGGCTTCGGGGTAGCCTAAAAGTGATTAAAGCTCGTCATGTCTAACCAGGGTTCAGTTCCCCACATGGGTACAATGTGTGAAGCCCTTTTCCGATGTCCCTGCCATAATATTGATGGAATATAGCTAAAAGCGGCGTAAAACTAAACTCACTCACTACTTACCTGTTTTTGTGTGTTAACGCTTCCCTTGGGTTCGCAAACACTGCTGCATTGTTTCCCGAACCGACATTTATATACATTTATGTGGGGAAAAAGGAATATAAACTACGACCATTTTGTAATCGCCTGGGTAGATTCCGTGGTATTGCACATACACAAAAGAAATTAGAAGAAAACATACATAATGATTGGTAATATAATACCATATATATGCATGTCTGTAAGTATTTATAATATTTTCAGATTTCGCCCATTGTTGGGCAAAGTTCGTGGTCTAGCTGAAAAAATCAATTCGGAGAAAAATAGCAACAATTGTATTTGTTATATCGCACCATAAATATACATATGTATGTACATACATACCATCTGAATATGTTCAGATAGCAGAAAGGCCTCGTGTATCTGGAACGATAAAGAGATACGAACACAGCTTGCTCCAGTAAAGGTATATTCTATGTAATGTACTTGTGAGGGCTAGAATGTCGTGATACACGTATGGGCGGTCGCCTCCATGACCGAAGCGCTACCTCACTTTAAAGGCTAGTAATGATTGCGAGGCGGCGCGAGACGGAGCGAGACGACGCGAGGCGGTGCGAAGCGATAAACACATGTTGCATGGGTAGGGCAGTATTTGTTTATGTGTTTCACGTAACCACCATTGGTCGGTTGGTTAAACAGGGCACCTGCATCTGTAAAAGAAGAATAGACCTGTCCTAAACCAGTTTAATCTGTTTTCTTTGGTATTCAGGAAATAAATTATAAATACTGTCATTATATGATTTATAGATGTGATACCCATAACACAAATTGCACTTCAAGCAGAAGCAGCCGAAAACAACAGAGAAAAGCGGCAGAAAACAACAAAGTAAAGAGGCATGATTTCTCGGGGCAGTGCTTATTAATCCCTTTGAACAGACTAATACTACAAGCTTGGTCTTGCTGAGTCTTTGTTTAATTGTGTCAATGTTCATGTTGATATTCAAATTCACTGTCTATAAAAAGCTGCTTTTTGTGGGGCACAACTTTCAACTATTTCTTTTAGAACAGCATTTTACAACATGGTACTACTATGTTTTACAACATAGTACACTGAGTTGATCTCATTACTTGACTTGACTTAATTTCACAGACTTCGTGCTGTTACACATTCCTTGAGAATGCTTCACTGTATTGTTTTGCGATGTGGGTGTATGGCTAAGCCTCTTCGTATTCATGGAATATCAACTCGAAGTCTCAATTGTTTAATCCAGAACTCCACCGTTACAACACGGCTCCAACACATATATGAAAGTCAGTTGCGACTTGATGAAACATTCATGAGAAATAGATGTAACTGCGTTGAAACTCAAGCATAACCTAACACAATCCCAGATTAAAGTGATTTGAAACGTTAGGTGAAACTTTCCTGTCGAATACAGACTTTAACCTGCTTTTTTCTGCAAAACAAACCCTCAGAATTATCCCTTCATGACGCAGACCGCGCGGCTTTCTCTCAACCGTCAACTTCCGCTCATAACGTCCCCAATTAGAGTTATTCCCCTTGATACCAAAATTACTGTGAGCAGCGAGTTGCACTCAACTTGATAAAACGTAATGTCTCTGAACAACTGATTCCAATACACCGGGAGGACAAGCGTCGCTGTGATCAGTGTCTGTATCTAGAATCAACTACAACTAAAGTCACTCTTGTGAAAACATTACTGGAACTTTAATAACTATAGTCATTTGCAACACGAACTTGAATCTCCAATCTCTGGAGCTTGGAGTGAAGACTGTTATGTCTGAGTCTTCACTGATCCGAGCACCAATCGGACGTTCATTCATCAAGTTGATCACCTCTGCACATACTGTCAGGAATTCAGATGCAGATAATCGTTGGTTGTGGACAGCAAAATGAATAGCTCTCTTGGCACTCTTGACTAGTGCCTCTACTGCTCCTTGGTGCCAAGGAATGTCTGCAGGTCCAAAGAGCCATTGCAGACCATTTTCTGTACTTTGTCTTGTGACAGGACCTTTGTCAATCTTCTGCCATGCTTCTTTGAGTTCACTCTCCGCTCCAATCAGCTGTGCTCCTGGGTCACTGAATATTGGTTTTGGGCCAGCCTCTGTTGCTAACAAATCTGCTGAAGGCTAAGATGAATGAATATGTGTCGTAGCCAAACACACCTTCTAGGTGAACTGCTCTTGTAGCAAGGTTTGTGGAAATCACTCCATATGCCTTCCCACTTGAACGTTTTTAGACTTCACCTCGTATCTTGTATGGTCCAAACAAATCAACCATGACATGATTGAATGGAGTAGAAGGTTTCAACCTCGCTTCTGGAAGGAGGCCCATTTCCTGAGAGAGTAACGTTGGCTCCGTTAAGTTACACAACTCACAGTTTGTCTTCACACTCTTTGCCAGTTTGTCTCCATGAGGAACCCAAGAGTGTTGTCTGAATCTGTCAAGAGTAGCGTTTATTCCCCTGTGTCCTGCTTCATGAGCCTTCTTCATGTAGAGCCTTGTAACATAGTGACTTGCGGGTAGGAGTTTCTGTAGGCTCGAGTCTGATGTCATGGCGTTGAACCTTCTCATGCGTTCGCCGACAGTCCATATGTCATCAGCTCCTTTCACTGGATTCAACCTTGAGTAACGACCAGACTTGCCTTTTTGTAGATCTTCAAGGATTGTTGCTTGAACATCTTTCACGATTAACTTTTCTGCTTCACGGAGGTCTTTTGGGGTAACATTAATGTGATGGACACCTTTGAATGACTTGTACCGGAGTACATTCTTCACCCTAGCTATAGTCCAAGTAACTCTGTCGATGGAACTGAACTGGTTGTAGTCAATCAAAGACACATGTGTTAAAGCTGTTGTCGTTGAACAGACTCTCTTCTCATCTGGCACTGCGACACCAAACTTCAACCCCCAGTTCGTAATTGGTCTGTATCCACCTTTCTGAATCTGATGCGAGTTGATTTGGCAACCGAGCCCTTGTAAGCCAATCAGCAATGTTGTTTTCAACACTGATCCATGCCCAATTTGACATGTCAATATTCGAAGCAGCTTGAATTTCACCAATTCTCACACCTTCGTACACTTTGAATCTTGTACTGGTTTTGTTTATCATGTTCAAGACAGTCTCAGAATGCACTAAGTGAAGTGTCCTTTGAAAGTCATATCTCATTTCCTTTTTGATCACAGCACATACTCTCTTGGATAGGACTGCTCCATTGAGTTCCATCTGTGGTGTTGAGACCCTATTGATAGGTGCTATCCTTGACTTTGACATGATCAATCTCAACCAGTGAGAGTCCACAAAATGTTAGCAGCACATCCATGGCAATGTCGCTTCCATCGCTGAGTATGACAAGACTTGGCCTTCCAATTGCATCATCTGGGCGTAGACACCTGTCATACTTCACATTTTGTATTTCAAACATAGATTTGAAGAACTTGATCCACTCCACCTGGAGACTCTGAGGGAGTGCCTCATCCCATCTCAGCTGCAATATCCATGTTTCTCTCAAGTACATCTTTGCAAAAAGTGTAAATGGGCTTAAGAAACCCAGAGGATCATAGATGGTCATGACTTGTTCAAGGACCATTCTTCTTGTGAGTCTCTGTGGTATACCTCTTGGGACGTCTGTCTCTTCCAAGTAGGGACCAGTCCGTTGGCCTTTCTTCTTCTGTGAGAAGTTCAGTGTTACTTGAAATTCCATCAGATCTTCTCCAGGATTCCAACCCATGCCCAATACTCGTAGGTGCTTCATTGCTCCTTTGAGCAGCATTTTGGATTCAGGTTTTCCCTCTGGAGCTTCAAGATCCTCTGCTCGTCGACTGAAATGCCAACACTTGACTTGAAAACCACCTTTGCCCAGCATACTTTCCGCTTCCACTGATATCTGTTTTGCTTCTACAATATCTCTGAATGAATCAATGAGATCATCAACATATACTGAACAGCAAAAGAAACGCAAGTTTCGAAAAAATTAAATTTCATGAAGGTAAGCGTTCATGTTTATGGAACGTTTATGGGAAAGTGACGTCATGATCCCCGATGAGATTATGTCATGCAGTTTGACGTCCATACGAAACATTCGCACAAACACAACCACAGTGCAGCAAAACAATAATTTTAGCACGTGCATCGACGGTTCTGGGTGGAAAGCATGCATTTCACTCTGAGGTATCCTTTATAAAGGTTTGTGTCAAAAAAAGGTTCAGCATTGACGCTAGGAGGTGTACACGCCACACAAACGGTGCCTAGACTAACGACTGAGCAGAGGGGAATGGCCATTGGAAAGTTGCACGGAGGTAGCTCTGCAACCGCTGTAGCTAGACAATTGGGCTGTCATTTTACAACCATTACACAACTTGCTCAACGTCATCAGCAAACCGGGGTTGCTGCTGATAGTCCCTGTCCCGGACGGCAACGAGTGCAACTCATACGCAAGGTCGGTTCATCCGGGTCACTCATCTAATGAACCGAACTCAAGCAGCAACAGTAACAGCAGCCTTAGTTCTTGGGTCAAGGGGAGCAGTGTCCAGCGATACGATTAGGCGTCATCTTCGGGCTGCTGGAATCCACTGCCGAAGGCCATATGTGGGGCCAATTTTGGCAAAGGTGTCGATGGATTGTCTGGCTCAGAACAACATTAACATTTTGCCATGGCCATCTCTTTCCCGGATATGGCTCCCATTGAACATTCTGGGACGAAATTGGACGGAGGATTGGGGCAGGTAGACAGCCACTCACTCTAGTGAACGCAATGAGGCCACGTGGCACGGCCTGTGTGCAAGCTCAAGGTGGCTATACGCGCTACTAAAGAGATTGTCACTTTTCGCGTTCAGGGGTATCTCCATTTGACGGACTGTGATCAATTGGAACTTATTGCAATTCAATGTCAACAGCAACTTTTAGCTGTTAAATTGACAGTGTGTTCTATAGAATAAATGATTAGACATGATTTTGGTTGTCTTCTATTCAAAAACTTGACAAAAAGCCAGACTTGCGTTTCTTTTGCTGTTCAGTATAGCTTGACTTGAGAAGAAGTTCTGAGGTTCTTGGGCTTTCCTCCTTAAACATATCTGCAGTCTTGTACATGGCTTCTGTGCTTATCGCCGGAGCTGGTTTATCCCCCATGTTGACACGTTCAATGATGTATACATCTGGTTTCCGATCAGTTTCCAGACCTCTCCATAAGGAACGATGGCAATGCTGTTCAAGTGATTCCATGTAGATGGAGTTGAACATCTTCCTGATGTCTCCTACTACTGCAACGCCTTTATCTCGCCACCTTAGCAAAAGTCCAACGAGGTTGTTAAGGTAGCAGTCTGGGCTTTTGGCAAGACAGCTGTTGAGAGAGATGCCTTTTATGATTGGCTTGAATTAAACACCATCCGCACCGGAGTTGATTGTGACTTTGGGTTCACTACTGCTAAGTGATTGATATAAAACTTGGGTCCAGTCCAACTTTCTGACTCTTCTGTGGAAAGTTTTCTGGCTACACCTCTGTCCACTATATCTTTAATCTGTAGACTGTAGGCTGATGCCCACTGTGGATCAATCTTCAGTCTACGTTCAGTGTTCAGGAGGGTCTGGTAGGCTATGTTGTAGCTGTCTGGGAGTACTTGTGGATCTACAATCCAAGAGTAACTTGTAACCCAATGACTATGTTCCTTGTCATAGCGCAAATTTTCCCGGATCATCCTCAGTTCTTGTTCTTCTTTGAAGGAGTATGTGTGACCTACAGCCGGACATTTTCCACAACGGCATCCACCACAATGAGGAGTTACACCAACACACAGATTTTCTCCCATGATGAAATTGTTCACTTCTGTTTCCTTGGACAATGTGGGGACACTACTTGACACTTCACTTGCAGTCATGGAATGGGCAGCTTTATCTTTAACACTAGGATGTTTATTTGGTAAAGTGAATTCTGGATGAGAATACATGAGACTTGAATGAATTCTGTCAGTTGTCAGCAGGTCACTTTCATGGACGGTCTTGGCAAGACAGCTATCAATCACTGTTTATTCTTTGAGCTTAGGATGAGTTCCCTGTCAGCAGATTCCCAATTCACCTTTCATGATACTAAGGCTGTCACCAGCACTAGCAACTTCAGTTTTTGGATGGAGTCCAAAATAGTTACAACCGAACAAGATGTCAACTGTGTCGGAGCATCTTTGAAGTAGGTAGATGTTGTATTCTGGAAACAGTTCTGTCAGCACTTCAGTGTCTAGTTTACTGACTTTTCCTGTAATCTTTTCCATGCCACAAGCTGTGATTGAGACATTCTTGCCACTCTGTGTCTGTAGACATACTTCATACTGACATGTGTTGTAAGTCTTTTTCACATTTCCCACCGTTGTGGTATCTAGCGTAAACTGTTTCAGTTTGTTTGCTCGAAGACGATCTGCAGCTCTGTGTGTTATGTATGTTGTGTTGGATCCGCCATCGCAGAACACTGTTGCTTTCTTTCTCATTCCTAGTACATCAGCTTCCTGAATCGGATACAAAGAAAGTGCTGCAGTTGACACAGTATGACTTTCTACCATACTTTTCACTGTTTCAGGTGAGTTACTCTCTGAAGAGTGATTACCACTTTTACACAGCAGTCTGTGGTGACTGCTTCTCCTGCACACTGAGCATGGTCTCCTGTTGGGGCACATGGACTTTCTGTGATTCCCAAAACAGATGAAACATGCATTCACCTCCATTAGAAACTTCAGTCTGTCTGACAATGACTGCTTGATAAACTCATGACATTCCTCTGTGGTATGGTTTATGCCATTCCTTCTGTGATTAGGAAAGGCACATGAATAAAACTTCTTCTGTGGTCCTTTGTTCATGAGTTGTATAGACTCTTTACCTTCACCGTGATTAGTCACAGAGCTTCTGTTGCGATCCATGGTCCCGCCTCTGTACTGTTCACTCCAAGAACTTCTACCTTTCGGCTGGCTCTCAGCCATATCTCTCTCCCTCTCAAGGAACTTCATAAATGGTGTAAATGGCTTGATCTTCTTAGATGATGGTAAGTCATGATACCTTCTCATCCATTCAACCTTTACCTGAGGACTGAGGAACCCTGAGATTCTGCCTACATCCCTCATAGATAAAACATCCATCTGACCTAGTTCTTCAAGCTGACTGTAAGTGGCTTCAGTTTCATCAATGAGTTCTACCAAGCCCCTATAATCATCTTCTTTAAATAGTTTCAGTTTCTGCAAATTGTCAAAAGCAGCTTGAACACTTGAACTTGTGTCATCATAATATGCTTCAAGCTTTTGCCACATGATGCCATATGCTTCCGGCTTTGTAGCAAACACAGACTTTATTCGCTGTGCGCCTTCACCGTGAACTGACTGTTTGAGTTCATGAGCGAGAGCAGTTTTACTGTTGCATCCATGTTCAGCTAACTCTCTCCACACAGCTTTAAATTCAGGCCAATCTATTCTTTTACCAGAAAATGTTGGGAAAGTCAACTTTTTCATCTTGACATCACTCCTGGAGTAACTTTTGGTATGTGGTGTTCCTAACAGTGGTTACTGAGGTTCAAGGTTTGGGAAACTTGTGTTTGTTGGCGATGAAGAACTAGCCTGAGGAATTGTTTGTCTTTCAGGATTTTCTATCTTCACTTTACTTTCAAATGTTGGTTTAAGTTCTGTGTCAGTTGGTTGTGACTGAATGAATGTACTGGAACATGGGTTCTGTACAGATGTACTTGTAGCCTCAGCTATTGTAACATACACTTCTCTCTTCATTCTGTCTATAGAACTGTATATATTTTCCATAGTTCTCAGCTCTTTACAGAAATGTTCTGGTCCTAACAACTGCAACAGAGTTCCTAACTGGTTGTTCATGGAAACTAACAACTAATCAACTGTATCTCTGTCATACTGAAGAGTGTGAAAATCTGGATATGGTGATAGAAGATTACATTCCATTTCTTTTAGCAAGCTGCTAATTTTGTTCATATTCCTCTTCAGTGTGTCCTGCAAAGGTCCTGCATTCTTTTGGTTTAATGCCAATTGTTCAGCTGTTTTGATTTCTGAAAATTTGTTTCTGGCTTCTTCACATACTTTAGAAACATTGTCCCTGTATTCTACCTGATCTTCACCATCTGCTGTACTGTGTTCAGTCATATCCTCCCCTTCTATGGCCTGGGTATATTCACTATAAATGTCAAGAAAATCAATGTAGGCTTTCTCCAGTTCAATCATTAAATTGTGAAGAATTTCTTTGTCATGATTTCTCGGGGCAGTGCTTATTAATCTCTTTGAACAGACTAATACTACAAGCTTGGTCTTTCTAAGTCTTTGTTTAATTGTGTCAATGTTCATGTTGATGATATTCCAATTTCACTGTCTCTAAATAGCTGCTTTTTTGTGGGGCACAACTTTCAACTATTTCTTTTAGAACAGCATTTTGAATGATTTACAACATAGTACACTGAGTTGACCTCATTACATGACTTGACTTAATTTCACAGACTTCGTTATGTTACACATTCCTTTAGAAAGTTTCACTGTATTGTTTTGCGATGTGGGTGTATGGCTAAGCCTCTTCGTATTCATGGAATATCAAGTCTCAATTGTTTAATCCAGAACTCCACCGTTACAACACGGTTCCAACACGTAGATGAAAGTCAGTTGCGACTTGATGAAACATTCATGAGAAATAGATGTAACTGCGTTGAAACTCAGGCATAACCTAACACAATCCTAGATTAAAGTGATTTGAAACGTTAGGTGAAACTTTCCTGGCGAATACAGACTTTAACCTGCCTTTTTTCTGCAAAACAAACCTTCAGAATTATCACTTCATGATAAGCACTTTCTCTCAACCGTCAACTTCCGCTCATAACCTCCCAAATTAGAGTTATTCCCCTTGATACCAAAATTACTGTGAGCAGCGAGTTGCACTCAACTTGATAAAACTTAATGTCTCTGAACAACTGATTCCAATACAACCAGTATCAGTTAAATCATGTATTTTGGTCTGAACTTTGGGAACCCGTGAAGATCCGGGTTAGAATTGGTCATCAGTAACCATGTCGCAACAGGCGACTAACGGGATCGGGTAGTCAGGCTCGCTGACTTGGTTGACACATGTCATCGTATCCCTATTGCGTAGATCGATGATCATGATGTTGATCCAGACACGATTATTTACAGACCGCCGCCATGAGTGAGGCGTCAAACAACAAACCAACCAACCAATCTAAACTGTTGAACAAAAGAAAATCTACTCCATGTTTTATGGTGGCTTAAAAGAAAACAAAGAAGAACTTGTTATTTAATGTCGATATATTTGACGACATAGTTGGTTTTGTACCTTTTTCCTGCGGTGACTGTGTTCAGCCTAGGAACGGTTAAATGACATTCATAACTGTGTAGAAAACCCCAATTTTCGAACGGATACAATATTCGATTCTGCTGACCCTTTTTAAGCAGTGATCACCGGTGTCTTGAACGTGAAATGTTTAGCTTACCTGCTTCATTGGCAGAGAGATTTGGGGGGACCAAATCTCACAGATTTTTTGGTGACCAAATCTCAAAGGGAACAAAGTTACAGGCGCACCTTTTGTTCTTGGTGATTATATCGCTTCAATGATCTGAAACCTCAGGACAATGGCTGCTGGGTAAGAGGGAAGACCCCGAAATTGGCTTATGTTCAAGAAGATTACAAACACACGCGTGTGTGTGTGTGTGTGTGTGCGTGCGCGTGCGCGTGTGCGTGTGTATCTGGTTGTATTTGTTCAGACTGATGTCGGTTATAGTTCCAGCCTTCTGTGATGCCATGTCACACGAATACCAAACTATGACATCGTAAACAGACTCTGAGCGGACCGGTCCTCGGTATATCCACTTAATGCACAGCAGCAGGCTAGGTAACAACAAACGCCATATTTTTGGCGTGACGCGGCCAGGGATCGAACCACCGAATATCCTCTTCCTATTCTAAACCCTCCATCCACTGGACCACGGCGTCTATCCATGTCTGTAAAACCTTCTACGAGTTCCTACGTGCGGCCATGGTCCCTAGTATGGTGATCTCCCTTCAGTTGTTGGCGATCTCTAGCCACTTTTTTATATTGTGTTGTCCAAATAGTGCTATTTGTTTTAACTTTCTACGCTAGTTTTACTTCAAATTGTGATATTCTAGTTGTTTTACTGTCCTTCGTCGGCAGGTTTTTTATAATATACATATATTTCATTTCAATATCAAATGTTCTCGTCACAATATGGCTGAAATATTGCCGATGTGACGTTAAATATTAACTCACTCACTCACTCCTACGTGCGGGCATTGGTTGAATTGGAGTTATTGTAAAAAGCTGGGGGAAACCACACTCGGACTCGCCCAGCTACCTTCTGTTATCAACGGTCCTGCTCAACGCTAACTTATATTTTTTTGTAGATGGCGTGGTGCCCTTTTTTATTCAGAACTGATATTTTAATACTTTAACTTTAATAGATACCCACATATATGCTAGGGACAATACGGACTTACTTCCGTTGTGCGTGTTTTATTGCTAGTCCCAACTACGTACATCGATGCTCATGCTGTTGATCACTAGATTGTCTGGTCCAGACTCGATTATTTACAGACTGCGAGATGTATGACATTGGATATTTATACATCAAAGTGACTATCACCAGCTCTCCGTAGAGCTTCTATGACAGCACGTGGAGCCGTATACAAACTATGTGAACAAAGAATCGCTTCTTAATTCTTAATAGTGTCACACGTTTTAGGATATTTTCTAAGTTAGAGTAATCCATTCCATCACATATGTTTTATTACATGTGTAGACTCGTCAAAAAGGAAACAAATAAAAAAACAACATACATAGCATATATGAATAGCACATGTGATATGTGAGGAATCGTCACGTGGCCATATGGAATTCTGGGTAGGAGAGTAGTTCATGGACATGCCGGTACGAGTTTTATTCTCAAACAGTGTTTAGTACTGACTATTGACATATCATAGTTTCTTCACAACTGGCACAAATTTATAATTATTATACAAAAAATATCATCATCTTAAAGAATTGGTCAACATTTGACTCTCCTATACGTCATACTTAAAGGCACATTTTCACACATTTCCGACAATATTTTGGCCTATTATATATATTGGGGCATATCCACTCACTTTAGCTTCCTATTGATGCAATAAAAGACTTATTATCACTTAAGACTTGCCTGAAATCGATAATAGAAACTTTGAGGTGAACAGCTTGCAAACAGAGAACACTTGCCATATCTGGAACATAAATGATTGCTCCGTACATCGAAAACTGTCGCACGTGGTGTTGTCGGTGTTTGCTAACTGGTTTCAATCGCACGTTGCGCGTATGTTTTTGCGCCAGACATTTGCGTCTGCTTCAGCGGCTGAGTTCTGTGTCCAAACAGTCTAAATAAACTTAGGCTCAGTATTATACGTTACACTGCTATACCGAGACTCATATTCGTGGATATTCGTAAAGAGCACCCCCAAGAGACATAACTTTACGGGGTTCGCTTGAAATATTGTTCGACTGGTAGAGGGCCATTCTCTTCCCACAGAGGTTACTCCTGTCATATCTTCCTACGTAACCTCTGTTCTAATACGGCCCTTTCATGGTGTGAGCGTTCAAGACTCGTGTTTGGAGGCAATCAGATTTAGTTGTGCAATCAGCGACGTTGTTTCAAAAGTGATCATTCGCAAGGCCTCGGTAATTTCCGTATGCTTCGAGAAAACTAAACCTCTTCCCCTGCGCGATGCGCACACGTTTCTTCTAGACAGAACTCAGTCATGTTATGGCAGATCAGTGGCGTCTCCATCGCCCTCGTTGACAACGGACAAGCTAGCCATTAAACGTCTTGTGTGTAACATCAACACAAGTCCCCGGCAGATGGGGGATATTTGTGGCCCCACATTTGCTTGTGTTAGTCAAGTTGAATCTAAGTCGATGTAACACGTGTTCTGATTGGATAGAAAGAAGGGAGATAATTCATGTTGCGATCTTTTGCCGCTAGGGGATTTTACGAAAACCGGGAAATATGGCCGTATTAGAACAGAGGTTACGTAGGAAGATATGACAGGAGTAACCTCTGTGGGAAGAGAATGGTAGAGGGCGCGAGAGTCGATTTAATGCAACGTTGCATTAATTCATTCGAACTTTTTAGTTTCATATTGTAATCTAAATACGTAATTTCTTTTAAAATACATGATATGGTAGCTTCCCTGAGGGCTGATAGTTAATCTAGTTTTAGAGAAGTGTGGTGTGAAATAGTGCCTTTAGGAAGGAGCATGTACATTGACTAATTTCAATGTAGATCAAATGTAGGTAATGTGTTTCTCCTCCCTCAACCTGTTATGCCTGCAGCTTCTTCTTGATAGCCTGCAGATAAGGATCCTCGCTGCTTTTGTTCTTCCCGAAAACAAAGTGCTGGGACATATCGGGGGAATATCTACTGGCGGGGGGTTGACGCCCGTATTCCTCCGCCACCACCCGGATGTAGTGAGAAGCGTTGCCACAACATAGTCCCACGTACTGCACGCCCAGGGATTTGGCTTCTCGGGCAAAGTCGGCAATTTCACTTCTTCTACAGGCATGCGCAGGAAGGTCAACCGGAAATGACATGGCACCTTCGACAGACAGATTGAAGAATGCATGAGTCAAAAAAGATTTACCCGATTTTCAGTGACAAAACTTTTCTATTAATTGTTTTGAGGTTCCAACCTGTGCAAGATGATGGTTTTCCCAAGTTGACTGACAGTATGACGTGTTTAACGAACGAAAAACAGCTTTGGAATGCAATGACTAAACGATAACAGGCCTTCAGCGATCAAGCTGGGCAAACAGTTAAAATCCCCAATACAAGAAAAAACATATACAAATTCCAGCTTAATCATTCGAAATTAAAACAACAATATATTTTTGTGTGTTTGTGATCAACAGCATGATCAGCGATCTTCGTCGGGATCGGGTGGTCAGGCTCGCTGACTTGGTTGACACATGCCATTGGTTCCCAATTGCGCAGATCGATGCTCATGTCGTTGATCACTGGATTGTCTGGTCCAGACTCGATTATTTACAGACATCCGTAATTGGGATACGATGACATGTGTCAACCAAGGCAGCGAGTCTGATCACCCGATCCCGTTAGTCGCCTCTTACGACAAGCATGGGTTACTGAAGGTCAGTTTTAGCCTGGATCTTGCAGGTCAGTTGGTTCATGTCCCGTCAGACCCGTGACTGGACCCAAGCAGAATGCGACAACGAGCAATAAAACTCGTACAAGGGAAGCAACTCTGACCGCAATCACGTTAGTCACATCTTACGTCAAGCATGGGTCGCGGAAGACCAATTCTAACCCGGATCTTCACAGTCTACAAAAACATTAAAAAAACACCAACCCGTCACAGGATGTGTGAGGGACTGGAACGTCGGCTGTTGTGGACACGTCCTGTATGGTACTGGCAATGCTATTACAGGCCCCTAAAACAAAAAAATAAATAAACGACATGTTTTCAACCGAACGTATGAATATTAGTTTACTTAGATCTACAAAGTATATTTTGACAAATTATCTTAAATAAAGGAACGAAGAGAGGAGTAGATGGATGATAAATTCAATTTATTATATGAAATATTTTCTATGCTATATAAATCAATATGGTATACAGAATGGTATGAAATGTAACTGATAGTGTACAATATACAAAACTGAAATGAAAATAGAACAGTTATACCCTGGGTTATGCATTGTTGGGTTACGTGTATTTGTACATTGCTCGTAGGCAACATGACCGGAATTTTCATAAAGATGAGCTCAACAGTGTCGAGACCCGTGAAGATCCGGGTTAGAATTAGCCTTCAGTAACCCATACTTGTCGTTAGAGGCGACTAACGGAATCGAGTGGTCAGGCTCGCTGGCTTGGTTGACACATGTCATCGGTTCCCAATTGCGCAGATCGATGCTCATGCTGTTGATCACTGGATTGACTGATCCAGACTCGACTGGAATATTGCTGAGTGCGGCGTAAAACTAAACTCACTCACTCACTCAACAGTGTCGACATAAGTTTAGAATGTCCTTTACCTTGCATGCCTGTCTGATCTCCTTTATGAGAGGCAGCATCGTACTGGGACCACGCCCACAGTTCAGTCCCACTGCCGCCGCTCCTGCTTCCTCCAGCCTGCGGCAGGCGACGCCGAACGCCAGACCGTCGGGTGTTTTATCCACTGCATGGGGAATAAAGCTAATGGCCGCTGGTAGTCCTGAAAAGGCAGGTCAGTATGTTACAGTATATCTGAATGCAATTCCGTTTTAAAATATTATTTTTTTATTTAATAAACTTGAATCTTACCGTTGCCATATTTGTTAATGCATTCAAGGGCAAGCATGGCCTCCCCGAATTCACTGAAACTCTCTCCAACGATGTAGTCCGCTCCTTCCTCAACCGCCCACTCGATTTGTTCCTGGGGATAAAATAGTATTTAATATAGAAGTTGTGTCATTCCCTGGAGTTTGTTTGTTTGTTGTTTAACGCCGTACTCAACAATATTCCAGGTATATGACAGCTATCTGTTCAAATGCGTGTCTGGACCAGACAGTCCAGTGACCAACATCATGAAAATCGACCTACGCAGTCGATACGATGACATGTGTCAACAAAGTCAGCACACCTGACCACCCGATGCCTTTAGTCGCCTCTTACTACAAGCATGGTTTGCTGAAGACCAATTCTAACCCGGATATTCACGGGTTTCCCCAAGAAGTCTCCTGTGTCTGTACAATTCAAACATTAATTCGGATGTCCCAGCTTCGTCTAGTGACTGGACGACTGACTGAGTTTGGTTTTAAGCCGCTGTTAGCAACATTCCAGCAATAGCACGGCGAGGGACACCAGAAATGGGCTTCACTCATTGTACCCATGTGGGGATTCGAACCCGGGTCTTCGGCGAGACGATCCAACGCTTTAACCACCAGACTACCCCACCGCCCCTTTGTCTAGTGGGTTGACAACTTTCATATATGAGCAGATCGTAGCTCAGTCTTCAATATACATTTGACAAGTTTACCTTCTGTCACAAGTTCAGGTCATCGTCAATCTTTGTGGAGAATTAACTTGTTTTATTAGCGTTGGTCTTGAACTTAAACGTTCTGTGTCAGTATGTACGAGTACAATGAAATTTCAAGTTTAATCGTTTTATTGACCATTTGACTATGTATAGTTTGCACGTTCGTGATGTTTGGTCTTTATGTAACATTGTGGCGGCCATGTTGAAAACTCGCCTGGTTTTTTTTTCATTTTATATGTTCTTGTTTAACCTTACATCCTATGACCTTTTGTGACCTGAAGGTAGCGTGAATTCCTCTCAACCACACGACATTTTCAGTATCAGTTGAGAGATCTTGCTGACTGACCAATATGTTTATCTGAACGCCAGAATATATCTTTGATCTCACCTTAAACATGGCTTCCGTCGTTTCAATGGCGTCCTTGTTATCCTTCCTGTACACCGTCGTGTTGGAGAGATCTCCCGCCATCAGCGTCCCGGTGTCGTCTGCCACCTGCCTAGCGATCCTCAACGCGTCCCTGTTCAACTTCTCAAGGTCACCTTCACGGCCGATAACTCTGAGCTTCTCTCGGTGACCGTAGTACTGTAACACGAGAAAGACACGCACTTTCATATAGTAGAAATAGTAGACTTTTATGAAGAAATAGATAATGTCGTAAATAACCTGTAAATAATAATAACTAGTGGTTGAAAGGATTAGCAAAGATCTAATCCTTCTGAACACGATTTGTACAAGTCGAACAACGTGATGAACCCACCAATCAACATCTTCGTCCTGTGGGACATGGAATATCTGACACCTATTCTTCTCGTATGGGAAACACGCATGGAATATTTGAGACTCCCTGATTCTTTAGCAACACATATGCGTATATTCTGCTTTCCTAACAAAACGCGAGAAATCCTTTGAACCTTTTCTGAAGTTGCATCTGTTATGATAAAAGTTTTATGGATAAAAACTTCTGTATTTGTTTACCACGACGTTCTTGCCTCTTTCTCAGGGACCGCCTCCGTGGTGTAGTGGTTAGAGCGTCCGCCCGGAGAACGGAAGGTCTCGGGTACGATCCCCGACCGCGTCATACCAAAAGACGTTAAAATATGGTACTTGTTGGTCCCTGCCTGGCGCTCGGCATTAATGGGTACAACAAGGACTGGTCGGCTCGGAGTCAGTATAATGTGTCTGAGTGGGGTATTCATACATCACTGCGGCATGGTATCTCAGTGGGCTAGCACTATAAAACCAGCTTAAGTCTGGGCTAGTACAAGCAGCCGCACATACACATACACACGCATGCACATCGTCATATGAGCGAAATATTCTCAATCACGACGTAAAACCCAATTTCACCTCACCTCTTTCTCAGGTGGATAAGAAAACTTCTTGAGTCAATCAACTTAAGAAGGTTAGTGTCGGTAAGAGGCTACTAAGGGTTACTAATGCAACTAACGGCGACCGAAGCTCGCTCTTGGTTGATACTTGTCATCTATCCAAACTGCCAAGATAGATTCTCGTGGTGTCAATCACTGAATTGTCTAGTCCAGATCCGATTGATACAAATAGCTGAAATATTATTGAGTGCGGCGTCAAACAAGATTCAAACAGAAAACCCGTGGTGGTTTTTCCCTACTCTAGACGACAGCTGTGGCTAGTCCTAGCTCAGACGTAGTCTACTGCCTGGCCGTTAGTTAAACCACACAGGCTGTTTGCGTGGGGAATAAAATGTAAATAGAGCATTACAAATGAATTAATTTGTAACTATCACTGAAGTGGGAAATGGAATGTGTTAACGCGCATATGTAGGCAAATTACAAGTAATATTCACAGTTCTTGTATCCTAAAACCAACGCCATAGCAATATCATTACCTACGCAAATTCGTCTGATCCGAAATATATTCTCTTCCGCCCAGCTCTTTCTGCAATACTTAAGCCCTAAATTAAGCCATATATATCTTCTTTCATATCTGGCGTAATAGCAAACACAATCATATTTAACACCACACTCAGCAATATTCCAGCTATATGTCGGCGTTATGTAAATATTCGAGTCTGGACCAGACAATCCAGTGACCAACAACATGTGCATCGATCTACGTAATTGGGATACGATGACAAGTGTCAATCTGGTCAGCGAGTCTGACCACCCGATCAGATAGTCGCCTCTTCCGACAAGCATGGGTTACTGAAGACCAAATTTAATCCAGATCTTCACGGGTTGAACTTGAGAGAACGTGAGCAGAACATTGAACAACACTGATGGCAACAGGAGTTCTATAAAAGCTATAAAAGGAATAATATGTACTGCACTAACGGCCATCGGCACAATTCGTTCAGGCTTCATAAATAAAAGGGTCGGTTGGGTAGCCTAGTGGTTAAAGCGTTGGCTCGTCATGCCGAAGACCCGGGTTCGATTCCCCACATGGGCCCAATGTGTTAAGCCCATTTCTGGTGTCCCCCACCGTGATATTGCTGGAATATTGCTAAAAGCGGCGTAAAACAAAACTCACTCAGTCAGTCATAAATAAAAATTCTTTTTCACATTTTCATATGGTGTTGTAGAATTGAGTTGTAGAATAGGACATAGATCTGTATAAACGTCCAGCGTTCGAAATAATCGCCCAGCGCCGGTTGTTATTACATCGGGCCGGCAGTTTTAAATATGTGCAGGCCCTTGTGGCCTTCAGGAAATATTCTGTCATTTTTTTTTCAACTGGAATCTTTCCCATTATTGTTTATTGTAAGTATGAGAAAATAGTGATTTTATGATGCTTTGATCACTAGCGTTTCAATTTTAGCAATTTCATTAGTCAATAAAATTAAAACTGGAGTAAATATGGCCTGCCTCCTGATCATTTTATGTTTAGAATACTATAGACCACCTATGTGCAAAATATGAACTTTCCTGCCACCAAGTATTGCAAATAATTGTTACCAAGCCGCTCCACTATTAGTGAAAAGATGGCTTATTTAATATAATTTTCAAGCGATGTTTAACTTGTTAAATGTTTGCACTGGAAACGAATAAACACGTATTCCTGATTCTGGACGATGGCTCGGAGCTTGTCTGCTGTGGTGTCAAGGCGAACAATATCCTCTACAATGACTTGTCTCTGAACACGTGTGAGTGAGTGAGTATGGTTTTACGCCGCTTTTAGTAATATTCCAGCAATATCACGGTGGGGAATACCAGAAATGGGCTTCACACATTGTACCCATATGGAGAATCGAACCCGGGTCTTTGGCGTGACGAGCGAACGCTTTAACCACCAGGCTACCCCACCGCCCCCTGAAAATGTGTGTGTGTACAAGCGTGTCGTGTACAGAGAACTACCTTTATAACGAACGCGCTTACTTAAGGAGTCAATGAACTGGGTCCCGATCCACAACGCGTACGTAATGTTACGAGCTGTCTTAACTGTATAGTTTGTCATAGGCTTACGAATGAGGGAGAGGTACACGCGCTTTGTAGATCGGAACCATAGGCTTCTTATCGTCCAGGCCACTTGCGGTATCTTTTAGTCTAAATGCGTAAAAACACTATACATTTCATAGGTCGATAGGGGCGGTGGGGTAGCCTAGTGGGTAAAGCGTTCGCTCGTCACGCCGAAGGCCCGGGTTCGATACCCCCATGGGTAAAATGTGTGAAGCCCATTTCTGGTGCCCCCGCCGTGATATTGCTGGAATATTGCTAAAAGCGGCGTAAAATCAAACTCACTCACTCACTCATACGTCGATAAAAAACTAATGGCCCCTTTGAGTTCGTTATAACCGTAGTCGACTGTGTTCTAACTTTCATATTTTAATATATTTTTTAAATTTTAATTCTAATTTTAAATAATCTATGAGGGTGTGCAGGGTGTTAATGCATTGGTATTTGGTCATATCAGCCTGTGGAGTGATCATAATAAACTCTCTCTCTCTCACTCTCTAACTCACTTTGCCCATGCACTTGTAATAGCGTAAAGGGAGGTAAGCCAGGACGAGCGGGTCAACTCGCACAAAAGTGTTTCGTTCACCCAAATCACGAGCGTTTCCCAATTAGCCGTGAAGATCCGGGCTCGAATTTGTCTTCAGCAACCCATGCTTGTCGTAAGAGGCAACTAACGGGATCGGGTGGTCAGACTCGCTGACTTGGTTGACACATGTCATCGTTGACTTATGTTTATGCGTAGATCGATGCTCATGCTGTTGACCACTGGGTTGTTTAGTTCAGATTTAAATATTAACTGACCACCGTCATATAGCTGGAATATTACTGAGTGCGGCGGTAAGCAACAAACACTTCGTAGTTAATGTGGTGATATGGGGCTTGACGGCAAACAAAACAACTATTTTACATGGTGGAAACACTTATACGATCGATTTGCTATAGAACTGGCAATATGATCTCATATTCAAATTATTTTAAACTTACTTTACTTACTGCCAGAACTGATACAGGACTTACTAAAGCATGTACAGGTTTGAAAGTTTACAAATTTACAAAGGTTTCCCTACCCAATGAAATGCTCACATTTCATTCTTTTTTTTAATTTTGAAACTAATCAAAAATTATAAATCACCATTAAAATCACGAGAAAGGAATTGGACACACGATATGATCAAGTTCTTATCGGTATCAACTTCTGAATTTATGCTTCAATATACACTCTTAAAAAGAAGAAACGCTCAGGCGCTTTCAGCAGTTCATTTCGATATAGTTTGACAGCAATCGTCATTGAGACAATTCCTATGTTTGAACCCCGTTAATCATGTTATGTATTGCGTGCAAACGCATCCCAAAATGTGTTTGCAAACGTTTGTCATAAGAAATGAAAACGATCATAAAAAGTGCATGCAGAAAAAGACTGACAAGAAAACACCGACATCGACGTGTCCAATGGTGCAACAGGGTTCAGGCAGTGAACCTGGGCAACTGGCGATGCGTTTGGTTAAGCGATGAATCGCGTTTTCTCCTGCAACGACGGGATGGGAGACAACGTGTCTAGCGACGCCGACACGAACGTCTTGCGGCGAGCTGCGTTCAACAGGTGGACAGATTTGGTGGAGACGCGTCATGTTGTAGGGAGCCATGTCCTACACGGGTATATCAGCGCTGGTGGTGGTTCCGCTACATCGACAAAATCCTGCGACCTCACCTCCTCCCACTTTTTAACTGCCAGAGGGAGCTGTTTCAACACGACAACGCTCGACCACACAGAGCTCGTGTAACAGGTGCCTATCTCACCAATGCAAACGTCAATGCCCTTCCCTGGCCTTCCGAATCGCCTTATCTGTACCCGATCGAGCGTCTATGGGACAAAGTTGATCGAAGCGTCCGTAAATGTCACCATCGCCCTGGGACACTTGCAGAACTTGGCAATGCGTTGCTCGAGGAATTGTAAAGATTTCCCCAAGCAATATTCCGACGACTTGTGCAATCCACTGAACTGAACGCCCCCTTGTGTCCACACATGTGCAGTGAGTGAACTAAATTAATGCTGACAATGACAACTATACGTATATTCATTCGTGTGTCGAATTTCCTTCATCTATGTTCAAGATTAATCGACATTTCCTTATTTTGGCTTGTGCGTTTCTTTTTCTTTTTTCTTTTTTTTTTGGAGTTTATCTGTAAATCTCGTGACGTTGTAAAAGGAATTGTGAACCTAGAAACCTATGCACTCGAGTACCTGTATATCTTAAACACCTTTTCTAATACATTACCGTAAATGCCAAACAAACGTCACTTCCGGCATTGACAAACTCTTCGTGGAGACCTTTCACCAGATCCGGTCTTTCAATGACGACTTCCGGTACAAATGCTCCGGCTTTCAGCAAGCCTCTTCTCTCAAATTCAAACAGATATCCCTCTGCCACAACAACATCCTCTTTGTCTTGCAGACGCTGAAGCAGACCTTTGAAAGAGAACATGTTTAAGTTATTGTCAGAAGTACAGTGTGTCTGTGAACGTATCCATCACATTACCCCATGGCGTTTTAGTACCTACTGTTTAAATGATGATTTAACCAATTCTTCCATTGGAAACGATACCGCGCGTACGAATAAATTAATAGCTGAGGTGTATATCATAAATAGTACTCACACTTATTTCAGTGGTATGTTATAAATCGAACTCTCACTTATGTTCTATGGTATGTTATAAATTGTAAATCTCGCGCTCTCTCTCTCTCTCACTCTCTCTCTCTCTCACTCTCTCTCTCTCTCTCACTCACTCACTCACTCACTCACTCTCTCACTCTCTCTCACTCCTCCTCACCCTCACTCCTCTCACTCTCTCTCTCTCTCTCTCTCACTCACTCCTCCTCTCTCTCTCTCTCTCTCTCTCTCTCTCTCTCTCTCTCTCTCTCTCTCTCTCTCTCTCTCTCTCTCTCTCTCTCTCTCTCTCTCTCTCTCTCTCTCTCTCTCTCTCTCTCTCTCTCTCTCTCTCTCTCTCTCTCTCTCTCTCTCTCTCTCTCTGTGCTCATTCGTCACCACTCGCCCCTTTCCGTAACCTCCAAGAAGCTATTCGGCTAGTCCCGGAATAACACGAGTTGGTCACGAATGCTCAGTGCTATGCTATAACACGTACTCCTCATCATTACTTCAACTGGTATGAGGTGAGCCAGGTGTCACTTTTCAAGTCCTACATAATACGTAGCTTCGAAGTATAACTATTAACATAAGCACCGTGACTCACGAATCATCATGCATGTGAGATATAATACATTAGACACTTGCACCACAGAGCTATGCATACAAAGCACACACGATATCACGGGCAGGGAACACGACAGAGTTTATGATCTAGGTGATCTAGATATCGCAAGATTCATATATTTTCATGGAATAAACATCTTTACCAAATGTAACTGTTCCTTTTGATCTCGGATTAACTATTGCATATAGACTTATTTAACAAGTGATTACCACCTCCATGGTCTAGTGGACAGGGTGTATACCCGGAGAGCGGATGGTCGGTGGTTTGATCCCCATCGCGTCGACCCCGACGACGTAGAAAGATGGCACTTGTTGTTGCCGTGCCTGGCTATTGGCGTTAAACGAACACAGGCTGTTTGTTGTGTAATGTGAGCGAGTATGGTTTTACGTCGCTTTTGGCAATATTCCAACAATATCATGGAGGAGGACACACCAGAAAAATGGGTGGGAATCGAACCCGGGTCTTCGGCGTGACGAGCGAACTCTTTAACCGCTAAGTTATCCAACCGCCAATTATATAATGTGTCTGAGAAAGGTTATTCATGTTAAATTGCAGCATTGTATCTGAGTGGACAAGCACTATAAAACCGACACACATGCACATGCACACGCACGAACGCACGCACGCAATGGCATAAATGCAATAATCTCGAACGCAGCGTTCTCGCCTCACCTTCTAGTGGTACAATTGTCAGAAATATACCTACTTTTGGTGGTCATTGTGCTATCCTCAGGTCCTGAGAGCAATGACCTGGTTTCTGTTCTTTAAGCACTGTTCCCTCACACTCTACCTGGCTTAATCGTGTTCTGTCATGACCTCGCAACAACTAGTAGGTTTGGTCTAATTCCATACGGCACAGGTGTTGAAAAATGTGCCTGGAGCATGAGGTTCACCGGTGTTGATTGGTTGTAACATGCATGGGCTCACCCATAACTGAGACAGGAATACAGAACAGGGACCTAGGCATACTGACGCCCATCATCAAATAACCCTGACATCTGTTCATTATGTGGATCCTAGAGCTGAGCAATGATGAGAACATATAGCTGATGCAACAATAATACCAGACATATTATCTCTTTTTCATCAGAAATAAATGCCTGCCAAAATATTTACGTTCTTTGTTTTCGGAAAATGATGCTGTAGCTCCACGTGTGTACTTTCTTTTGTACATCAGTTTACATGATACCGGTCATCCAAAAATACACTCGCGTGATGACCTATATACATTGCGGGTAATATTTGCCGGGGCTCACTTTGACCCCAGCTGGCAAAGCATTGAAAAGTTGCTTCATTTGCCCCACTTTAAACAAGTGCAGCCCCGCTGTAAATGCTCGAGAGGTAGGCGCCTTTTTGTCGCCATTGCCATCTTCAATAAGATCATAAATCATCACAAAAGATTGTTTAAAATATATCAATTTCAAGTTTAGTTATCTAAATTCAAATTGATTTTAAAATTCATTTACTGAAGTGATGTACTTTTAACGACGTCTATTTGAACAACACAGGCTCGCTGACTTGGTTGGCGTGACATGGTATCCTGATTGTGTAGATTGATGCTTATGCTGTTGATCACTGGATTGTCTGGTGCAGAATTGATTATTTACAGACCACCGCAATATACTTGAATGTTGAGGACAGCGGTGTACAACAGCAACCCCCCCCAACCCAAAAAAACAACAACACCAAAACAAAACAAAAAAAACAACAAAAAAACAAACAAACAAACAAGACCTAATTTTACGGTTGTCATCATTTCAACCACAGGGGCGTGTTACGCTTAGAAACAGCGTTAGAAAGACATATAGGTATATAGACCCTACCCTAGTACTATATAAAAGTAAAGGGATGTAACGACGGAACCACCCCGCTGTTTTCGGTGAGTCGTGTCGTATAACTTTTGAAATAATGATCCGATTGTGACCATTTATGGCTCATTTTGTAGGGAAATCATCTCGCTTTCGATCCGTAGGCCTCGACAGGGCCTTAAAAATAGTTTACGTGGTGAAATCTAACTTTGATTGAGGAGGGGGGGTGGTGCCGTCGTTGCATCCCTTTCCTTTTATATAGTACTTGGGTAGGGTCTATATACCTATATGTCTTTCTAACGCTGTTTCTAAACGTGACACGCCCCTGTGATTTCAACCAGCCCAGATTTGTTTATTAACACATGAGTATATTAAAAGTCGTTTCCTGTTTTTGTTGACAACACTGAATATGAAGCTTAAGGTGACTATATCTCGTAGGTACAACACTATTCCTTCTTGAAGACCAGGAGAAAATGCAGCAAGAGCAGGCCAAAGAAGAAGACGAAACCCCAACTAGAAAAAGGAAAGCAAGAACAGTGTGGATGAGGAAATGGTTGACTAGAAGACATCACTTCGGACATTATGATCAGTTATTGACAGAGCTCCACAAGGAAGATCCAAGAGATTACAGAAATACCTGAGAATTTCACCCAATGTGTTTCAAGAGATAGTGGCCATGGAGAAGTTTATTCCTCATCTTGAAGACCACATTGATGGGAGAACCGCTGGATGTGGGACTCAAGCTGGCAACCACTCTTCGCTTCCAAGCCACTGGTAATTCCGTTGCAAGTCTACAGTACAGCTTCAGAGCTGAAGTTACAATCATGAGCAAGTTCTTACAATCGTCGAGTTCTTACCAGAGGTTTGCAAAGCCATCATTGAGGTTTACAAGGACGAAGTACTCAGGTGCCCCAAAACTGAAGAGGAGTGGAAGGAGGGTCCTGAAGGTTTTAGTTCCAGATGGAACAAGCACAACTGTCTGGGGGCTGTGGACGGAAAGCACCTTGCTATGAAGAAACCATCCAAAGCTTGATCATTCTACTACAATAATATAGACTTCCACGGCATTGTCCTCATGGTCCATGTAGTTGCGTGATGTTAGGGCAGAGGGTGGTGCTTCAGATAGAGGAACATGGAAGAACTGTACTTTGCATGAATCGATTTCGTGCGGGTGTTTCCGTTGTGATATTGCTGGAATATTGCTAAAAGCGGCGTAAAACTAAACTCACTTACTACTATGTTTGGTTCTATAGCAAAAGTGGAAGGTTTTACTCATTACGAAGCTTTCCTTATTGTAATTGTGTAACGGTATGTGTGTTGAATATGAAAGTATACGTTTATATAATCATTGAGTACAGTTTTACCAGAAATTATTGAGAAAATCTTTGTATTCTAATACTGATAATAGAATTTTAAAATTGTTGTTACATTATGTAATTTCTTTTCTGCAATAAGGGCTTGTTCTCTTGTGTTCAACATCGTGTAGGTCTACAGCAATGCATGAAGCTGTGGGTGATGCCTGCTATTGGTATAGTGTGGCGTCAAGCGGGACCACATAATACCACGAATGATGAATTTGGTTTGGTGTTTTATAGTCGATGTCTGCACTCATGTTTCCGCCACATTGCACGTGCATTACGTGGAAAACCTTTTTTCCGTATGCACTTTTCATGTATCGTTTTCATACACAGCAACCACGACATAATTAACGGGATGCAAACATTGTCTTCATGATAATTCTTGTCACAGTATATGGACATGAACTGCTGAAAACGCCTATGCGTTTTTATATATACAGTCACCAAATTTCCTTTTCGAGTCACCGTGTGTATTTATGAGTCGAATTCGTGTAACCGGTAATCAAATGATGACAACTATAACAGGGAATGGTCGGGAGCGACAGGTACTTCGAGTTATGCATAATATTCGAGACACCGGCAATCGACTCATCGGGATTTGACTGTATATATATATATGTTGTTGAAGAGTGTACTGTAGTCCATTTACATCACAAACATTTACATGATCGTTGGTTAAACAACTTTCTCTCTTCTTCATGCCAATGTCTGAAATTATAGTGACGCTTTTGTTGTGGACAAATGATTAACGGTCATGCCGTTTAAGACGATTTGCTGCTTTTAAGTGCATATTTATTTGTCATTTCGCCGGTATGATTTTGCTGCCAATTTACGACTGAAACTTACGTGACTTTTGTAATCAAGTCGAGGTTGAAGGACTAAGATCATATCGATGATAGGTAAACCATGTACCGCTTGACTAACGATGCCAGAGCAGACATTCGTCACCACTCGTCCCTTTACGCCACCTACAAGAAGAATCGGCCTGTCCCGGAATAACACGATTGGGTCACGAATGGACAGGTGGATATGACTTGTGTACTATGTATGTCATGTTGATTTTTCTATGATCATTATTGGTAGGTTTTTTATGCCCCCGCCACATATGTCCGTACGAAACAGGGAATGTACTCTATCCACTTCTCCACAAAAGACGCTCTGTGGAATTCAATGAACTTATACATGGGCTTTCTTGGGACTCTAATGGTGTGCATCTCATATTTTGTTTTTGTATTTTATTGTTTTTTGTAAGTTTAGAGACATTTGAACTCAGGTATATTTTGCTGAATTTCTCTATGATGATAGTGTAATAGGGGATGAAGTCTATCCACTTCTCCACAAAAACTGCTCAACAGAATTGAATGAACTTCTACATGTCTTTCGTAGGGACTCTAAAGGTGTGCATTTCATAATTGTTTTATGCAATTTCTTAATTTTGTCACTTTTACAGATGTTTGAACTTAGTTGAATTCTGTTCTATTCAGCCTGTTCGAAAGGTGTGCATCACATAGTAGCATAGATGTTTATTGAACTTGTTCGTGAATGTTGTTCAATTATTGATCTTTATATGATAATAGGTTGTGTTATCTAACCCCTCAACACATTGGTTTTTAGTATTTTCAAGTACTTCAGTGGGACCCTGAATGTGTGAACTCTTCCTACAGCAGCGGGGGCATCCGTGTCCCTGGACACAATTTTTTTTATGTTTGCTTATTGTGTTATCATGTAAACCGGTATTGTGTGTAATTAAGCATTGCTGGTGTACTATGAATAGATTCTTTTCAACTTTGGACAATTTGTTGTATAATCGATGTAACTGTACGAGTGGATTTGAGCTTTACCCTTTACTTCACGGGAAAGATTTCCGCCAGTAACCCCCGTTTTTTTCTCTCTTTTTATGCTTAGGAAAACATATTAATATTAAAGAAAGGGGCGCTTATTTATTTATTTATTTTATTTTATTTTTACTTCTTTTTTTTTTCTTTTTTTCTCTTTTTTTTGGGGGGGAGGATGGGTAAACGTTTAAAGGCCAAGGCAAAACACATTGGTTACACAACAGTCTCGTTTCCTGCTCTGCTGACTGGGTTCCGTCCTTTTGCGCAACTTAGTACAATGACCAGTCCAGAATTTTGAGACTAACTCATTGAACTGGATACATGAATTTTAATCAGTATTATTTTATATATCTAATCACTTGTATATTGCAACACTTCGCTCCTTGAAATCCTTGCAAACACGTCGTACATGGAAATCGTGAAAATCTCAAAACGAGGCTCGGCCACTAGAAAAGTTTGGCGGTCTGGTGCGGACTCGATATCAATCACAATGTATGTTACAAAATATATTTAAAAATCGCAAAGAACAAAAAACAGGTGTAACCAGTATGCCAGATGAATTGTGAATCATTATACGACCTCCTCAAACAGGGGCAGTCTGTGACGTCTTAGTTAACGACATGCTGCCTAAACCTCGACATAAAACATAGAAATACGATTTTATTAAACTTTAAAATTAAGATTGTAAATACCATTTTCTTATGAAACAAGGAATTGGAATTCGGTGTAACCATAGCTTTTGTAGTGTCTCTTTTCACTTTCACACGAGAAAATTCGGATCGGCTGAAAAGTAGGTCATTGTCTGCATTCTTTCGGTTCGTAGTGTCTCTCTTCCTTCCCATACCCGTCCATTTCTACTCCAACCTCACCTCCGCGACTAACATCCATTTTCTTTGATATCTGTTGTGCTGCTTCCGGACACTAGGGTGGAGATGATAAAGTATTAGCAAACAACTAATGATAAGGTGCGTATGAAACATTATATTTTGCAAATGTACATAACTAAGGCTGGAATCGAACCCGGACCGCTGGGGTGACAGTCCGCTGGTGTTACCTCTGCGCTACAGAAGACGATGAGGGTTGAAGTGAATATTATCGTTTTCACCTTATTTGTTATTTAATTAAGTGAGTGAGTGAGTGAATTTAGTTTTACGCCACACTTAGCAATATTCCAGCTATATGGCGGCGGTCTGTAAATAATCGAGTCTGGACCAGACAATCCACTAATCATTAGCATGAGCATCGATCTACGCAAATGGGAACCGATGACATGTGTCAACCAAGCCAGCGAGCCTGACCACCCGATCCCGTTCGTCGCCTCTTACGACAAGCATGGGTTACTGAAGGCTCATTCTAACCCGGACCTTCACGGGTTTTGTTTAATTAAGACTGGAATAATAAAGTCTTAATCAGCTTGTGCTGTGGCTGTGATCATGTGAGTAACGCATTAAAATGTGATTACATTCATTATTTGCTTGGTCTTTTACTATTGCTATTGTCGTAATCATACTGTGTCAGAGAGTTAAAAATCAGTTATCCATGAAACACTCAAACGATCGCGATTCAAGCGTGACTATTGTCTGTTTTGTCTGCTGCATGGCTTGTAAGTTTCGTTTTGCACGTGATATTGATTTTTGTGATCATGTATATAAATTGATGTGAGCGATTTAAGCACATGATGAGTGTGTGTGACTATGTCGACTCAGAGGAAGATTGATGAACCCCGCGATTTATTCGATAGTTATAGTGACTCTCCGATTTCATGTGCGCAAACAAAGTGTAGAGACACTTTCACTTCCTCTGATAGTGATGATTTATTCCTAAATCCATACCATGTGGATAATTTGCAGTTCGTAGATCCTGTTCCTAGCACTTCCATCCCTTCCAGGGGCGGCGGGGTAGCCTGATGGTTAAAGCGTTCGCTCGTCACGCCGAAGACCCGGGTTCGATTCCCCACATAGGTAAAATGTGTGAAGCTCATTTCTGGTGTCCCCCGCCGTGATATTGCTGGAATATTGCTAAAAGCGGCGTTAAACCAAACTCACTCACTCCATCCCTTCCACACTCCCGGATACTAGTGAGAGAAGTCAGAGTGGTGAAAACGTGTTCCTTTGTGCTTGAGAAGCGTCGGCTATAAAATACTGTCAAAAACGGTTTGCTGCCTATATCTGGTAAATGCCGTAACTGTTCTCAAACAATCAGCAAACTACAAAAAATATGTGACAATTTACATACATACCCCCAATACCGTTTCCAGTGTAACAAAAACAAATGTAAACAAAGTGGCCGCAATTGTGTACCATTAAGGAAGGGTACCTGGTTTGAGGCCAGCAATCTGAGTGTTCGCAAAACTTTACTCATACTTTTTTATTTCTCCAAAATGTTCCCCGTACTCACTATTGTTATGAGAGTGTGTATTTTGTAATTTGTAATAACATTGGTTAGGTGATAATAATTAGGAGTCTCAATGTTTAAAGTTTTGAGTGTTGGTTGTGGGTCACATTTTGGGTCATATGTTCAGTGGCAACAGTATTTTAGCGGCACGCCTTTATGATAGCGCTCCAGAATTACCTCCCTTGACCGGATGTTTATGTGTTGACATCGTCATGTCGTATGTTCAACACGTTTCGAGAAAGATCTAAGTGGTTAATGATCCAGCTATGCTTTCTGGAAAGTTCAAGAATCTGTGTCAGTATATATAAAGGCGGGCTGTTGTGTGGTGCGAGGCAAGGACTGACACAAGGACTAACACACGGAATTACACGGGACTTTCGATATCACTGGAGTTGCCCATCGTTGTTTGCCTTCGTCACAACGCCATCGTCTGACCCAGACACTTCGTGCCTGACTGCTTTCATTTGTAAACAAACTCCATTTACAATATCTGATCTCACTGTGATTACCAAGACTCTGGTGAGTTAATATTTTATATATGTGACCCATTACTTTAGATTTGTGACTCAATTGCATTGTATTAGAAATCTGTATTGTGATTCATTGTAGCTTGCTCATTGTTTGCTCAATATATTATTGAATATATATTGTTATATTTTGCTGGTTCAAAGGGGATTCTTAAACCTTTTGTCACGGCAATTATTTAACCGTAACAAAATGTGCCGAGGAAACTAAATTCCTGAGGAGGGTAAAGGTACCAGAAGAGAGACAATAGTTGATTACTACAATTATTGCCGAGAGATCTGCATTGGTCCGACCGAGGCCTCGGGTGTAACTCACAGTAACTAACTGCTCCGTTGAAATTGACGAGACCAAATTTGGCCGGAGAAAGTACAATCGTGGACGTCTGGTAGAGGGAAGATGAGTATTTGGGGGAATTTGTAGAGCAAGCAGAGAATTTTTCTTAGTGCCAGTCGAGCGGCGGGCCCAAACCTTACTCCCTATCATCGAATCGCATATAAAGAAGGGGAGTACAATCGTTTCTGACGAGTAGGCGGCCTATCGAGGGATTAGCGTTCTCGGCTACGAGCACGAGACTGTCAATCACTCCAAAAATTTCGTTGGTAAATATTTCCTTTCTCATTATAGACATATTAAATGTTTGATTAATTGTGACATTATAATGTCTGGTACATGAAATACATCATCCATTTCTTTCAGATCCAGAAAGCGGAGCTTGTACAAATCTCATTGAAAATCGCTGGTGGTGCGTGAAGCGTCAATTTCCCTCAACACATTCTACACGGACAAACTTAGGTCATCATTTAGCAGAATACATCTGGCGCACCTGCGTGGTTAAGAACCAACCAGCCTTTGAGACACTGATAGAGGCCATCAGAGAACAGTACAAGTTTTAATGGTGAGTATAATAATTAGTCGTGCCATTTGTAGCATGTATTTTTCTTGTAGCTCCTCTCGGAGCATGTTGCATGTGTACATTATATAGCGCTGATGAGAAGCTTCACTGCTGTATTATTTCAACTTCCGTCGGGCAATCACAGGTTCGGTACATTCGTCACCACTCGCCCCTTTCCGTAACCTCCGGCTTGTCCCGGAATAACACGAGTTGGTCACGAATGAGGTTCGGTACTCATTTTGTTCTAAATTTTTTTCTTGATTGTATTTCATTAGGTTCTTTATTGTGCTAATTACTTACCCTGAAAATGTTATTTTACCCCCCAAACAAACTGGCTTTATGCTATTTCAAGCTGGAGTTACGGGCGGAACTTTTACTATGGTTTGGTTGCTCTCCGCGGATTTCAACTTGTTGGTCTGTTTTCTCCAGGGTGTCACCCCCAGCAATCCCTCACACAACGCATCCTTCTCTTGTGGTGTGATGACGTCATTTGTCGTCTATGTATGTCCATGTCGGCTTGCGACATATTACACAAACCAACCTTAGCGCTACGATGATCGAGTCTATCCAAAAGTATCAGACATAAGATCATCTTAGCACTGCGATCATCGTAAGTCTATCCTAAAGTATCAGACATAAGATCACCTTAGCACTGCGATCATCGTAAGTCTATCCTAAAGTATCAGACATAAGATCATCTTAGCACTGCGATCATCGTAAGTCTATCCTAAACTATCAGACATAAGATCACTTTAGCACTGCGATCATCGTAAGTCTATCCTAAAGTATCAGACATAAGATCACCTTGGCGCTACGATCATCGTAAGTCTTTTCAAAAGTATCAGACTTAAGACCCCCTTATATAGCACTGCGATCATCGTAAGTCTATCCAAAAGTATCAGACGTAAGATCACCTTAGCGCTACGATCGCTCTGTTCAAGAAATAATTTCATGTTAGCTTCTAACATGTTGCTGAAAACAGACGACAAACAACAAACTACAAAAATCTTTCTGGTGAAGGACTTTAATTTGTTACCTAGCAACCGTCATATACACCGTCTCTGATAGGTGAACAAGTAATGACTCAGATATAAAATTCGCATATATTTGGGTTACCACATATATAATCATAATAAATGTCCCTTAAGAGCTGTTCATAATTTATTTTCTTTGAACTAAACAAGAAACTTGTACAGTGACTACTTTTGGTATATTATATAATTTGATATGATTATATAATTTGGTATGATTATAGAATGCTGGCTAAGCTAACAACTTCTTAACGTAAGGGTCCTCGCTGCTTTTGTTCTTCCCGAAAATAAAGTGCTGGGACATATCGGGGGAGTATCTACTGGCTGGGGGTCGACGCCCGTATTCCTCCGCCACCACCCGGATGTAGTGAGAAGCGTTGCCACAACATAGTCCCACGTACTGCACGCCCAGGGATTTGGCTTCTCGGGCAAATTCGGCGATTTCCGTTCGACTACACGTTTGGCCAGGAAGGTCTACCGGGAAAGCCCTCTGCCCTAAAAAGGATGTATTCAAGTAAAATAAATAAACTAACGGGCAAAAGAAACGATACCAAGACAAAAACACTGATAATACAAAACGATAAACAACCTTAGTGAAAAAGGACAGTGAATTTTAATAACACGTGCATGGGCAACATGCACTCATTTCATTGGAGTAGCAACAATAACAAGTCCATTGAGTCCCTGTGTAAAAGAAGGAATGAAGTCCAAATTATCAAATTGAATTTTGGTATCGTTTCTTTTGCCCGTTAGTTTATATAAAATTACTTAAGGAATTAATGGTGGATATTTTCACGAAATCACACAAAATACTATCAGCTGAAACTGAAAAAAAGCAATTTCAACTGTACAAATTATCAAAATATTTTCAGCATGAGACAATATATTTGTTCGATAAATATACATTATTCAATGATTGGTGCAGAACCAAACAAAAATTATTTCTCGATATGGCAAATATAGTTTTCATTTATTCCCTTGCAATTTATAAAGCGCTTGCCTTAACCGGCTACTGTTTATTCTAATACATGCCATGGAACGTTTATATGTAGATTACAAAACGAGTCGGTGTTGAATATGGAAAATATTTTTAACGCTTTCGTTCATGAATAAATCAAAACGTTTAAAAATATCTCGTTGGATTTTTTTCCATATTCAACATCCACGAACGTTTCGAGATCAGCTAGCCTGGACTCTGGATCCAGATCCTCAAAGCGTTCTTAGTGCTGCGCCATTAGTGGGCCTTCGATAAAATATACCGTTACGATAGCTCCTAACGTTACGAACACTCTGTGGCTCGGGACCCTGTTTCGAAGTGCTAGCCCACTGAGATACCGTGGATACCACACGTATACACAGTACACTGTTAATGTCCCAGTCCTTGTTTTATTCCCTTTAAGGTAGGTGAGGTGAGGTGAGGTGAGGTGAGGGTGAAATTGGGTTTAATGTCGTGCTTGAGAATATTTCGCTCATATGACGACGTGCATGCGTGTGTATGTGTATGTGCGGCTGCTTGTACTAGCCCAGACTTAAGCTGGTTTTATAGTGCTAGCTCACTGAGATATCATGCCGCAGTGAAGCATGAATACCCCACTCAGACATATTATACTGACTCCGAGCCGACCAGTCTTTGTTGTACTCATTAATGCCGAGCGCCAGGCAGGGACCAACAAGTACCATATTTTAACGTCTTTTGGTATGACGCGGTCGGGGATCGAACCCGCGACCTTCCGCTCTCCGGGCGGACGTTCTAACCACTACACCACGGAGGCGGTCGTTTAAGGTAGGCACACAGTAGGGCAGCAACAAGTTAAAACTGTTCTCGGATTCGATTCCCACTGGCGATATACACATCTCATTATAATTTATTATCATTTAGAATTAACTTTGAAAAAAAATAAATCAAAGAAACATAATTCATGCAAAGGACACAAGAAGGTCAGCGTTAGAATATGTCTTATGCAACCAATGCTTTATGAAGAGGTGACAAGTAAACAAACAAATATACACTCTTAATATTTGTCAGAAACAATGTTCTTTACCTGTAATTGGATCTTGGAGGGAAAGGAACGAAGGACGTTTAGTGCACGTGCTGTATGTGACCGGAAGTGCCACGATAGGCCCCTGGCAACAACAATGAACATTCAGATCTGAATCTCGCTGTCCGAGGCCATCCTGGCTCCTAAAACGATCATCATCATCATCATCTTCATCTTCATCATCATCATCATCACCATCACCATCGTCGTCTTCGTCGACAACATTATTATTTTTCTTTACAGATTAAGATGAAAAATGCAGCAGAGAGGGTTTAGGTGATCCTGGCACAGTCAGGCTGGTAAAGCTCATCATCAGCTTAGGGCCCATGCCCCCTCTACACGCAGCCCAGACAGCGAATGGGACTTCTCCCAAGAAAAGCTGCGTAGTCGAACCCACCATGAACTTTCCGGAGGACATGTAGACTCCCCAACACTGCAGCCTTCTGCATTACCCAGAGTGTCAGAAGGACTGTGCTCCCGGAGGAGAACCCGGGCACTCTCCTGATCTGCACATTATTATTATTGTTATTTTTATTGACACGTTGCTACGTGTTTCAGTTATGATAGCTTTCAGTATTGCCACCCATGGTTCATTTGGTTATGAAACTCACAAGACATCCTCGGGCTGAAAACGATCACCATCAGCATCATGATCATCATCCTCAGCATCACCAGCATCATGATCAACATCATCGTCGTCGAAATCATAACTATCATTGTTATTGTAAATTATTAACATGTGTTTCAACTATGATACCTTTTAGGATTGCCACTTATGGCTAATAAAGATCTACCTTGCAGGCCTGTCTGATCTCTTTGAGAAGAGGCAGCATTGTCTTGGGACCACGCCCACAGTTTAATCCAACTGCCGCCGCCCCTGCTTCCTCTAGCTTGCGGCAGGCGACGCCAAACGCCGAACCGTCTGAAGTTTGGTCTTTCTCCAAGGGGACAAAACTGATCGCTGCAGGAAGTCCTGAAGAATGGAAATCGTATGTTGAAAGCCATGACGTTGTGAATATATGTTTATGAATAGAATTTCAATCAAGTCTGAAGACCCGTCAAGATCCATGTTAGACCTGCTCCACAGCGATCCATGATTGTGGTAAGAGGCAACTAACGGGATCGAATGATGAGACTCGCTGACACGTCGTCGTATCCCAACTGCGTAGATTATCTCGGGATGTCAATCGCTGGGTTGACTGGCCCAGACTAGATAATATTATTATTTTTTATTATAGGATATTTATATAGGGCACACAACCACGCAACTAGTAAATGCTCAATGCGCTGTTCTTTATATCCAGACCACCGCCATACACCTAGAATATAGGTGCGTTGTTGAACAATACAAACACGCACGCACGCACGCACGCACACACGCACACACGCACGCACGCACACATACACACACAATTGGTCTGAAGCATGAATATCCAGCATATTCAGGAGCAATTCTTCATGCTCACCTTTTCCATATTTGTTAATGCATTCAAGGGCGAGCATGGCCTCCCCAAACTCATTGAAGGTTTCACCAACAATGTAGTCCGCACCTTCCTCCACCGCCCACTCGATTTGTTCCTGAGAAAAGAATCAGTGACAGTGTTCGGTAAACGACGCTTTGAACAGTGCTCGCTTTACTATTGGAACGCGCTGTAACAAAAGCGTGGCAAAGGAATCGCAAACTATAGCCGTTAAGCTTTATTTGTATATTACACTGAGAAATATGCACAACTCGTGCGTTTCATGGGCGGAGAAAATAGGTTATCCTGTAAACAAACAACGCCCTGTAGTATTTCAATGGCAGATCGGCGATATGTCATATTTTCACACACCTCAAATACACACTAACATTTTTTTTAAATTATAAAACTATTACTGTTACTTGCAAACACCTTTCACCTGATGGTATATTCCCCTCATAAAATTGAAGGTGTATGTGAAGATGTTTTGAACACTAACTAGAAACACTCAAACAACGCCCTGTAGTATTTCAATGGCAGATCGGCGATATGTCATATTTTTACACACCTTAAATACACACTAACAAATTTTTAAATTATAAAACTATCACTATTACTTGCAAACACCTTTAACCTGATGGTATATTCCCTCATAAAATTGAAGGTGTATGTGAAGATGTTTTTGAACACTAACTAGAAACACTCAAACAACGCCCTGTAGTATTTCAATGGCAGATCGGCGATATGTCATATTTTCACACACCTCAAATACACCCTAACAAAAATTTTTTAGTTATGAAAATATCACTTTTACTTGCAAACACCTTTTAACAAAAGGTATATTTCCCTTCTCAAAATTAAACGAATATGTGAAAGAAGTTTTTAGCGATATAAGTTAGTCTTTCTTCGCTGTGTACTGAGAATTGAAGCCAGTGAGCTACAACATGCCCACTTGAAACTTTACTACAAAGCTACTGTACTTATACTGACACTAATAACAAGTATTTGACTTAAAATGAAGTGACAGAAAAGGTAACTTATCTTCTACATGTAGGTTTTCAGTTGTCACAACACTCAGCGTATGTAATCAGCTGTTGAAAATAAACCGGGCTCAATCTTAAAAACTACGCTGCCGCCATATTGGCTGCACTGGTCACGTGACGAGCCGAGGCATAGCTTAGGAGCTTTCCGAGGAGTGACCACTCTAGTCCAGTCAATCTACGATTTAACCTCAAACAAATTGCAAAAGAATTTATTTTGCGATAAATATGTTCATTGGCATTGTCTAAATGACATATAAAAAGTCTAATAAAATCTAAAGAGGGGAAACAATAAAAATAGTTAAAATATTTTAATCCATTTACCGAACCCGAATTTGACCCGTTCGGGCCGCCATGGGGAAAAAGGGAGACAACTCTGTTTGATTGACGGCAAACAAGCTAAATCGAGACGTCAAAAGAAGTTCATAAACATGCGTGTTTGCTGTTTTCAAGTCAACTATCCAATCTGGTAAGTTATTTTATACATTATTTGTGCATTGTCTTCGCTTATGATCCAAAGATATGGCATGATTTTACAAATGCAACAAGTAATCTACTTGACGGCACCGGCAACATTTGCCTTGAAATGGTAGACATTTTAACTCCCGTTTTCAATCATCGAAGTAAGAAACTTAACTACCATTAAGTATTATTTTAAAACGTGTTATTCGTGTACGTTTTATCGAAAAGATATGCTTGATGTCTAAATTAAGATTAAAATGGCATGAAATGCAACGTCACTCTGTCAGGAAAAAAAAACCTATGGAAACCCAGAAGGGCCATGCTGATGACATGACTTCAACAGACTTGACCAAGAATAAGTGAATTTATAAGATAACAGGGTTTTTAAACATTATTTTTCCTTAATATTTAAGTAAATTTAATTTTAGAAATGATTTTTTTGCCAGAAACTGGTCTAAATGAGGTTAAAAAGACATTTTAAGATTACATTGAAAATTTAATAGAGACCAAAGAGGAAAAACTTCATGAAATGTAAGCTCATTAAATTCATTAAAAGTGAAACTGTCAAGTGTACAGTTTCCTTATTAATTCATAGCATATTGTCGTGTATAAAGCTGTGTTTTATTTTGAAGATATTAAGAAATTAGCTAATTAGAAAATCTGTCATTACCAATTAAATGCTAAATCCTTCTTACTGTTCCTCACACGTTTATATCAGTCTGTAAAATGGGAAACACCACTAACTGTTGAAAGAATCACTTTATAAGTTTCATAAACTTTTAACTTTTTGTCAGCTTTTCCTATTTATTGTGAATTTAATTACATTAGAAATAAAAATGTTGATCTTTCAGTGATCAGGTGGAAATTATAGGGTTACTATTTTACTGTGTTACAGATAATGGATCACTGCTTTTATCTGCAAGAAGAAAACAAATGACCTAGATGGTGTAAAAATAGGCGTTAAAGGCAGTCTGGGGATAAATACCGCCAGCAGTCAAAGAAATGACTATGTCAGAACTCTGCCAGGTGATGTTGTACACAAGGAATGCAGACGCAAATATTGTAACCCTCACATCATCAAACATGATCTTGCTCAACGTGCCGCAGAGGTAGAGTCCAGAGCATTGCGGTCAAGTCAGCCTAAATTTCTCTATAGAGAGAACTGTCTTTTTTGTGGACAATTTGCCAAGAACACTAATAGAAAGAGGGGAAGTGATGTGTATCCTGTCAGGACGAAGGATTTCCAAGACACAATAATTTCAGTCTGCAAGGAACGAGATGATGAATGGGCAGAGAAAGTGTTAATTAGGGTAGAAGTTGCTCAAGACCTCCACGCTGCTGATGCTGTTTGTCATCAATCATGCAATGTAAATTTCAGGACAAAGAAAAAAATTCCAGTACTTCATCAAAGTAGAGACAAAGCAAGAAGACAGTCGGGTGGGAGACCTCCAAACAATGACCAAAATGAAGCCTTTCTAAAACTGACTGAATACTTGATCGAAAATGATGATGAACAATTAACTGTTCCTAATCTTGTTGAAAAGATGAAGACTTTCAGTTGTGAAGAGGAATATAGTTCTGTATATGAAGAAAAAACTGAAAGACCATTTCGGAGACTCCATCATTTTCACAGAACTAAATGGAAAGGCAAATGTTGTGACCTTCAGACATACAGCGTCGTCAATACTCCAGGAATTTTACCAAGATCCTAAACTGCAGGACACAGATAGAGAGAAGATGAGACTCATTGAGACTCCCCCTTATAGAGTCTCCCTGCTTTAATATTCGAACGCGCTGTAACAAAAGCGTGGCGAAGGAATCGCAAACTATAGCCGTTAAGCTTTAATTGTATATTTAACTGAGAAATATGCACAACTCGTGCGTTTCATGGGCGGAGAAAATAGGTTATCCTGTAAATTTTACAGCATTGTCGTCGCCATGTTGTTTATGTAAAAATTATGGCAGCGTAATCACTAAAACGAAATATGCGAATCATGGACACAAGCTATTAATGTATTTCAGCATTAAAATATATATAATTTACATTTATGTACGTGACAGCTGTATCTGGTAATTAATTAACCTGGATTATTTAACCAGTCATGTTACAGTCCTTTATCGGTTTTTCCTCCAAGACTAATTATCCGACTGACTTACCATTGCTAATACATTATGAGAGTTGACAAAATCTCGGGATACATGTAATATAGCACAATTCCACAACTACACTTTTCCTTTGTGATGCTGTTTCAGCGATCCCCGTATGCTCAGGCGCGGTGGGGTAGCCTAGTGGTTAAAGCGTTCGCTCGTCAGCCGAAGACCCAGTTCGATTCCCCATATGGGTACAATGTGTGAAGCCCATTTCAACTCACTAACTCACCTTGTATGGTAGAAAACATACAATCACTTTATCGGTGTCTCATTGATTGATTGATTGAGTTAAGCTTCAGAATGTGCAAACGCTCACTTTAAACATGGCTTCCGTTTTCCCAATGGCTTAGTAACTGGTAAAACTCTACTCGAGGACTTTACAGAAATGATCACTTAGACTTTGCTAAGGATGGCAATTACTGAATACTGTCAATATTCGCAAGTTTGAAATGTTGTATGTTTGAACTACCGTCCGAAATAGAAGAGATTCACAGGCACTCACTTTAAACATGGATTCCGTCGTCTCAATTGCTTCTTTGTTATCCTTTCTGTACACCGTCGTGTTGCAGAGATTTCCCGCCATCAACGTCCCTGTGTCGTCTGCCACCTGTCTCGCGATCCGCAACGCGTCCCTGTTTAACTTCTCAATTTCATTTTCACGGCCGATAACTCTGAGCTTCTCTCGGTGACCGTAGTACTGTGACATGAGAAAGACATGCACTTTGAAAAATATATTTTAAAAAAAAGTAGAAATAGTAGACTTTTAGTAAGAAATAGATAATTGTTCGCTGCCCTAAAAATATACCCTGTCTGTCAGTCAGTCACGTTAACCTGTAAATAATCAGGTCGGGTATCCGATCTAACTCTACTGGACACGATTCGACCAAAGCGATCAACCGACCAATGTGATCAACCGACCAATGAACATCTTCGCCCTGTGCGATATGGAATATTTGAGATCTATCCTGCTTCTCTAGCGACACGTATGGGAACATATCTCATACCTATTCTACGTCTCTTGTGACACACATGGACATGACATGTTGAGTTTAAACTTAAGACCACCATCCCCTCACCCACCCACCCCCCACACACACCAAAAACAATAGAATAAATAAATAAATGAATGAATAAATGAATAAATAAATAAATAAATAAATAAATAAATAAATAAATAAATAAATAAATAAATAAATAAATAAATATATAAACGTTTATGAGTTAGAAACTTATCGTCTTTGTGTGACCAGTTCAATTCAGCTGAATCACATCATTTATTGTTAACAGTTGACAGGTTGTCAACACTAATAGATTTAAACTGTATACAAAATTTTACCGTAAATGCCAAACAAACGTCACTTCCGGCATTGACAAACTCTTCGTGGAGACCTTTCACGAGATCCGGTCTTTCAATGACGACTTCCGGTACAAATGCTCCGGCTTTGAGCAAACCTCTTCTCTCAAATTCAAACACATATCCTTCCGCCACAACAACATCCTCTTTGTCTTGCAGACGCTGAAGCAGACCTTTGAAAACGAAGTTGCTGATTCATTATTCAGAAGTGTAATAGCGTTGTGCTTGTGGCGGGGCGGGGCGCAGAGTTCATGGAAAAAACGATGTACATGTAAATAGGTACTGATAAAAATGCGCTGACGGAACGCTAATATTTCGCTAATATATAGCAGTTGTTTCGTAAATAGTATTGTAGACGTAAATAGTCAATATATATTTATATGTTCCTTTACTTTTTACCATCAGCATATCTTCACCTATGAAACGTGTCACGTGACATGCGATAACGCAGATATACTGACAGCTGATTCCATACCGAGGCCCTGCTTATCAGAAACACTGACAGATGTTTGTGATCTGATATATGAATGCATTAGTGAGTGAGTTTAGTTTTACGCCACACTTAGCAATATTCCAGCTATATGGCGGTGGTCTGTAAATAATCAAATCTGGACCAGACAAAACAGCGATCAACAGCATGAGCATCGTTCTACGCAATTGGGAACCGATGACATGTGTCAACCAAGTTGGTGAGCCTGACCACCCGATCCCGTTAGTCGCCTCACACGACAAGCATGGGTTACTGAATAAATTAAATACATACGAAATCCTTCATAATGCAAGTAATCAACCAAAATTTCTTTGTGTTATTTCCAAATCATTTCGTGGAATATATTTAGTAGTGACAAAATTGCTGACAACCATTTTTCTAGATAATGTTCACGCACCAGAGTCTGTGGTTCGCTTAAAAGACTCACGATCAGTGAAGATCTGGGTTAGAATTGGTCTTCAGCAACCCATGCATGTAACTGGTAAGAGGCGACTAACGGGATCGGGCTGCAAGGTTCATTGACACACGTCATCGTATCCCAATTGCGTAGATACTCGTGACTCGATTATTAACAGACCGCCGCCATATAGCTGGAATATTGCTGAGCGCGGCGTTAAACAACAAACAAACAAACAAACAAACAAAGAGACCAACGCTGGGTCTTTGAAAATTCTACAAACAAATTACTTGAGCCAGTGAGATTGGTGGTTAAGGCTAGTTCTATTCAAGGCGTTAGCTTCGAAGAAAAGGTTGGACAGAACAGAAATATGGTTCAGGGACAATGTGATAAAATACACTATAACGATTGGACCAGATGACAGAATATATTGCTCTTTACCGTAACGACAAACTCACCTTTCACTGGCATGACGTATTGTCGTCGGTGCTGTTGGTAGAATCAGTGGTTGATGAGGTTGCTCCGTCGGCTCCTCTGCGCAAACTGAACCGCAGACACACGGCGTGTTGCTTGTGAATGAGATAGGCGAAATGAGGGCGATAGATAAATATAGTTGCGAGCAGCGATGTAGGCTCCATGATCTAAGTGAGTTAATTATTCAGTACAAGGTTCTTTGAAAACTTCCTCGGATGACATCAAAGTTACTATGAGACGCACCAGGAGGCCAGTGTAGATATTTATGAATACAGGTTATGTGATTTGATTTGGATTCAATTTATTTAGAAGCTCATAATAATGGATCTAATAATATAATTTGTAGGGGTGGGTATTGCAAGGAATTTTCATATTGCGATAAATTGCGATGCGAAAGCATGTATTGCGATATGTATTGCAATATATTGCAACAAGTTTCCTTTAACAAAAATACGTATAATCGAGTTAATGCTTGATTTATAAAGTAAAAACACAACAAAATCACAATGCTTGATTAGGCGTTAATAAAAACTTTTAATCATGACAAAATAAAAATGTAAATAATGTTTGGCACAAATGAAACAAGGAAAGGAACAATTTAAAAAAGCGGAAATATCCGAAGATTTCCGAGTGTTACGAAGTTTTCCGAATGCATGTCAAAATACCGGTTTTCGATCAGCGTATCGCAATACGTATCGTTTTCCATGTCTGAACCGGTAAATCGGTTATATTGAGCAGCCCTAATAATTTGATACCACGGGAAGGGAACACGAACCTTGGTGGTCTTATCTGAAAAGAGTGAGTGAGTGAGTGAGTTTAGTTTTACGCCGCACTCAGCAATATTCCAGCTATATGGCGGCGGTCTGTAAATAATCGAGTCTGGACCAGACAATCCAGTGATCAACAGCATGAGCATCGATCTGCGCAATTGGGAACCGATGACATGTGTCAACCAAGTCAGCGAAACTGACCACCCGATCCCGTTAGTCGCCTCTTACGACAAGATAGTCGCCTTTTTATGGCAAGCACATGGGTTGCTGAAGACCTATTCTACCCCGGATCTTCACGGGTCATCTGAAAAGAGCCGTGTGTTTGTACAGATATGAACTATAGCAGGGACCATATACCGAAATATGGTCTCTGACTATAGTAAGCAATGTGATACTTTGTTTTCCCAGATTCATGGTTTCTTTTCTTTCCTTTTCTGTTCTTAATCATACTAGCTAGTCTTACTAGCGGCGGGGGTAGCCAAATTGTTAAAGGCCAGGGTTAAAACCTATACACAGATGGGGTGTGGCCTCCTTGCCTTGTCGAAGCTGACCTTAGATGCAAAGCAATGTAGTATTCAAGTACATTCCATGAAATATCACAAAACTGACTCGCCGGTTCAGGCTGATATTAAGTCATAGTATAAAGAAGTATGTTGTGAAGACTCACAGTAAAAAGTATGGATGCAGAGAGTCTACAAAGCATACATTTTGAAAATATGTTTCTCATTTTTAAATCCAGATTTGAATTTCCCACTGTGTCAGTCAGGTGGCCAGAGGAGGTGCGTTTCCATAGAAACAAGCCTTGGAGTGGGGAAATGTTTCATTCGGGTTTCACATTTCAGGCAGGCTGGGAAAATGCCCTCCTCCCCCACTCCCCTGACACCATGCTGTGCAGAGCTAGGGTTGCCCACTATCTGATGCTGACATCTCTTTGCTGAAGATTTTATATTCAGAATATAAGTAAAATTTGATGCTTCATATATGCTAATTTAAGTAATCTCTTTAGTCATCAAAATATGAAGTGAAAGAGTTGTTGGACATTTACTATAAGGCACATGTTTATTCTAGTAGTAAATTCCAAGGTTAACCTTTGACATAGCCAGGCTCTTGCCAGGCACCCATAGCCGTTACAGCCTTGTCACTCACCGGCTGATAACATCTTCACTGCTCAGGGGTAGCAAATGGGAGACTATTTAGAAACCCACGGCGGTTTGGAGGTATGCGCCACGGCCTTTAAGTTGTTAAAGCGTTGGCTCGTCACGCCGAAGGCCCGGGTTCGATTCCCCACATGGGTACAATGTGATATTGCTTGAATCTTGCTTTAAGCGGCGTAAAACCATATTCACTCACTCACTCACTAGCTACGGGATGTAGTCGGATTATACAACTGGCAATCATAGTCTACGTGAACATTCAACATTTGGTCGAAAAATACGTGATGTGAGGTACAAGTAGTTGTAGATGAACGCCAGAAAGCGTGAATAGATCTCAAATGCACATCCAAGCAGTGCACGAAATCGCCACTGGCATGGATGACAACTTCTTCTTTATTGTATGTCACAACGTTTCTGGGCTATTCCTTGACCCTTCGTCAGGTGAATTGTAACAAGCAAGATACATCATTGAGTATATATACTAAATGTACCAGAAGTCAGTGTTGCATGTATATACAATAAATTGGATAAGAAACAGGAGATGAAAGAGTGAGATGTACAGATAATGGGAGTTGTTTATACAAGAGAAGAGTTTATACAAGTGATTAGCAGATGTGGGTAGAAGCCAGTAATGAGCTAATTGACTTCCCAGGCACTGGGGAGGTACACTCCTTGATCCCTGTTCAGCTGCGGTTGTAATTGTCTTATCGTTAAAGACTCTAATAGATTTCGCTTGCGCTAGTTATTTAGACCCCAAATAGACCCAGGGGATGCATATACAAACTGCACTGTAATTCTGGCTCCACATACATACAGTCCGGTTGGCTCAAAAGCGGACCGATGAATTGCAACTCGAAAACTAATAAACATAACATACTCAATGAAACGCTGATCATAATCAAAACATCATACGAACTCTGTGAGGTTTTTGCAGAATTTTTGTCCTAAAAATAAAAAAGTTGTTTAACAATCTATCATTAAAATATTGACACAGTTCACTATTTGTTACGAGGGAGGAGTGCAAAGAATGGGACAGCCAGGCGTTCGAGAACGGATGGAGACGGCACAGCACGTGTTAATGAATAAATAACTTTGTCTGTGAACGTGCTTCTCGTAACAAACAGTGAACTGTGTCAATATTTTAATGATAGTTTGTTAAACAACTTTATTATTTTTAGGACAAAAATTCTGCAAAAACCTCACAGAGTGGGTATGATGTTTTGATTATGATCAGCGTTTCATTGAGTATGTTATGTTTATTAGTTTTCTAGTTAGATTGCAATTCATCGGTCCGCTTTTGAGCCAAACGGACTGTAGGTGAAACATCCCGCCCATTTGACATACGACTGAAGGAGCACAAAACATCTGTACAAAAAATGGACCAGAAATCAGCTCTCTCAGAGCACATCGTCAAAACCCCTACTCACTCCACTGACTGGCAACAATCAACCATATGAACCACTAATGTCCATGATTGGCGCAAGCGCAAACTATAAGAGTCTTTAACAATTTTTGGGAAACGATTCTGACTGACTGAGTTTGGTTTTACGCCGCTTTTAGCAATATTCCAGCAACATCACGGCGGGGGACACCAGAAATGGGCTTCACACATTGTGCCCATGTGGGGATTCGAACCCGGGTCTTCGGCGTGACGAGCCAACGCTTTAACCATTAGGCTACCCCACCACCGGAAACGATTCTGACAACTGGTACTTGAGTTATGAATTTAACAAAGAAACGCCGGCATATTATAATGATAAACACATAATAATAATAATTCGAACGATTCCAATAGATCTCCAGCCTTTTAGGCATGGAACCCTAACCAGTCCTCCCGGACCACTATCAAGCCTGTAATGAGTTACACGTTGTCTTCTCAGACACTCAATACATTGTTTGTTTGTTGTTTAACGCTGCACTCAGCAATATTCCAGCTACGAGTATATGGCGACAGTCTGTAAATAATAGAGTCTGGGCCAGATAATCCTGTGAGCAGCAACTTGAGCATTGATGTATCAACCAAGGCAGCGAGCCTGAACACCCGATACCGTTAATCACCTCTAACGACAAGTAGGGCCCGTGAGTCTTGCGAGGCGCTACCTCCGGTACTAATCTGATAACGTCTGTACACAAAGAGTTCGTCAATACAACAGCAGCCTTTATTGTCGTATTTCCTTTGGGATCGCCTTTGGGGTCGTTTCTTGCCGACCAATTCACCCAAGACAGCCCGAGAAGCGGCCGTCCAAGAGTTACCACCCAACCCCAGGCCCGCTAAATCCGGGTTGCTCACTTGCTTCATCATCCTACCACAGCCGTGGCGACTGCACAACACATCCCTTGAAACTACATACAGCAAACTCATACAGCAAACTTCTTTTATAACGAACATATTTATAACGAACTAACGGATATAACGAATTAATGTATTTTCTTGTCCCTGTTAATTATATTTGAAATGTGTATAACGAAAACCGGTATTACTACCTGATATTAAATTTTGGAGTATTTTTCTAACGCCGCACTCGGCAATATTTGAGCTCCATGACAATTTTTTCCCACTTTTCCCCCCCAAATATGAAAAATGACCACAATCTGTGAGGCTTCTCGTATTGAATTTGCAAAGAAATGATAAAATATTTTAGATCATGGGATGATCTCATACTTATTTTACTGATGTACTCTATATGGCGGCAAATTTGAAAAATGGCCACCAATTTTCCCATTTTCGGGTAGTCATCATATAAATTGACTTCCGTAGACCTAACCGTTAACGATAAAAAGACATGTATAGATGGAAAATAATAAAAAATCTGCGAGGCCTCCCGATCTTTTTTCAATTAGAATGGTATAAGGTACAATCATGCCAAATTTCATGCTTGTAACACAAAGTGCACAATTTGATCACTTATCCGCTGGGCTAAGGAGCGTAGCTACCATTATGAAAAAAGCCTGGGCTTACACATATTGTTGTTAAAAAGGTTGGACAAGCCCTCAATACTATCTAAATATAAAGCTTTGCAACATATCGGGCTTACACGAATAAAGTTTGCTTGCTACGTGCCTGCATGGCGGGGAGATCAGAGTTTAACTGTATTCCCATCACGCATAGGTGACGTGATGTGAAATGAGGTTTTGCGTCGCTTACAAGATTACCTGTACAGAGCAACATGTACGCACGTATACGTGCCATAGACTTGATTTAAGCCGATGTTGTCGTCGTTGTCGATGTTGTAGTGCTAGCATGCCGCACACTCCAACACATACTGATTCGGTCCAGGCCTGTCCTTATCCCCATATTGCCTAGCGCCAGGCAGAGTAACAACAAGTACCATCTTTTAACGACCTTTGCTATGCCAAGGGAACGAACTAACGACTTCCGCTCTCGGGGAACTTCGGAGGTTTGAGAGTTTACTTTTCTTATATAGTTTTATCGCATAGTTTTATCATATAGTTTTATCGCATAGTTTAATTAATAGTTTTATCGCATAATTTTATCATATACACTAGCCACATAAAGAAACTGTGCATTGTCAAAATATTATCCCAGTTGATAAGTACGATAACAATGTCAAAGGTACATATAAATTTTAATGGAGGGATCATGAGACCATAACAAGTCGGGAGAATTTCAATTGAAAAGTCAATCACAATAACGTCACGAGTCCACAAGCGGGACAGGGGTCAAACGACCATGTAACAAGCTCAATAACGGGTATGTCCACCATCGGCATTGAGAACAGCAGTGCATCGACGACGCATAGAGCTTATCAAACGTGCAAGGAAGGCTTGTGGGATGTCACGCCAGATTCTCTCAAGTTCTGTTGCAAGGTCAAGGACGTTATCTGGCGGATGAGGAAGACGGCGTAGACGTCGACCCATCTCGTCCCAAACATGCTCTATCGGGGAGAGATCCGGTGAATTTGCAGGCCAAGGCAGTAAGTCAACGTTGTGGTGTTGCAAGAAATCCATAGCAACCCTTGCCGTATGAGGGCGGGCATTGTCCTGTTGGAATGTTAACCCAGGGCCATGACGTTGCAGAAAAGGAATTGCCACAGGTCGAAGAATTTAAAAATTTAAAGAGACTTACCTGTAAGTTGAAGTTTGATATAAATTCCACTGACCTATGAAGTACAGAGGGATCACATGAGATGTGCGCATGCGCGTAAGTATCAGTATTTAACTTGAAAATATGATTCTTGGGTACCAAGGGAAGGGATACAATGGGTGGGCATGTGATCCCTCTGTACTTCATAGGTCAGTGGAATTTATATCAAACTTCAACTTACAGGTAAGTTTCGTTTAATTTTTAAATTCCACTTCCCTATTCCGTACCTCGGAATCCCATGAGATATTTAGAGCAAGAAACATATTTTCTCCATTATACAATCAGAAGGATCACAAAAACCACAGGGCAAATCCAATTGTTTAATAAACTGGACAAATGTCCCTAGAGAACTGCTTAGTAATTTCCATAGTAATAAAATGAAAACCATACTGTTATAAAAAACATGTACATGTCATTGTCAACATTGTTAGGCTTTAGCAATAATGTCACTCTTATTATGATAAGTTTATCATCACTCATGGTGATTAGCATTAAACTCCAGTAGTGCTTGACCGAACTGTCCATCAGTGGCTATCGGTTTGTTGTAAAACTGTCTGAATACACAGGGTAAAGCAGGTCTAAGGTGGAAGATCCCTTTCATAAAGCGGATAACTAATTCATGCTGTCCAAAACTATTGTTGTCTATTTTCACAAGTGTTGACAAGGCTGAACGGGCTGTATTTATAGCGGAGTAGCTCAGGCCTTTTTGATATAGTCTCTCCAAAAAGTTAAGACCTTCTGCTAAAGATGGTGAAAGGGGATTAACACATCTCTCACTGCAAAACAACAGCCACTTTTGGATATAAGTCCCATACTGCTTGTGTGTGGAACTTTTCCATGATTGCAGTATGATGTTGATAACTGGCTCCTGAATGCCTTGACTTTCCAATATTTTCCTGATAAGCTGAATGCTGTTGCCTTCAGCTTCCCGTGCAATTGATGTACTGCTTCGGTGTTGTTGGGTAGTGTCAGAAGGGACTTGGACTTTGGTAGCAACCTGGGACAGTCTGTTGATAATTCCAGTAGCTTGCCGAACCAGCACTGAGTTGGCCATAATGGAGCTATCATCAGGACATCGGCTTCCTCCAGCTTGACGTTCTGCAGCACTTTCCCAATGACACTGAATGGGCAGAAGATATAGTCAAAACTAGATTTCCATGACAAAGTGAAAGCATCTACAGCTTGTGCACCCGGGTCAGGGAACCATGAAACATATCTAGGGGACTGGTTATTCAGTCTTGATGCGAATAAATATCTACATTGAACTCCAAACACCCTAGTTAGTTTATAGAACACGTTATGATCTAACGTCCACTCTTTGTCATCAGTGACATTTCTCGAGTACCAATCAGCTTCACAGTTATCTGCCCCCGGCAAATGAGCTGCACTCAACCAGATATTCCTTTGTTTGCACCACAACCACATTGTTCTTGCCATATCATTACAGCTGGGCTTAGTACCTCCCATATTGTTCACATAAGCCACAGCCGTGGTATTGTCCATTTCAAGTTTTATATGGGGCGGTGGGGTAGCCTAGTGGTTAAAGCGTTGGCTGGTCACGTCGAAGATCCGGGTTCGATTCCCCACATGGGCACAATGTGTTAAGCCCATTTCTGGTGTCCCCCGCCGTGATATTGCTGGAATATTGCTAAAAGCGGCGTAAAACTAAACTCAGTCAGTCAGTCAGTCAAGTTTTATGTGAGTATCATGAGCCCCACTACATAATGATTGCAATGTAAGGAGACCAGCATATATTTCAAGGAATTTAATGTGTTTCCCACTTTCCTCATCTGACCAGAGCCCACCTGTCTTGTTTAGGCCACCCCACCCCAACCCCCAACCTCTTTTTGACGCATCAGATTGAACAGTTAGATCAGGGTCGCATAGTTCAATAGGTTGAGAGTAACAGCCTGTGTTGTCTGCCCACCACAATATGTCAGATTCACATTCATCACTCAATACAACACTTGCATCATAGTTCCCTTTCTTCTGCTTGAGGCACCAAATTTTGAATATCTCCAACCTCTTGTAATACAAAAGGGCATATTTCATCCCATATCCAGTTGCGTTAAGTTTCCCTATCAATGCTGCCAATTCCCTAATAGACACATGAGACTTTTTTAAGACATCTCTACAATCTTGCTTGATATTATCAGCCTTCTCTTGTGTCAGGGTAACTGTCATATATGCACTGTTGATGATGAAACCCAAATAAGTGATCTCTTTTGAGGGAACCAGCACAGATGTATCTGGGTGTACAGTGAACCCTAGTTTGTCCAAAAGCTGCACAGTATACACAACATTATCAGTCGATATACACAGTGTTTGAATACCCAAACTGTCTAATTGAAGAAAACACTGGTTTGAGCAATTTCATGAAAATCCTCGGAGCTGATGAGAGCCCGTTTGGCATACATGTAAATTGAAAAAGCTCTCCATCCCAAAGAAATCTCAGATATTTCCTATCTTGTTCCTTGACAGAAATTGAGAAATATGCATCTTTGAGGTCTATGGATGCAAAATAGCAGTCCTTGTGCACTAGATTTAATGCTGTTCGGAAAGTATCCATCTTAAAATGAGGTGAATCAACAATGTCATTTAGAGATTTGAGATTGAGAATAACTCGCAAGGAGTCATCCTTCTTGGTTCTCGCAAATATGTTTGAAATGTACTCTCCTGATGTATGGGAACAAGATTAAATAATACCTTTTTGTAACATGAAACCTATCTCCGATTCCATTTGCTCCATTTCTGTAAGATTAAACATTATTGGTTTAGGGGTATACCGCTGTGCAGGCACTTCAATCAAGTCTAAAGTAACCCCTGCAATGCTCGATAACACCCATTGATCGGAGGTAATCCCATACCAATTTGTCAAGAACTGACTGGTCTTGCCTGCTATATAATTCTTGGGGTTGTTCTGGCAGTGAAGGATACATGTTTTAGCTCTCACCTCATGTAGGGGAGGTCTTCTGTCAGTTCCGAGGGTAGTCCCTCTGGCGTTTGCTTAAAAAAGCATTGTGATGCTGGCCTCTACCTCTGCCTGCTGGTTTCCCTCTGTTGTGGGAAGGGGTGCTCTTGCTGAAAGTCTGCCCTTGTCTGTTGTTCGCATAAGGTTCATATCTGTGATACTGATAGCTTTTACCTTTCGGTTTATCCCTGGAGTTTGGTTGGAAGATCTTCTTCCCGAGTCGGTTAGCTTCTGAGATTTCTTTAATTCGTTTGGTGAGGTCGTCACCAAATAGATACTTTGTAGTTGGACCTGATGCAGAGCAGAGTCTCTTGTAGGGGCCACTCAGATCTTGTTTGAAACTCTCTCGCCTTTTAGTGTTGAGGTCTGCATGGGCCGCTGCCAACAACCTGATGGTGTCCATGGCTTTTCTCATGGTCCCCTTTATGTCGAGTTCTTTCCCGTCTGTCACTACTGCCATGAGGGAATCGGTTATTTGCACCAGGGGAATCATAGCCTTGATTAGCAAACCTTGCAGGTGTTGTGATTTTAAGTCCTTGGACTTGGTGTGGGCCTTTGCTTGATGCCAAATTTCCTCATTGATACGGGGAACAGTCAAACCTTCACAGTTTTCTGGCCGTTTGTATCGATCCATAACTGTTTTGATTTTCGCCATGGTTGGCTGTTTAGACACACCGTCATTCACTGTTTGGGCGAGGTCGGTCCGAATTTTTTCAGAGGTGTCTTCGTCATTACCGAAGAAATCCCTCAAGTCGCAGACAAGTTCATTGATGGCACTTATGTCATCCTCGTTGTTAGTGTCATTGTCAAACTTTTCCTGGTGACAACTATTGAGCAAGGAGTCAAACAAGTCGCTCTCATCGGCAGAAATATCACTCAGATCTTCCGTGTCCGCCATTGTTTGTTTCTGTGGAAGTTCTCGGCTGTTTCCGTGACTGGTCCGAGTTGATAAAATTAGCAAATGCCGAGCAATTCCTTCCTCTTGAAGTGACGATTCCTCGAACCAACTAGCACAATCGATTCTCGGCAATATACAACGGCGATCAACACCATGAAAATCCAAAGTTCTTCTTAATCACTGTAAAAATCCAAAAAATTAGTAAGCTCGATTCTTCAAGTCAAATTCCAAAACTTAGCATCTCATGGGATTCCGAGGTACGGAATAGGGAAGTGGAATCTGATCCCTGTAGCCCACACCAGTTAAGTTGCCCTGAACAATCACTAAAGGAGTTCTTTGGCGTGCTGTTATTCCACCCCAAATCATCACAGAACCACCACCAAAGCGATTCCTCTCCAAGACACAGGCCTGTGCATAACGTTCTCCCACGCGTCTATAGGCACGTTGACGTCCATCACTATGGGAAATGTTAAACCTGGAAAACCTGGAAAAACAACATTTCCCCACCAAAACAAGGGCCTGCGGACATGATTTCGGCACCACATTCGGCGACCTTGTCGATGACGTTGTGTCAGGATAGGCCGTATGGCGCGACGTCGTGGTCTGATCCCGTGATGACGTAAACGTTGTCGAACTGTGTTAGGGTGGATACGGCGAAGTCCTGGGATGGTTCGGGCAGTCATCACTGCAGTCTGAAACCTGTGGCGAAGATGGGTCACCCTTATCCATATGTCCTGTCTTGGCGTTGTTACACATGGACGTCCAGAACGTGGCCGATCGATGACGTCATTTGTGTTCTGGTAGCGTCTCACCAGCGCAGAAATGGTGTTCCGGTGGCAGTGGAAATGTGCAGCCACATGTCGTTGAGACATTCCCCCACGGACCATCCCAATGGCCTCATGACGTTGTGCAGACGTGAGCCTTGGCATGCTATGCGTTTCAATAGCCGTTTAATTTTTTGAACGATCGCAAGGGCAGGGGTTGAGCTTTCCAAAGTGACAGTATTGTGTGGCATTCATTTGCTCTGTTTCTCTTTCCCGGAATGCACGTGCAACAAAGTATTGCACGTCTCAAGGACGAACCCACTGACGTCACGGAACATGGCACGTCACTAATCTCTGAGTTTAAATCCTTATGTGTCTGCACAGGTTTGATAAATTTCGATTTTAAATTTTTGTATGCACAGTTTCTTTATGTGCCTAGTATAGTTTTATTATTTTATTAACAACTGTTTATTCCGCCATCGCTCTTTTTCTTGCAACAGTTTGTGAATAGTTGGCTTGGTACATTTGTGGCAATGTAGATTGGTATAAGAAATCAGATCGCAACTACATGACTGATACTTTGTTTCACATGTAACTTTATGCCGACAAAAATAAGAAACAAATAAAAGTTCAGCTGTAGTCCAGCAGTTGTTTGCCAATAAAGATTTAATAAATAAAATTTGTCTTTGGCGTAATGAACGAACGTTTTAACCACTAGGTTACCCCTCTGCCCCTATAAAATCACTAACGTAGGAAAAATTTGATTTAAATTATTTTGTATACATGCTATAAAATAAACAAGCAAGAAGGTTTAATGTCAAATTAACTTAATTACAGAATGGTGAGAGTTTGTTTTCTCTTTCATCAGCCTGTTATGCCTTCAACTTTCTTCTTGAGCGCCTGCTGGTAAGGGTCCTCGCTGCTTTTGTTCTTCCCGAAAATAAAGTGCTGGGACATATCGGGGGAGTATCTACTGGAGGGGGGTCGACGCCCGTATTCCTCCGCCACCACCCGAATGTAGTGAGAAGCGTTGCCACAACATAGTCCCACGTACTGCACGCCCAGGGATTTGGCTTCTCGGGCAAAGTCGGCAATTTCCGTTCGTCCACACGCTTGCCCAGGAAGGTCAACCGGAAACGCCATAGCACCTTCAACAGACATATTGAGGCATAATTAAAGGTTAAATTCACAGGATTTTCTGTGTTTCAGGAACATACTTTCCAAGATATACTGAGGATCTTCCGCGACGATCAATTCCTCTTCATTAAACATTAAATTTTATTTTAACAACCTCACCCTTACCCTCCGAAAAAACCACAAAAATAATAAAGTCAAAACACGTACCGGAAACATGTTTGTAAACATTCAGAGTATGCAGACCACGTACCGGAAACACGTGTGTAAACATTCAGATCATGCAGACCACGTACCGGAAATACGTTTGTAAACATTCAGAGCATGCAGACCACGTACCGGAAACACGTATGTAAACATTCAGAGCATCCAGACCACGTACCGGAAACATGTTTGTAAACATTCAGATCATGCAGACCACGTACCGGAAATACGTTTGTAAACATTCAGAGCATGCAGACCACGTACCGGAAACACGTATGTAAACATTCAGAGCATCCAGACCACGTACCGGAAACATGTTTGTAAACATTCAGAGCGTGCAGACCACGTACCGGAAACACGTTTGTAAACATTCAGAGCATGCAGACCACGTAACGGAAACAGTATGTAAACATTCAGAGCATGCAGACCACGCACCGGAAACATGTTTGTAAACATTCAGAGCATGCAAACCACGTACCGGAAACACGTTTGTAAACATTCAGAGCATGCAGGCCACGTACCGGAAATACGTATGTAAACATTCAGAGCATGCAGACCACGTACCGGAAACACGTATGTAAACATTCAGAGCATGCAGACCACGTACCGGAAATACGTTTGTAAACATTCAGAGCATGCAGACCACGTACCGGAAATACGTGTGTAAACATTCAGAGCATGCAGACCACGTACCGGAAACATTATGTAAACATTCAGAGCATGCAGACCACGCACCGGAAACATGTTTGTAAACATTTAGAGCATGCAAACCAGGTACCGGAAACATGTTTGTAAACGTTCAGAGCATGCAGACCACGTACCGGAAACACGTGTGTAAACATTCAGAGCATGCAGACCACGTACCGGAAACATTATGTAAACATTCAGAGCATGCAGACCACGCACCGGAAACATGTTTGTAAACATTCAGAGCATGCAGACCACGCACCGGAAACATGTTTGTAAACATTCAGAGCATGCAGACCACGTACCGGAAATACGTGTGTAAACATTCAGAGCATGCAGACCACGTACCGGAAACATTATGTAAACATTCAGAGCATGCAGACCACGCACCGGAAACATGTTTGTAAACATTTAGAGCATGCAAACCAGGTACCGGAAACATGTTTGTAAACATTCAGAGCATGCAGACCACGTACCGGAAACACGTGTGTAAACATTCAGAGCATGCAGACCACGTACCGGAAACATTATGTAAACATTCAGAGCATGCAGACCACGCACCGAAAACATGTTTGTAAACATTCAGAGCATGCAGACCACGCACCGGAAACATGTTTGTAAACATTCAGAGCATGCAGACCACGTACCGGAAACACGTTTGTAAACATTCAGAGCATGCAGACCACGTACCGGAAATACGTGTGTAAACATTCAGAGCATGCAGACCACGTACCGGAAACACGTATGTAAACATTTAGAGCATGCAAACCAGGTACCGGAAACATGTTTGTAAACATTCAGAGCATGCAGACCACGTACCGGAAACACGTGTGTAAACATTCAGAGCATGCAGACCACGTACCGGAAACATTATGTAAACATTCAGAGCATGCAGACCACGCACCGGAAACATGTTTGTAAACATTCAGAGCATGCAGACCACGCACCGGAAACATGTTTGTAAACATTCAGAGCATGCAGACCACGTACCGGAAACACGTTTGTAAACATTCAGAGCATGCAGACCACGTACCGGTAATACGTGTGTAAACATTCAGAGCATGCAGACCACGTACCCGAATCACGTGTGTTAACATTCAGATCATGCAGACCACGTACCGGAAATACGTTTGTAAACATTCAGAGCATGCAGACCACGTACCGGAAACACGTTTGTAAACATTCAGAGCATGCAGACCACGTACCGGAAACATGTTTGTAAACATTCAGGGCATGCAGACCACGTACCTAAAACACGTTTGTAAACATTCAGAGCATGCAGACCACGTACCTGTCAGTGGATCTTTGAGCGACTGGAACGTAGGATGATCTGAACATGTGCGGTACGTCACCGGCAATGCAATAACTGGTCCCTATAAACAGTAAACGGATTTTGTGATATAAACGTAAAGAAATGGGAATCCTCTGGTTGAATTTGCCCATTAACTAAAGAAGCAGACATTGTCTATACCCATGTTTCGAAAATGGCTCTGCTGAGCGGTCTTACGTTAGCCAGTGATACCATCCATTTGCTATCAGTTTGTACAATATAACTAGGGTCACGAACGGTCCAAGCATCTGTTACATTTCGTCATGCCGAGTTACGTCCCTTAGGTCTGCCAGAATCATACGATTGCTGGCACAAGTTCAAGATTCGGCCTGTTTTGATTCTTATACTTGGTTTTCATGATACCAGTGCTCGAAAGCTTCCCCTTAGTCGTGAAATGCTACGTTTCTCAAGCTACATTTAGCTGGCAGGCTGTGATATCAATGAAGTACAGTTGATGGCGGCGTGAAACTCACTCACTCACTCACTCACTCATAACAACCAGGACTACCTTGCAGGCCTGTCTGATCTCCCTAATGAGAGGCAACATTGTCCTGGGACCACGCCCACAGTTTAATCCAACTGCCGCCGCTCCTGCATCCTCCAGCCTGCGGCAGGCGACGCCAAATGCCAAACCGTCTGACGTTTGGTTCTCTGCATGGGGAATGAAGCTAATGGCCGCTGGTAGTCCTGGAATGAAGTTTTCAGATTCACGAACAAAAGTCTGCTGAAGAAGATTCCTGACGCAATTGGAATGTGATTATTCAGAATTTCATCTTATTACGTTCAAATTCTGCATAATCTCACCATTTCCATATTTGTTAACACACTCGAGAGCAAGCATGGCCTCTCCGAACTCGCTGAAGGTTTCTCCAACAATGTAGTCCGCGCCTTCTTCCACCGCCCACTGGATTTGTTCCTGGTAGAGGAGAATATTACTCAAAGGTTTCAACGATGCCTGGTGATCTTTAGTGGCATTTTAAATCAAACAATAGAATGTAATTTTATGAAACATGCCATGAAGAGTTATAACCCTTGTATCCGCGAGTTGAGGGTTTGAATCCAAATGTCAGAGTTGCCTCTCTCAACTGTTCCCTCTTTCGAATCCTAGATTGGTTTTAATAATGGACATTTTATGTCATCACTGTATCGGTGTTTGGACGATAATAACTGTTTAGAGTCTGACCACAATTTATTCCCTAGCTGACAAGCCACACAGTTGCTTAATAACTGGTAAAACTCAACTCGAGGACTTTACAGAAATGATCACTTAGACTTTGCTAAAGGATGGCAATTACTGAATACTGTCAATATTCGCAAGTTTGAAATGTATGTTTTAACTACCGTCCGAAATAGAAGAGATTCACAGGCACTCACTTTAAACATGGATTCCGTCGTCTCAATCGCGTCTTTGTTATCCCTCCTGAACACCGTCGTGTTGCAGAGATTTCCCGCCATTAACGTCCCGGTGTTGTCTGCTACCTGCCTCGCGATCCGCAAAGCATCTCTGTTTAACCTCTCAAGGTCACCTTCACGGCCGATAACTCTGAGTTTCTCTCTGTGACCGTAGTACTGTTGGATAAATATATTGTTTGAACGAGGAAAAGTCATTAATTGTAATTTTTTCTTGCTGGACAATATCAGGTGAACAACTGGTGTTTTGCGTTTCTTCTTCCATACTCTTTGACGCCCACCCCCTTCCTTTTTGTTCCGTAAGTTTATTGAATGACCATTGAAACTCTCGTGAAAACGGGTGAAAATGAAGTGATGAAGTGTGCACACACTCTCAAAAAGCTGTATCCGCCCCTGGGTCGTGTAAAGCAAATGATTTTCCTACCGTGAAAGCTAAACAGACGTCACTTCCAGCATTGACAAACTCTTCGTGAAGAACTTGCACCAGATCCGGTCTTTCGATGACAACTTCTGGTACAAATGCTCCGGCTTTCAACAAGCCTCTTCTCTCAAATTCAAACACATATCCCTCCGCCACAACAACATCCTCTTTGTCTTGCAGACGCTGAAGCAGACCTTTGAAATATAGATCGAAACTGATAAGAAGTCAATATTTGTACATGAACTAACGTTTGTATGACATTAGTGTCCCTCTACCGTGAAATGGTTGTGATACTGCTAAAGTTGGCGTAAAACAACACTCACTCACTTTTCCTATACCAACAGTATTAATATTTCTATGTCACCTAAATTTGATTTTTCAAAATATCTTTGCTTTTTTCTGCACAATCCTTAACACACAATGACAAAATGCCAAATTCGACTATAGCCACAAACAAATCTTCATTCTGGCCTATGATTGTGTTTTCCTATCCCAGATTAGCTCAAGCTGAAAGTTTTGGTCAGTCAGCACCTTAACCTAAACACATTTTCAGTCTGTCCCATTTGTGGATTCAAATATCATTAAATTATTTTGCTTCGAAACGAAAGCTTTTGGGTTCAGATTAGGACTCCACCATTAAAGATTGCGTCATGCAACCCTGACCGGACTTCCAATCTTCACTATGCTATATGACAGGAATACTGCTTTGCTTCTTAAAATGCAGCGAACAAACATAACGGCATATTGTAGTTGTGATGGATGCTACAGGTAAATCAAGACATGATTATTCATATTAGTTTCAATGATCCAGTCACATAGTTTTAACCAGTATTTCGCCTTTTACGCCTCCGTGAATCTGTTTTAGAAGATAATCGACGCTGATTATCCTCCCTCGTCGGTGTTTTATATTCTTCAGTCAGTCAGACAACAAGCTTTCTTAAACAATTGGGGGTTTTTTCTGAACTCCTCGAAGACGATGTGTTCAAGAGAAAATCTGCAAGTATATTCCTATGCTGTGGCACCCGGAAGGTACATTGTCGGCAAAATATCCATAACAATACAATGATGTGACATTTTTATATACATTCGGAAACTGTCGGTTTAGTTCATTTTCTGGATACAGAAAGATACGCTGGTCAAATAGTATCGATGACTCGTACAGCAAACTTACCGGCAACTTAGAAAGTTCACTTATATAGAAATAAAAAGGTACACAAAATACTGAATATATGATTAAATATACAAGTACCTTTCGCTGGCATTGTAACTGCAAGTGTTGTTAATGTATTAAAATTAAGGAACAAAGCCTCTTCTGTCCTCAGTGTCTGAAGAGAGAATAATGTGTTTACAAGAGGTTGGAGACGTGGCTGTGATAAAATCTTACCAGGCGTTACAGTTCTCATGACACCAGTGTTGTAATATACATACTTATCTCCGATCATCCAGGGTCTATTTGTTCACTCTATACATTCATTAAGATCCATTGCTAACAATAGCTACGTTTTAGAGCCGATTCGAATGACACGATACTAAACTAGTCATCTCATCCAGTATCTTGCATGAGCCATAGGGATTGTCTGATGGATATGTGACGTCAGTAGCGTGTTTATTTGCTGTTTAACGCCGCACGGAACAATGAGCCACAGCAATGTCGGCTACTCATTGGTCAAAACCGGTCACGTGCCGTAGGTATATTTTTTTTTCTGTGTTAAACTGGACCACGCGCGTCCCTGGCAACAACATGCCGTCAACAGTTATCTCCCTTGTTTGCATTGTTTATAAACAAACGCGAGTTGGCGATTCTGAGAGTGAGTTAGTGAGTGAGTTTAGTTTTACGACGCTTTTAGCAATATTCCAGTAACATCACGGCGGGGAACACCAGAGATGGGCTTAACACATTGTTCCCATTTGGGAAACGAACCCTGGTTTGGGCGTGACGGGCGAACGCTTAAATCATTACGCTACCTCTGGTAATCTTCGTATAACGATCCAATAATATGCAAATGGAATCATACATCAGAAGGCAACAGACTTTTAACAAGTTCTATATCGAAGTGTTGCCTATTTGATAAAAAAAAGCCATGTTGCCTGACGTTCAAAAACTTTTGGGTTTGGGGTTAGGGTTTGTGAAAACTTACTTGACTACTGAGAAACCAATCACCATGATAACTGAAATTATGGGATTCGACCCATGTTCTGCGCATCCTGTGGGGAATCGAACCCGAGTCTTCGGCGTGACGAGCGAACGCTTTAACCACTGGGCTACCCCACCGCCCCGGCGATTCTGAGAAGGAACGTATGGGAAAAAACATCCAGAATAAACTAAGCACAAATCCACCTTCTCTTCCCCCATCTTCTACTCACCCTGCCTTTATGCCAGCGTCCCAAAACGTCTCGCTTTCTCGCCCGGTTCCGCGGTCCGCCATGACACGTCCTAGCGGCGACCATGACCGATGCGTTGACTTCCACATGAGAGGGGTCAGCATGGAAGATCTCTTTGGAGAATTCAGCGACAGAAATGCTATAACTTCTAGGTCACAAATGCCACTTCTGTACCAGTGTACCATAAACAATCTCCACATTCTCTACAACAAGTAAGTGTTGACCTGATGTAGAACACCAACATGTCTATAGTAACCTCTCGCTTAGTCTAAACGAGGCTAGTGCATTCCAATACAGGTTCTGCTGACCTAACCTCGATACCCAAGTTGTTAAAAGTTTCATGTTAATAGAGCTGCAATTGTTTACGTTGTTCTGTGTTATTTAAGAGTTCCTTTAAGACAAACAGTTTGGCAATGAATGACAGTGTGGATTTCGAACGTTTGATTGTACAGTTTCTAAAGTGGAATGTCTGCACGAGGTCACGTCACCGTTCAAACGCATATAAGAAATCACCGTTTCAGCCACCGGTTTGCTTAATTTGTATAAATCATTTATTTCAGTCTTTATTTCACGGGACTAGATCTACAGTTTTGTGCGGAATGCAAAGGTATGAACCCAAAAAATGTTTAGTTCACAAATACCAAAAGTTGTACCGACACAGTCGGCCGCCATTTTGATTGTCTCGTTCTTTCAGTCCAGATTTAACGCATTTAGTGGGGTGCTCGTCGAGATAAATTCGTTACCATGTGTTTGCGAGTTTCATATAGAGATTTATTATGTGTCCGAGTTAAATATCAAACTTCGTTCTCTTTTGATATTTAACTCGGACACATGATAAATCTCCATGTCAAACTCGCGAAAACATGGGAACTTATATTATCTCGACTTACACAGTATTATCGGCTATCCATTGGTCAAAACAGGTCACGTGCCGTATGTGTATTTTTCTATGTTATACTTGACCACGCGCGTCCATACAATCAAGAGTTATCTCCCTTGTTTAACCTGACCAGCTCATCCCATTGGTCGCCTCTTACGACAAGCATGGGTTGCTGAAACTCAATTCTAACCCGGATCTTTACGGGTAACAAGTAATGGTTTAATATCTATACAACGCGAGATGCGAGATGAATTATATTTTTTGCGGTTTCCATGGAAACGTGACTTAGCCTGTGACTATGAGGATGCCATCTTCAATGATCTTGTCCGGAGCAGATCTCCTAAACTACACATGCTAGCTTCATCAAACTTGGTACACATATCAAGCATGATCCATAGATGTGTTGATTAATGGTTAGACCGAGATATGAATTTTATTTTTTGTGGTTTCCATGGAAACGTGACTTAGGCTGTGGCTATAAGGATGTCATCTTGTCCGGAGCAGATTTCCTAAACTATACATTCTAGCTTCATCAAACTTGGTACATATGTCAAGCATGATCCATGTGCCTTTTGGGGTTTAGACCCAGATACAAATTTTATTTTTGCGGTTTCCGTGGAAACATGACTTAGGCTGTGACTATGAGGATGTCATCTTGTTGCATTTCCATGGCAACAAGTTAGGCTTCAACTGAATTTGTGGTAGTGCTCCTTTCTGGAACAGATCTTAAAAACCTTTCAATACTCTCCTTCCACTTTGCTATATACACTCCAAAACACTTTGACATAATCATAACTAGTAGACATATTCATAAAGAGTATTTTGCCATTGCGGGGGATATTGATGACTTTGTCTTCTTGGTGAATCTGTTTTGAATACCGTCCCTCCTAGCTATTCATCAATAAGGACCTGTTACCGTGAAGGTTCCGTCAATAAGGACCTGTTACCGTGAAGGTTCCATCAATAAGGACCTGTTACCGTGAAGGTTCCATCAATAAGGACCTGTTACCGTGAAGGTTCCGTCAATAAGGACCTGTTACCGTGAAGGTTACGTCAATAAGGACCTGTTACCGTGAAGGTTACGTCAATAAGGACCTGTTACCGTGAAGGTTCCGTCAATAAGGACCTGTTACCGTGAAGGTTCCGTCAATAAGGACCTGTTACCGTGAAGGTTCCATCAATAAGGACCTGTTACCGTGAAGGTTCCATCAGTAAGGACCAGTTGCCGTGAAGGTTCCATCAATAAGGACCTGTTACCGTGAAGGTTCCGTCAATAAGGACCTGTTACCGTGAAGGTTCCGTCAATAAGGACCTGTTACCGTGAAGGTTCCATCAGTAAGGACCTGTTACCGTGAAGGTTCCATCAGTAAGGACCTGTTGCCGTGAAGGTTCCATCAATAAGGACCTGTTACCGTGAAGGTTCCGTCAATAAGGACCTGTTACCGTGAAGGTTCCATCAATAAGGACCTGTTACCGTGAAGGTTCCATCAATAAGGACCTGTTACCGTGAAGGTTCCGTCAATAAGGACCTGTTACCGTGAAGGTTCCATCAATAAGGACCTGTTACCGTGAAGGTTCCATCAATAAGGACCTGTTACCGTGAAGGTTCCGTCAATAAGGACCTGTTACCGTGAAGGTTCCGTCAATAAGGACCTGTTACCGTGAAGGTTCCATCAATAAGGACCCGTTACCGTGAAGGTTCCGTCAATAAGGACCTGTTACTGTGAAGGTTCCATCAATAAGGACCTGTTACCGTGAAGGTTCCATCAATAAGGACCTGTTACCGTGAAGGTTCCGTCAATAAGGACCTGTTACCGTGAAGGTTCCGTCAATAAGGACCTGTTACCGTGAAGGTTCCATCAATAAGGACCCGTTACCGTGAAGGTTCCATCAATAAGGACCCGTTACCGTGAAGGTTCCATCAATAAGGACCTGTTACCGTGAAGGTTCCGTCTTCAGCAGCCAATGCTTGTCATAAGAAGCGACTAACGGGATCGGGTGCTCGATGACTTGGTTGACCGATGTCATCCTCCCCAAATGCTAGATCGATGCTCATGCTGTTGATCACTGGATTGTCCTGTCCAGACTCGATTATTATACGCCATATCCCTGAAATATTGCTGAGTGCGGCGTTAAACAACAAACAAACCAAACCGTTACTTGTTACCCTGACTGGCGCTCGGTATTAAGGGGATAAAACAGTTTACTGGGTCTGAAAGGGGTGTGGGGCGACGGGGTAGCCTAGTGGTTAAAGCGTTGGCTCGTCACGCCGAGGACCCGGGTTCGAATCCCCACATAGGTACATTGTGTGAAGCCCATTTCTGGTGTCCCCCGCCGTGATGTTGCTGGAATATTGCTAAAAAGGCGTAAAACCAAACTCACTCACTCACTCACTGAAAGGGGTGTCCACCTTGAACTGATAGATAGTATATCAGTAAGATAGCACCAGAATGTCCGGATTAAATACGTTAAACACAAGCGCATGCAGGTGGCCATGGAAGTGCAATAATTTATTTTACCTCACCTCACCTCACCTCACCTCACCCCTTGATCGGGTGAGGCGCGTTGTCAAGACATTTCATTCATCTCATATCATCAAAATTGTTTATTTCGTTTCTGTTAAACCCTGAGGCCGTTTTTTCACTTCTTTGCTATGATGGCTGATTAGGGCCATCAACTCGTGACAAACATTCGTTATATGCTGACGTACAAAAGAAAGTACACAACTGGTGTTTTAGGATTATTTTAAGAAACAGTAACGAAGTAAAGTTGATATATTCAAAAGTGTTTTCGTTGTGGCTTACAAATCTCAAAAACATTAGATCTATATATTTGTTGCCAAAATATTCAAATTGTGCTTTTGGGTTTTGGGGTTTTTTTTGTTTTGGGTTGAGTGTATGGAATCTAGCGGGATACAAAACTACATCATTATTATTAACATGATGCCATAACACCATGTGTGTATTTTCCTTTGTATGACAGTTTACATGGTACTTGCCATCCAAAAACACATTCGCGTGATGACCTACATACATTGGGGTAATATTTTTTGAGACTCATGTTGACCCCAGTTGGCAAAACTCTTGAAACGCGTCTTCACTTAGCCCACTTTAAACACAAAGTGGAGCCCATCTGTAAATACTCGAAAAGTAGGCGCATTTTCTGTCGGCATCGCCATGTTCAATAAAATCATAAATCATCACAAAAGATTGTTTTCCAAAGATATCAATTTCAAGTTTAGTAACCAAATTCAAATTGATTTTAAATTCATTTACCGAAATGATGTACAACACAGACTCGCTAACTTGGTTGACACATGTCATCGTGTCCCAATTTGAGTAGATTGTGTCTCACGGTGTTGATCACAGGTTTGTCTGGTCCAGACTAGATTATTGTGACTCGAGTCCGGCGTTAAACAACAAAGAAACCATTGAACAATTTCATTTCAACCAGCCTGGTTTTGTTTATTTACTCATGAGTATATTTAAAGTCGTTTCCTGTGTTTGTTAACAACACTGAATATGTAATACCCTCATACTTTTAGAGCTCGATAATAAGCAACGGGTTTTTATTCCAAATCAAGCCTACCAATAGAACCCAGCCATATTTCAATAGAATGAGTGAGCGAGTATGGTTTAACGCCGCTTTAATCAAAACTTTCCAGCAATATCACGGCGGGGGACACCAGAAATGGTCTTCACACATTGTGCCCATGTAGGGAATCGAAGCCGGGTCTTCGGCGTGACGAGCGAACGCTTTAACCACTGGGCTACCCCACCGCCCCTTCAATAGCCTGGACCAAACCAAAAGCTAAGCACTTCGTTTGTTGCGGTCTGTGTAAGTTACTGTGTTTGGTGGGCATATTCACTCACTCACTCACTCACTAGCTACGGGGATGTAGTCGGATTATACAGCTGGCAATCATAGTCAACGTGAACATTCAACATTTGGTCTCTCTCTCCCTCCCCCTCTCTCTCACACACACTCTCTCTCTCTTGTATACACAATAACTATGGGACACATGAGATTTGTGTTTGTTTGTGAGGTATAGCATAATGATTGTATGATGATTAATTTCATGATAAAATGAAATTGAATAACAGCCCCCTTCTCAAATTACAATATTATCAACTGATTAACTGGGGCGAATAACGGGATCGAATTTTCAGGCACGCCGCCGTGGTTGACACATGTCATCGTATCTCATTTGCGTAGATCGATGCTCATGATGATAGTCACCAGATTGTCTGGTCCAGACGCGATTTTTTACAGACCGCCGTCATATAAACGGAATGTTGCCGAGTGGGTCGATAAGCTACAAACAACAAACATATTTACTGGTTGATGACTTTTAAAGTACTTGCCCTGTATGTGGAGCGCCGCTGGCCATTGAACAAGTACTGACATCTGACATAAAATCCGCATACATTTGGGCTACCAAATATGTGTAAACATAATGTATGTTCTTTAAGAGCCGCTCACAGTTTTCTTTGGACTATATTAAAAGTTAACAAGAAACTTAAATTGTACACTGACTCTCCTTTGGTAAATTTCAGAATGCTGATTAAGCTAACAACTTCTTCACGTGAGGATCCTAGCTGCTTTTCTTCTTCCCGAAAAGATAGTGCTGGGACATATCGGGGGAGTATCTACTGGCTGGGGGTCTACGCCCGTATTCCTCTGCCACCACCCGGATGTAGTGAGAAGCGTTGCCACAACATAGTCCCACGTACTGCACACCCAGGGATTTGGCTTCTCGGGCAAAGTTGGCAATTTCCGTTCGTCCACACGTTTGGCTAGGAAGGTCTACCGGGAAAGCCCTCTGTCCTAAAAGAGATGTATATTCAAGTATAAGTATAAGTAAATAATATATATAAAATTACTTAATGAATTTATATTTGATATGTTCACGCGATGCGATTTGTATGGGGTCAAAATTTATCAGACAAAATACTTTATCAGCTGAAGCTGCAAATCCAGATATGTCTTTTCAACTAAATAAAATTTCAAAATGTTTTCAGCAAGGGACAATATATTTTTGGGATAAATATCCAATACATAATGTTCGGTCCCGAACCAAACTAAAAACATTTCTCGATATGGTAGTGGTCTTTCCTTTTCTGTTACAGTCTCTGCCTTAACCGGCTACTATTTATTCCCAATCATGCAGTCACACACACACACACACATACACACGCACGCACGCGCTAACACACATCCAACTGACATTAAATTTTACAAGCGCGATGTTAGTTACAATGGCATATTATGTGTCGAAAAACAACTAATGAAAGCAACTGGGTCCAAGAGTCGCGTTCAAGGTAATTGTAGCCGCCAAGGGCGAGACGTTAAACGCAGGGAACTATGTCGCCGCTGGAAATAATCCCTGTTCTAAATATATACCACTCACAAAAAGAAACAACACCCAATTCCTTCAGCATTACTTTAGTCCTGGCCATGACAGACTGACGATAGAGATATGGAAGAGTCGGGGATTCTTTAACACCTTCTGAGTAGCATATAGACAAATACACAAGGTGACACGATTAACGACTGCTGTATATAATATACTACTCACACTTTGCTAAGGATCACAAAAATTCACAACTTTACTTAAACGTAGATTCTTAATTTGAAATTGTATCCATTTGAAACTGGATAAAAAGGAATATGGTAACCCTTCTTTAGGCAAACAGTCACGTTAATCTAACCTTATGCACTTGATACATGAGTAACCATAAAAATGGTTTTCATGGCACCAATCAACCTTTTTGCAAATCATGGAACGAGTCACTGACAAGTACACAACACCTGTCAATATCAGATATGGGATCCACAAGATGCAATGACACACTGAAACTAGGATCCATGCTTAAAATAAGCCTAGATATTTAAATCTAATTTGACCCCACATCATAGTTTTCAGTTGAATCCATGATTTGATCCTTAGCAAAGTGTGAATAATACGTTGAGGCGAGACCCGTGACGCAGGTCCAAGTGAGGATGAAGAAGAAGGTCGGCGGGAGCGGTACTGGGTTTGGCTCTGCCAGACTTCTTAGGTTGACGAACCAACTTCAACGGCTAGAAGGGCGCGACCAAAAGCAGACGTATCTTGCTCTTGGTCATCCGCTTCTGAAGTACCCTGGGGTGAACGCATAAGCAAGATTATTGCCAGCGCATCGAGGTCTGGGATGGGAGATACGAACTTCAGAAGCTGGTGGTTGAACCTTGTGGCGAACAGGTCTACTTGGGGCCGTGATAGCGGGTAGATCATCGACTGGAAAATCTGGGGAAGTAATTTCCATTCCGTCGAAGACGGGCTACAGGATCGGCACAGGGCGTCGGCGATCTCATTCTTTATGCCGGGAATGTGTCCGGCTCTGTTGACGATATCGAGTGAGTCAGATGATAAAACTGAATCGTCCACTGTAGCAGATTCGCCGAGCCTGTTGAGCCCAGACGGTCAGTATTTCCAATACTTTAATTTGCCAGTTTCCCATCAGGGCCTGCTGCAGCCTGCAGGATTTAGAATCTACAGGCCCTGAATGAAATCTGCAGGCCAATTTTGTTAAAATCAAACCAATAACAACAAAATAGACTACACTGTACACAGTTTCACACTGTTTTCAATTAGCGAGAGAGAAGTTTTTATTTGTAAAAGACTGGTGATGACATTCCTACGTTCAAAGCGCTGAAATACCAGAAAGTGAAACTGTAAGTATCGTAACATGATGGATCATGGATGATTCCCGAACGTTAATAAAGAAAAAATAACATGGGAAAGATTCCAGCTGAAAACAACCAACATTGACAGATAATTTACTGAAGGTCATAAGGGCCTGCAAATATTTGAAACTGCCGGCCCGATACAATAATCGCTGAGCCTCCGGGCCGGCGATTATTTCGAACGCTGCAGACGGTTCATGTAACCCTCTCTTCTCATTCTCTCAAGTACCCGTCCCTGTTGCCTTAACCAGGAACATTCGCCTTGGTGTGTGTGCGTTCGTGCGTGCGTACGTGCGTGCTTGCATTCTTAGTGACGCGGCATTCGAAGACCTATGATAAACTATACTGTTACGATAGCTCGTAATGTTACGAACACTCTGTGGCTCGGAACCCTGTTTTGCTAGCCCACTGAGATACCATGGACACCACACTCAGACACAGTACACGGTTTACGTGCAGTCCTTGTGACATCCCTTTAATGTAGGTACACGGTAGGTAACAACGAGTCTCGGGTGGTCTTGGGTTCGAATCCCACTGGCGATACACACTTCTCATTATAATTTCATATCATTTGAAATTAATGTTGAGGAAAGTTAGAAGCGGGCTTTAAGAAACAAATGAGCCACGTTTCAAATCAAGCAAATATAATTCATGCATAGGACACAATAAGGTCCGGGTTAGATTTGGTCTTGAGCAAATCCTGCTTGCTGTAAGAAGCGACAAACAAGCAGACAAATACACACACTGAATATTTGTCAGAAAGAATGTCTTTTACCTGTAACTGGATCTTGGAGGGAATGGAACGATGGATATTCCGGGCACGTGCGATACGTTACCGGAAGTGCCATGATAGGCCCCTGGCAACAACAATAAAGAATCTCTTAGAACATTCAGATCTGAATCTCATTGAAAACGATCATCGTCATCGTCGTCATCATCATCGACATCATTACTATTATTGATTTGTTGACATGTTACGTGTTTCAGCAATGATAGCTTTCAGGATGACCACTTATGGCTCATTCAGATCTGAAACTCACTGTCCGAAGCCATTCTGGCGCCTAAAACAATCATCATAATCATCATCATCATCATCATCATCATCTTCGGCGACATCCATACTATCATTGTTTATTGTTGTTACGTGTTTCAGCTGTTATATATTTTAGGTTTGCCACTTATGGCTCATAAAGATTTACCTTGCAGGCCTGTCTGATCTCTTTGAGAAGAGGCAGCATTGTCTTGGGCCCCCGCCCACAGTTTAATCCAACTGCCGCCGCTCCTGCTTCTTCTAGCTTGCGACAGGCGACGTCAAACGCAAAACCGTCTAACGTTTCGTCTTTATCCAGGGCGACAAAACTGACCGCTGCAGGAAGTCCTGAAGAATGGAAGTCAAAGACATTGTAAATATATGATTATTGATAAAATATAATTCAGTCTGAAGACCCGTCACGATCTATGTTAGAATTGTCTTCAACAACCCATGCTTGTCGTAAGAAGTGACTAACGGGATCAGATGATCAGGTTCGTTGACTTGGTTGACACGTGTCATCGTATCCCAATCATGCCCATCAATATAATGCTCATGCTGTCAGTCACTAAGTTATCTGGTCCAGACTCGATTATATACAGAGCGCCGTGATATATCTTGAATAAAAGTGCAGTGCTGAACACGCACGCACCTACGCACGCACACACACGCGCGACATGAAACATGATTATCCAGTATATTCAGGAGAAATTCTTCATGCTCACCATTTCCATATTTGTTCATACATTCAAGAGCGAGCATGGCCTCCCCCAACTCACTGAAGGTTTCACAAACGATGTAGTCCGCACCTTCCTCCACCGCCCACTCGATTTGTTCCTGAGAAAAGAATCAGTGACAGAGTTCGGTTTACGACGCTTTGAACGCTATTCACTTTAAATACAATTCAAATGCACTGTAACAAAGGCGTAACAAGGAGTCCCAAACTATAGCTGTCGTTAAGATTTAATAGGCAATCATGTAACTGAAAAACAAAACGTGCGTTTCAATTTCAGAGAAAATTGGGAATTTGTACATTTTATAGCGTGGCTGTCGCCATTTTGGTTTATTTGAAAATTATAGCCGCGTCATCACTGAAACGAAATATACAAATCATGGGCACAAGCTGTTAATGTGTTTCAGCATTAAAATATACTTCAAAATCACCTTTATGTATAAATGGATGGCCCCATTTCGTTTCTGCGGATCTGCTCAGATCACTTAAATGTCAAGGCCATCTATGGCCGACAAGTGAGTATGATTGCCGATGGTTTTGGAGAAAATGCCTGCTTACTGTCGAGGAAATGATTTGTAGATGTTGCAAAAGGTTTTTAGACCCGTGGAATGCCGCTGCCGATCGAATCTAGCCCTACATAGGTGCAGTCAACGTGGCTGGAATTAATAAACGAATTTAAAAGGTGAGTTTTCGCTGTCTTGGCTGATCCATGATTTTGGCTTGGAATTGCGGAGGTAGCTGTTTTCGGTGAGTCGTGGCGTATAACATTTGAAATAATGATTCGATTGTGACCATTTATACCTCATTTTGTAGGGAAATCATCTCGCTTTTGATCCGTAGGCCTCGACGGGACCTTAAAAATAGTTTACGTGGTGAAATCTAACTTAGATTGAGGAGGGGGTGGTTCCGTCGTTACATCCCTTTCCTTCTAAATAGTACTAGGGTAGGGTCTATATACCTATATGTCTTTCTAACGCTGTTTCTAAGCGTGACGCACCCCTGTGAAAAAAATGTGCCAGGCAACTGAGGAAATCCACTGGCCTTCGGGAATGACACAGTTCACGTAATTGCTCCATGGAGTAGAGGTCAGTAAGCGTGAATGTCGAACACCTCTGCATCAGAATACAAGACTGTGCCTCTAGGTCTATGAAGCCACATCTTGGTGGCAGTATCCTAAATCCCAGTAACGATACTAAGTGAAGTAGCTCTAAATCCATAAGAATATAGAACAAAAGATTGACATAAAGTTCAGACTTTTTTATTAAGTAAATACAAGAAATCAGTAAACCAAACGCGGTACCGTCTCTCATCTGCGTTGGTGGACCGATGTAAGCTGCTGAGCCAGAACGAGGGTCCAAACTAATGTAATCCCTGGACATCCGTGACAGATAGGTCTCGCAGGTAATGTGAAGAGAAGACTGTATCAGAGCGCCAGAAGCAACCTTCCATGATGAAGGTCGAGGAGCAGTTGCTATGGAGAGCCATTGTTGAGGCTAGTGCCTGGGTTTCATGAGGCTTGAAGGCGGGTGGAGGTGGTAAACCGCAGAATCGTGGTATGCATTCAGAAGGACAGGGGCGTCCTGGAAACCTCAGCTTCTTCCATTTGAGCCTCGCGTGATTGACATCAAGCGCGTGAAGTTCTGAAATATGAGCAGCAGTAGCCAAGGTTACAAGGACGAAAGTCTTGAAGGTCACTTGCTCAAAATCCTTGTCCTCCAGAGGCTCGTAATCTCAGGAGACCAAATGACAACAGGAGGTCCCAGGCTGTAGGTCTGAACTTACTGGACTGGTCCATGAGTCTGTATGAGGTTCTGGAGCTCAGGAACAGTGGAGATCTTTGTACCAATAGTAGTAGCCAAAACCGAATTGAAAGCCTCCAAATAGGTAGCTAAAGTAGTACCTTTGAGTTTTCTTAGTAGCATGTGGGTGTTGCAGAAACTCGACGAAGGCGGAAGTGGGAGATGGAATACCCCTAGCCTTGCAATAATTGTCAAACCTTTTCCACTTAACCTGCCCCGCACTGAAAAGAGTCAGCGATCTGATGGGACATATCTTATTTATAGCCAATGAGCACCCTTGCTCTTTTTGGTGCGAGCAGGTTAAGGCCAAGGTGGTCAATGGCGAACGGCATGACACAATTCTGTTTGCGATGAATAAATGTACGTAAACTAATCATGACAGTGAGGTGTAAGTGTCTCCGAAAGAATGGCGACTAGCGCTCTGACAGGTGCCATCAGTTCAACATGTTTTGGTGAATGTCGTTTGTGTATACTGTGAAATAAACAAGAAAATGGGTGAGTTACCGCTACAAATTCTGAGCAGGGATTTTGGCTCGGTATCGAGAAATCACAATTTTTCGAGCTTCCGAAGACCCTAGCTCCCAAAGTACTGCTTCGATTTTTGTGCTGTATGTCTTATTTTGTAGGTAAATATATTGGCTTGAAATGTGTGCATACTTTAAATGGGATAAATACAGTGAGCATTGTTGAATTCGCCCTGAAACGAACTTGGTGTGTTGACCTCGTTACATCCCTTTCCATTTATAAAGTGCTAAGACCTGTTATTGACAGTACATACCTTGATGGCAGTTTTTAGCGTTACAAGCCCCTGTGATTGCCATGGGATGGAAGATATGAACTTCGGAAGTTGGTGGTTGAACTTTGTGGCGAACAGGTCTACTTGGAGCCATGAAAGCGGGTAGATCATTGACTGGAAATTCTGAGGAAGTAATTTTGGTGATCACATTCTTTATGCCAGGAATGTGTCTGGCTCTGGTGACGGTATCAAGTGAGTCGATCAGATGATAAAATTCAATCGTCCACTGTAGCAGATTCGCCGAGCCTGTTGAGCCCAGATGGTTGATGTAATGAAACACGGTCGAGTTTTCAGACTGAACCAGTAGTGTGGTTGATCGTAGCTCCTTTGCCCAATGTTTGATACCTAGGTACAGCTTTGCATTCTGGCTCGTTGATGTGAAGAGCCTGTACTTCATCTGACCACAGCCCGGCCAACGCATCGACGAACAGATGATGAGTCGCTGTGAAAAGCAGCATAGAGACTTCGGTGCAGACATTCCGTTTGTCTCAGCCACCACTGAAGGAGTGGACGAAGCGGTTCGGGAAGTTTAATAAGTTCCTTGGGGTTGTGGACCTGGAGATACGCGCGAGGGAATCGCTGTATAGCTGAAGTTGGCCTCTGTACGTTAGGGTTTGAGCTGACGTCAGAAGACCCAGTAACTCTTGCCACTGACATAAGGTTCTTGCCTAAGACCACGCTGGTGGAACGCACCTAGACAGGTGTTGAACATCGCCCCGGTAAATCGGAGTCTCTGGGTCAGTATTAACTCCGATTTTGCAACGTTGAGCAGCCACTCTAACTGCCGAAGTAGCGTGGTGGTGGACTGCAGGTGGCGAAGTATGACGATCGAATCTGGATACAATCGTCGATATAGCTCTCAAATGTGATGCCCCGAGAGTGGAGGAAGCTCATGATTGGCTTGGTAATTCAGGTAGAAAGCCACGGGGCCGTGGAAATTCCAAACGGCAGGACTCGCCATTGAAAATGGTTCCCCTTGATTATAAAGCAAAGGAACTTCGGGTGCCTGTATCAATCCGGATGTGGAGATACGTCCTGGAGGTCGAGACTGATGAGGAAGTCTCCCGCTGCAGAGGGTAAATCATCAGAGTCGGGTTCCCGATGATGGGCAACTGGTAACCCTTGGTCAGGATAGTAGATAAGAGCCATGCATCGCCATGAGCGTGAGCGGCTGACACAACATAACTAGGAGAGGAGAGACCGTCTTTAATCCTCTTCAGGCTCTTAAAGCCATGATCAAGAGTAGTAGCCATATGTGAGATGCAGGGGCGTGGAGGCAACGTAATAGTAGCCAAATCCTTAATATTAGTCGTAGGTAGTCCTAACTTCTTCACTATCCATGCAAGGTCGTGAGAAGGCTGTACTTGATCCAAACTACCCTCAGGGATAGACAGGTGAGAAGGCGCTGAAGACGGAAGGTCCACATGATGAGTCGAGGCGCCCGAGAGAAGAGCTAGATGAACGGCCAGTAGCTGAAGAGGGAGCTGGTTGTGATGAGCGCGAAGACTGACACTGGGTCCAAGCTGATTTTCCCATTATATTTTATATGACAAACGGAGGAGAATAACTGAGTGTTACAATACGTCCGAACGGTAGTGCGACAAGAAAGAGAATGATTGTTCAGAGGTAGTCACGTGGGTACGTAGTGGAGCATGCTGCATGCTTCGGTTGGAGGTTCGGTAAGTTGCCCAGCTGGGAGAAGCAGAATGGAGTGGACGGCCGATTAGACAGAGGCCTTAGGAGAAAGTTTACAGTCGTTCAACTCAAGAGTCGAAGTAAGACAGGTGCAGATCTTGAGAGAGGATAATTTTAAAAATTAACTATTTTATTATCCATATGTGTTAGAATAAGTGATAACATATTTTCGATACGTAGCACACGTGTAATAAACCCTAGAGGCCATTTCATTGGCCGGTTGAGACAATCACGTGACATCGGAATGTGGGACTACTTTTTTCATTCATAACTGTTTACTACGGATACAATGTTTACTACAACTTCAGTAACTCTCGTTTCTTCCGTCTGACACATATATTTATGATACAATGTTTATTTTTATTAGAAAGTGAATTATATGGTAATTAAAATCGACGCTGTGTCACGTTTTACATGTATTTGTCAGAATTTATCTGTTTTAAACTGGCGCTAGATTTTTAATCCTACAACAGTTCCTGTCAATGCGCAGCGACCTTGACCTTCCCGTACTTATATTCATATTCGTGTACAATGTAAATAAAGATGTATGATGACTGGACACATCTGAGTATTTTGGGTTTTTTTATACATGCATACATCATTTGCTCACACATCCATACTTTGTATAATAATACAAAAATAAATCAATTAACATTGTCAGTGTTTACTCTTGAAAACGATTTTCATATGCTTTCCATTTGTTATGGTATTTCAGAAACCTTGCTTTGCTGTAATGTTCTATTTTTTCTATCTTGCAGTAAAATTTCAATTCATTTTGAAATACGGATAGACGCGGTATTCGGTTTGTTTATAGATATGAAATTTACCTAATACAATTATCAAGTCAAATATAGCATCACTGTGGAAGGATTCTGAAATACCAAATAACACCAGGTCACAATGGAATACAATTTTGGTCGCATGTGAACATTTCAACATAATCCACTGAGATAAGATTCTTCCAAAAAGATTCACTTTCTGTACATGCTCAAAACAGATGGAGCATTGATTCAGGTTTAGATTTTGATTGCTATCAACAAGATTCATCTTAATTAAGTATGTGTGGACTGGTATAATTCTATGTCATAGCCTGTATTGCATCCATCTTAACTTAGGATCTGATGTACATTTAAATGCATTGTTAAATATGTTTGACCAGTTTAATCTTACTAATATTTCGTCTTCCCATTTTTTCAATTATCCTTAAATTTTCTTCAATCTGTCATAACAAAATAATATTTTCTTCGAACCTCTTTTACATGAAAGCAACTGAGTAATGCATACATTCTGTGATCTATTTCGTTCTATAAAATTAACTTTGTCAAGTTTCAATCTTTTCAAGTATTGATAGATATTAATCATCCTTGAAAAACCAACAACAAAACATTGTTCAAGAGGAATAAAATCTCCATTTGCATTCAACAAGCTGCCAATATTAATAATATCTGTTTCATAAAATGTTTTGCTAAACTATCATTTTTTATTAATATATTCTTCTTATACAGAAGTGGTTCTCGTAAGAATCCTTCATAGGTAGCTGGTCTATGGTTACTGCTGCATTTAGCAAAGGCTGCAAAGCTATCTTTCTAAAACATATTAGGAGTATCATTTGATAACATCAATGGACAAACATTTCCAAAAAGTGTCAAATTGTAACAATTTGGAACAGTAGTAAGTAGCGGGTGTTTCCAATTTTTGTCATAATCATCATTAATCAATGTCCTTATCCATGTCAACTTCAATGCATCAACATAAGCAAATATAGTAATCAGTCCTAATCCTCCTTCTGTAACAGGTTTACAAGAAACAGTTCTTGTAATTCTGTTTAGCTTCCAAAGGAAACTAAAATGAATGATATGTAGCTTCTTAAGGGAGTATCCTGGTGGATTTGAAAGAGTAAGAAAAAGGAAATTTAACATTGAAATTAGACTTATAAAGACTTAATAATAGCTATTTTCCCCAGTGGAGTAATAATCCTTTTGATCCATTGTTTAATTATTTGTTCAATTTCATATATTTTACTTGCAAAATTAAGTTTTGTCATCTTATCATAGTCAACTGAGAACATAATACCTAGAATTCTAAAGTCAGGATTCCAATCAAGGGCCAGATCTGATCTATATTTAACCTGGCAATGCTTTTTCGAACCTTTCCAATCACTCTGTGACTTGTCATAATAAATCCTCAGTCCAGAAATTCTAGCAAATAAGTCTAATGTATCAACAACAGTTTCAAATGATGTATTGGAACCATCAAGTATATATTCAGTGTCATCTGCATATTGTGCAATCAGGAACTCTATATCATCAACTTTTATGCCTTTTATATGCTTTTTTCAAAGAGCAGATAAAACATCAGCACATAGGAGAAAAATGTAGGGGATAAAGGGTCTCCTTGTCTGCAGCCACGACAAATTGGTATCCAAGGTGACATATTTCCATTGATTATAAGACTAGATTTAAAATCATTATATAAGACAGATACCCACTTTGAAATACTATCACTAAAACCATAAAATTTAAGTGTCTTCTCTATAAAGGACCATGATACAGAATCAAATGCCTTCTCAAAATCTACCAGTAATAACATTCCAGGAACATTGTTAGATTCTGTAGAAAGTAATAAATTACAAGTCATGTATCATACGTATGTTATCCCCAGTACATTTGCCAGCCTTAAAGCCGGTCTGATCATCATCTAAATTTATAAGATTAGGGAGAACTCTTTTTAATAACTTATATGAGGATATTAAAGAAATTAACACACTCGCGTAGATGTCATATTGTTTTTACAACATTCGTACCAGGGAAATATAATTTTTTAGACACTCGTGTTGTAAATACAACATGGCATCTACCCTCGGGTATAAATTAGGGATGCCACGATACATCGATGCATCCATACTTTTTGTAAGTCGATACGATTATCGATACATTCAAAACTGTATCGATATTTAGTTTTAAAAGTATCGGTTTAAATATGTTTATGTATTGTTTACATTTTGCAATTGTATAATGTTTTTTATGTTATGAGAGTTATGAATGATTTTTTTCATGCACAAAGATGGGAAATTAGAACTTTTAATCTCTGAGAATAAAAAATGTTGATCTTTTCATGGACAATTATAAACTATGAAATATTCATGTTCAAAATGTAACTAAATTATGCAATAATGCCTCGAAAATAGGTATCGTGATACGTATCGAATCGTGACATGGGTATTGTAATACGTATCGATTAATGAAAGTTACATATAGTGACATACCTAGTATAAATCTCTAATTTTAAATGATAAGTAATAACAAAATCTCTGGGTACATGTAATATAGCACAGACTACACTTTTCCTGTTTTAGCAAGTCCCTGTATCCTAGGGGGCGGTGGGATAGCCTAGTGGTTAAACTGGTGCCGATCCAGGATTTCAATAAACTCTTCAGATAGATGCGATTCGAACTTGCTCCCAAACCTTATCATGACCTTCAACAAAGGTTGGCGGTGGGGTAGCCCAATGGTTAAAGCGTTGGCCTGTCACGCCGAAGACCCGGGTTCGATTCCCCACATGGGTACAATGTGTGAAGCCCATTTCTGGTGTCGCCCGCCGTGTTATTGCTGGAATATTGCTAAAATCGGCGTAAAACCATATTCACTCACTCAACAACGGTTGATCTTGGTTTCCGGATATGAGGGGTTAATATGTGAAACATACCCGGATGTCACTTGACACAATTCATAACTTTGATTCAGGCCTTGTATTCCAACACTATTTTTCAAAGCTACCTTACTGAAACAAGTCTAAACTACTTATATTTAAAAATGACATTATATGATAACGAGGTCACCATCACTAAATGATCCCTACTTTTGTGTTTACATTTACTTTGTGCTTAAAAACATGTTTTAAACGAATATTTTTTTTCAAAATGACATTTAATGATAACGACACGATTATTACCTTTATTTATCGAACCAACTGCACTGCATCGTATCAAAAAACACAAATCGCAGTACCGATTCTTTAGAAATCAGAACGCTCACCTTAAACATGGCTTCCGTCGACTCAATGGCGTCCTTGTTATCCCTCTTGTACACCGTCGTGTTGGAGAGATCTCCCGCCATCAGCGTCCCGGTGTCGTCTGCTACCTTCCTCGCAATCCGCAAAGCGTCCCTGTTCAACCTCTCAAGGTCACCTTCACGGCCGATAACTCTTAGCTTCTCTCTGTGACCGTAGTACTGTAAATGAAAATGATATGTACTTTGAAAAAAATGTTTTGAAAAAAGGTAGACTTTTAAGGAGAAATAGATAATTGTTCGCTGTCCTTAAAATATACCCAGTGTCTGTCAGTTATGGGAATAACCTGTAAATAATCCGGTCGGGTATTGGCAATCTTGTGGTTGAAAGAGTGACCAACGATCTAAACATTCTGGACACGATTCGTACAAGTCGAACAATGTGATCAACCGACCAATGAACACCTTCGCCCTGTGAGGTATGGAATATTTGGGACCTTTTCTGCTTCTCCAGCGACACATTTGAGACCGTATTACTTTACATGACATGTGTTAAAACTACAGATTCCCAATTACAAATAGGAGGCAAGAAATCAACCTTCAGTACAAAGCATAAAACATCGTCAAATCCATATATAGTTGACATCGATGCATCATACTGCTTGTCTCGGACTACAGATGTCATATATTCGCTAGGTTAAAAATGTTTCGATTTTAACGTTAGTCAAGATATTTCACAAAGTTTGAAAATGAATATGAATAACTCTTTTGCAAAAGCGATGGTATTGCCCATATTGCTTGCTCAAAGTATTACAATGCCTTTGCATAAGAATTGTACAACACTTATATAATTTCATGTTTTCATAAGTATGATGAAACAGTTGAAAGTAAATTAAAATGATGACAGTTTATAAGAAACGCATCAGTATCGTCTTTGTGTGAACGGTTCGATTTAGCTGAAAAGGATCATTTACTGATATCATTCAGTTTAAGATATGAGTTGTTAACACCAATAGATTCGAACTGTATACAGAATTTTACCGTAAATGCCATACAAACGTCACTTCCGGCATTGATAAACTCTTCGTGGAGACCTTTCACCAGATCCGGTCTTTCAATGACGACTTCCGGTACAAATGCTCCGGCTCTCAACAAGCCTCTTCTCTCAAATTCAAACACATATCCCTCCGCCACAACAACATCCTCCTTGTCTTGTAGACGCTGAACCAGACCTTTGAAAGAGAAGATGGTGATTCAACAGTCAGAAGTGGAATGGTGTCGTTTTCGTCGTTGTATGCAGTTTGTAGAAATAACAATATCAATAGACGGAACACTAATATTTCGCTAATATATAGAAATTGTTTTGTAAATAGTATTGTAGCCATAAATAGTCAACATATATATATATATGTTCCGTTACTTTTTACTATCAGCATGTCTTCACCAATGAAACGTATTACATGACATCCGTGAGTGAATGAGTGGGTTATTTTTACGCCGCACTCAGCAATATTCCAGCTATATGGCGGCGGTCTGTAAATAATCGAGTCTGGACCAGACAATCAAGTGATCAACAGTATGACCATCGTTCTACGCAATTAGGATCCGATGACATTTGTCAACCAAGCCAGCGAGCCTGACACCCGATCCCGTTAGTCGCCTCTTACTACAAGCATGGGTTCCTGAAGATCAATTCTAACCCGCATCTTTACGGGTATGAATGCATTAAATACATACGAAATGTTTCTGAAAGCAAGTAGTCAACCCAAATTTCGTTTGTGGCATTTCGAAATGATCTAATTGTGAATGTATTAGTAGCGTCAAATTTATTGATAACCATATTTCTTGCTATTGTTCACACACCAGTGTCTGTGGGTTGCAGTTAATGGAACCCTGTGCTTAAAGGACTAACGATCCGAGAAGGTCCGGGTTAGACTTGGTCTTCAGCAACCTGTGCTTTTCGTAAGAGGCGACTAACGGGATCTGGAGGTCAGGCTCATTGACACATGTATAGTCTAGGCTTCATCATAGGCTTACGAATGTCGCTTTAAGGATCGGGACCCTGGTATCACAATCCGATGAATATGTAAATTAGGTCACTCTAGCCACCTATAATCTGTCAACCTAACTTTTGGGACTGCATTTTTTGCAAATATCTTTTTTGTTATCTGAACGTTTAAGCTTGTAATTTATTGATCAAGCAAAAACTGCATCCCTTTTTAGGATTCAAGACGTACTTCCTTCTATATTCTGTCAACCTTACTTTTGGGACTGCATTTTTTGCAAGTATTCTTTTTGTTATTCGTTTCAATGTAAAAGTGTTTACATGTACCTTCATGTTTCTCCGTGACTTAACATGAACCAGATCTTTCACAAAGTGACAATTTTGTACTGGATACACGCTTGTATCTGATTCCAAACTAATAGTTAACATATTGTGTATCTAGAGAGGGCGATATCATGTTCGATCTGAAGAATATTCTTAAGATTTCGTGAAGACACATGTTCATTTTCTGATGGAATGGTCTTATTACATCTCTCACCACTCTGAGATTAAGAATATCCAACACATTTGAACTTCTGCGTTTTGAGTGGACCCCCAGATTCTTCGGATCCATTGATGAACTCTCAGGGGAGATAATCATGTACAATGTTGTACGCGGTATGTTCAAGGCCTTCAGCGTTCTGTTTGTAAATTGTTTTATTGGTAGGAAGGGAACACCCCTTTCAGCAGCTTCCTTCCTAAAAAAATCATAAACGCTTTTAATCATCGTCTTTGCGTTATGAGACAACATAGTTCACGTTTCTGTCAGGGCCGTAGCTACCATTATAAACAAAGGCCGGGCTTACACATGATTTTTGCTAAAAAAATATAATATGTTTTTCTAATTCTTGCCAAAAATACCTACAAACACGTTATCAGAACAATTTAAAAAATGGTAATACCTCTATGAATCATATTGACTACAATATTCTTCGATAACAAAGCATTACCAATACAGTTACCATGTACAGTAAACATGTTATTTTTCATATCTTAAATTTGAAAGGTGTCTTTCTTTAAAAGATGGACCCGTCAAGATCCGGGTTAGAATTGATCTTCAGTAGCCCATGCTTGTAGTAAGAGGCGACTAACGGGATCGGGTGTCAGGCTCGCTGGCTTGGTTGACAAATGTCATTGGATCCCAATTGCGTAGAACGATGGTCATGCTGCTGATCATTGGATTGTCTGGTCCAGACTCGATTATTTACAGATCGCCGCCATATAGCTGGAATATTGCTGAGTGCGGCGTAAAACTAAACTACAGTTAACTACCATAGCCCAGTGACAGCTGAGTTAGGCTAAGAAGTATGTAGGAACATGATGTTATCTCAACCTTTCTTGGACTTTGCGTTGTGTACTTTTAGTTTATAGGTGTGTGTTCGAGTTGACTTGTTCTCTACTCAAAACTCAGTGACCAGTTATGGAATCGGGCATAAAGCCTATTGGGAAATAGGCCGATTGGAGACAAAATGAACAATAACAATAGTTTATTACACAAAAATAGGTAGAAAAAAACTAACAAAAACCTAACAACTTATAAATGACACAATTATCTCGCTCACATAGCTTGATAAAAATAATCCCGAATAATTAAATCGTTTATGACATTATATCATTGTTTAATAAATCTTGAAAAGTATGTATCATCATATTGAAAGCACAAGGAATGTAGGTAACATTATTGTTTTGGCTCATGTGTACTTTTTAGTAAAGATATTGCCATGGAAGGTGAGAGATTCAAATCCACGCATGTGCGTTTGTTTACATAACGCTGTCATGGGTTTAATTGAGTGGATTTCTGACGATCTTGCGGGCTTGTTATGGAGCGCTTCCAATAGTTTTAGGAAATGTAATTATAAATCGCTCCTAGTTTCAAAACTCACGGGCGAAACAAACGTCACCAAAATGATTTTTTAAAACTTTTTATCGTACACTAAGTGATTATTTATATCTGTAGTTCACACTTTCATTATTCAGCATGTTGTAAATCCAATAATTTTCCAAATATGATTGTCCAATTTCCAAAATCTGAGTTTGTTGTTTTGTGACATGTTAAAAAGCGAGGTGACGTTTCTTTCGCCCGTGAGTTTATATCATATCTGTATGTAACTGATCAATTTTAATCTTGAACATTGGGCATATATATTTCTCATCTCTGGGAATATTTTATTCTGACTTTTTTTTTGGTCATTCATGTATTTTCAGCGAATTCATTTAAAATTCCACTTGGGGTATGACAACAAGGTTACACGAATGTTCAGTGTGAGAAATATTTTAAAATCATTTTTGAGTGTCTGCTCTGGGATTTAATTTAGCTGAATTTTTACAACTCTCATTTGCATATTCAATAAAACAAATCCCATTTGCGACTATTAAACCCTATTTAGAAATATAATTGGAAATATAAGCTGAACAGCTGGTAGTAATTACGTTAGAATATGTCTTTAACAAATATGTGTTTTCTCCTTCTTTTTAGTTGTATCACAGACGTTTAATTCTTTATAATGAATAAGTAAAAACCAAAATAGCAATACAATGTACGAGTGCTTCGGTGATGTTAAGAGCCAGAGGAATCAAACAGGAATAGAGTTATCGTTCTTGTTTAAAGAAGTTCTGATGTTCATGCACCAATATTAAATCCTTCCTAGGGGGCACTAGTCGCTATACGGCTTGTCCCGGAATAACATGAGTTTGTCACGAATGATTGAATTCCCAATATTCTGTATATTCTCCTGGTATGTCCATAGCTGCTAGATCAGCATCCGTCTGAGAAGCCAGCTCAGCCTAACTGGGCTTAGACACACTCTCCTCTGAAACAGCTTCTGAACCAGTCTCCTTCTTCTTCTTGCCAATAAACAAAACCTTGTACAACAAGAAGACAAAGTCATCAATATCCACCGCAATGGCAAAATACTCTTCATGATTATGTCTACGAGTTATGACTATGTCAAATATTAAGGTGTGTATATAGAAAAGTGGAAGGAGAGCATTGAAAGGAGCACTATCACCAATTTCAGTCTAAGTCAAACTTGTTGCCATGGAAACGCCAAAAATATGTTATTCAGAATTCCAAAACTACCAAAAGGCACCAGTACACCGCCATACCAATCTATGTGCCAAGTTTGGTGAAGAAAGAGTGAACGGTTTTAGAGTTCTGCTCCGGAAAAGAGCACAACCACCAATTTCAGTCTAAGTCAAACTTGTTGCCATGGAAATGCCAAAAATATTTAATTCAGAATTCCAAAACTACCAAAAGGCACCAGTACATCACCAGACCAATCTGTGTGCCAAGTTTGGTGAAGAAAGAGTGAACGGTTTTAAAGTTCTGCTCCGGAAAAGACAAATGTGCACGGACGGACGGACGGACGGACGGAGTCCATTTTAATACCCCCCGCAAAACGCGTTGCGGGGGATAAAAAGGTAGGCATCCAAAGTTAGATTCTTTTGACATCAGGGTCATCAGCATAGCTGACCTACATTTACGAACGTTGATCTTTATGACCCAACACTACCGCTGTTACAGGTCATTGGCTCCCTCCCTCTGCAAGCCTTCCGCGTTCTGCTGTTTATTTTGTTGACAGTTACATAGACAGATTCTTTAATACAAATGCATAAAATCGGTGATTTACAATGTGATTAGGTTGTCTGACAAAACATCCACTTGCACAGTTTGAGATCGATTGGGTCATTGGATGAAGAGATATTTACAAAAAACCGGGTCCACATGCATTTCATGCCAAACTATAGACATTGAATCCAGAGAGCCAGCACTCTGAGGTCACTTATATTGCGCTCTAGAACGACCTCTGACATGGGTCCGAGTTCATCTACTGATGACGGACGTCTCCGCCAATCAGAGCCTACCCAACATATTTAGCGCCAACCACGTGGCCTACCCAATGTACTGTATCTAGCGCTACGATGTGCAGAAACCCCGGTCAAACGGTTGTTCCGTAGTAGAGCAAGTGAAAAAATGTGCTACAAGACTATCCGATACACTGGCATGCTATATGTGGTACGTATTGTTTGAATATCCCTATAAGAACCCCCTGCTTACACTATAATTTATCCCAGTAAAGGTAACTTTTTTCATAGGCGATCACCGTGACATTAAAAATAGGTTCCTGTTAAGCCACGGAGAAACACGAAGGTACATGTAAACTCTTTTATATTGAAACGAATAACAAAAAACATATTTGCCAAAAATGCAGTCCAAAAGGTTAGGCTGATAGACTAAAGCCTAGATGCTCGTAACTCGTTTATTTATAGACCGATACCAAGTGCACAGATGCTAGTGACCCTATTTCCACACAGCCGCCATATAGCTGGAATATTGCTGAGTGCAGCGTTAAAAAGTAAACAAACAAACAAACAAACTAAATACTACCGCTTGGTCTGTGAAAATAATACAAACAAATTACTTCCAATATATTGAAACGGCCAGTGAGGTGGAAGATTTAGACTAGTTCATTCAGGGCTAGACAGAAGAGAAAATATGGTTCAGGGACTGTGAGACAGACGATGTAATTCAATACAACGGAATAATTGCACCAGACGACAAAATATAGTGTTCTTTCCTGTGAAGACATACTCACCTTTGACTGGCATGATGTCTTGTCGTCGATGCTGTTGGTTTAGTCACAGTGGCTGGTGAAGTTGTTCCCCAAGTAGGTCGCTCTGCACAAACTGAACTGCAGACACGCAGCGTTACTTGAGGGAGTTGAAGATGCGTGCAAATAGGTCCAGTTGACAACCAGTCCTCCCGGACCATTGTCAACCCTGTAGTGAGTTACACATTGTCTTCTCGGACTCTCGCTCATGGATTTCCAATCAATACATTTTTGTTTGTTTGTTGTGTAACTAAACGTTTGTTGTTTGTTTATCTAACCGTTTAAGCTTGTAATTTATCGATCAAGCAAAAACTGCATCCATTTTTAAGATTTAAGAAGTAGTTCCTGCTATATTCTGTCAACCTAACTTTTGGGACTGCATTTTTTGTAAATATCTTTTTGTTATTCGTTTCAGTGTGAAAGTACTTTCATGTTTCTCCGTGACAACAGGAACCTATTTTGATTGCCTTTTAAAATGTTACCTATATAACTATCATTATTTTTTCGTGATTGTTTTGATCCCTATTCGAGGTTGGGTTCATTGATGTAATGTCGACACGCGGCATTGTTCCAATGAAAGTACTGTTGATGTCCCCTATGTAAATAATCACTGACCCAGTACAGACATGAACTATGTTGTCCCACGACTCAAAGACCATGAGATTAAAAGCGTTTTTCAGAAAGCAGAAAGGGGTGTTCCTTGTTATCAGCAGCGTGTGAGTTGAGTTTATCAATGGTTAGGCTCAAGGCATGACATATTCCCATCACGACACCAGGCTTTTGACGCGACGCTGTAATGTGCGTCCAATACGCACAGACAAACACAATACGCAGAAAACATACATCCACTGCCTCCGTGAACCACGTGAGGGATGCACAATGATATGGGGCGGTGGGGGTTCCTGTTAGCCTGAAACATGTGGGTGCAAAACCAACCTCACTCACTCACAATGATATTCTTTGGCGAACGGGACTTTAATTTTGAGAGGAAACTCATAAGGCTCCTGTAATTACAATAGTTTTACGGTTCAGGTTCCAGATGCGCAATACGACCCCGTCGTGACAGTATACCTTGATGGTAACGTTACGACCTGTCGTAACTCTATAGTTTATCATAGTTTATAACCCCCACCCCTCTTAAAATCATCACTCACGCACACACACACGCACACACGCACACACACGCACGCACACACACACACACACACACACACACACACCAGCCATAAATTATGCACGGTCCCTTACTTTACAGGACCCGCATATTTCTTTTAAGGACTATTGATTTTAGTTCCTGGGGGTCGTCTGTGCGGTTAGTTTTGTAGGTCGAGGTAAAACCCTGTGATATGTCAACGTGACACAACCTGTAACCCACTGATTCCCGTGTCGTTCAGCGATTGCATCATTCAGGTCGTCCACGCCCACGTGTATGGTTGTCCTTGTGTTGTAAGTGCACGCCCTTGAAACTGTCGACGCTACTAAAGTGCATCAGTTGGGATGCCATGCTCTGCCTGATAGGTTCAGTTTTCTACTCCGTGCTAACGAACTAACGTGTATACCGAATTGATTGTTTTAGTACCGGCTTGTTTAACATATTTTAAATGCGTATGACGAAAAATGGTTATAACGAACGACTATGTTTCTTACGCCGCACTCGGCAATATTCGAGCTACATAACGGGGAGTTCGTTATAACCGGAGTTTACTGTCATGGATAGGTGAGTGAGTGAGTTTAGTTTTACGCCGCACTCAGCAATATTCCAGCTATATGGCGGCGGTCTGTAAATAATCGAGTCTGGACCAGACAATGCAGTGATCAACGACTTGAGGTGAAATAAGGTTTTACGTCGCTGGCAAGATTACCTCAATATAGCAACACACATGGCAGCAATATAGCTGCGACTGCGGCTTGGTACATTTGTGGCAAATTAGATTGGTATAAGAAATCAATTCGCAACTACATAACCCCTACTTAATTTAAAATGTAAAAACAAATTAGATTTCAACAGTAGTCCAGGGTTTATCATTCAAAAACATTTTTGTATTTGTGTAAGTGTTTTTGATTTGATTTTGATTTTATTAAAAATATATATAACTATCTAGATGTACTCTTCGACTCCTGTCACAAACCGAAACATGAGTCTCATGAACCAATTCAGACAATGGCCTACTTTTCAGCCGATCCGAATTTTCTCGTGTGAAAGTGAAAATAGACACTACAAACAACTATGATTACACGAAATTCCAAAACCTTGTTTCATAAGAAAAAAATTACAAATGAATTTCTATATTTTATGACGAGGTTTAGGCAGCATGACCTTAACTAAGACGTCACAGACTGCCCCTGTTTGGAAAAGTCGTAAAATGATTCACAAGTCATCTGGCTGACTGGTTACACCTGTTATGTGTTCTTTGCGCTTATTAAGTGTACTTTTGTAACGTACAATGTGATTGGATATAATGTCAAGGTCGTACAAGACCGCCAAACTTTTCTAGCGCCCGAGCCTCGTTTGGAGATTTCCACGCCGTTTATCAGAGCACGCTGCGCGGTGTGTTTGCAAGGATTAGAAGGTGCGTGTTTGAAATAATTTGATTTCTTGTTGTTGTTTTTACATGCAACATACTTTACCTACGAAAACACAGAACAGTCCAAAACAAAATTCTGGACTGGTTATTGTACTAAGTTGCCCAATAGGTACCCAGTCAGCGGAACCCAGTCAGCAGGAAACGAGACTGTTATGTAATCAATGTTTTGACTTCAACAGTTAAGTATTTATCTATAATATCGGTGAGTTTAGTTTTATGCCGCTCTTATAAATATTTCCAGCAATAGTCTCGCGAGGCGCTACTTGCGGTATTAAGCTTGTTCCCGGCTCCCTTTGCGCGCGCCAACGTTACATATGAGAGACAAGGCCGAGCTTACTTCCGGTACCATATTAATACAACGGTTTAGTCTCCATTCGCCTACATCTCATTTCGCCTACATCCCATTCCGCATACAAAAACAATGTAGGCTAATTGGGATTAGAAAATGCACCCCTACACTTATAATGAACCTGACTCACTGGTCAGTGCCATACTAATTAGGTAAATCTTCCAAATTAGCCTTACTCATGTCTGAATTGCTTTTTAACGACACACATTTTGGAAAAGTAAGCATAAAAGGATAATGAATATTAAATATTTTTTTTGACGAAATTGGACTAAGTTGTATCTGGAATTCCCAAAATTTTGAACATTTGAATAAACTAAAAATTACAGTTAAATGTAAACTAGAAGATGCGTATAAGCAAGTGTGGTTGTCTACGGTAGAACATTCATCAGAAGATATCTTATATAACTCCTTATGTAACTTGTTCAAAGGTATTGTCACGTTATTAAACAGCAAATCATAACTTGCCCATTGAAACAGGCCGCTGGAGCAATAGTCAAAAACGTGATAGAATATGTACACTTTGTAATGGTTACGACATTGGCGATGAATCTCATTATTTATTTATCTGTTCTCACTTTATAAATGCAAGAGTTAGATATTTAAAGCCATATTTTTATTCCAAACCAAATTTTCATGAAATGTATACATTATTCAATAACAATAAGAAAGGTATTCTCAGAAAACTCTGTTTATTCTGTTATATTATCATAAATGTTTTTAAGAATCTTCAGTAAAAATATTCCATCTAAATATACTCTCCCAAAAAAGAAACGCATCATGAAAATAGCAATTTCATGTAGCAATGAATTAAAACGAGATTCATTTTACAAAAGGTTTTGCTCTGTTTATGAGTCCTATGGTGTTTATGTTTTGAAATATCACAACAAAACGCACCATCCGTAAAATACCCGTATTTAACAGCATGATTTTCAATTTCGGCGTGTAGTGTCACAGAATACACACTTCACATGCAATGCACGTGAAAGTTGGGGATCAGATAGTCTCAATGATGGGTATAAAAGGTTGATCGCTGTCTGTCGATTATTCACTGTATTTGGAGTATTGTTGACGAACGCAAAATGCCACGTCTAAGTGAAGCCAACCGTCATATCGCCATTGGTTTGCTTGAAGCTGGCCAGTCTCAACGTGCAGTTGCCCGACGCATGAATGTTCACCAAAGCACCATTTCACGGCTCTGGGAGAGATATCGCCGGCAGAATGCGGTAGCAGATGCCCGTCGTAGTGGGCGACCTCGAGCGACCACTGCGGCGCAGGATCGCTACATCCTGGTACATCACCTGCGTCATCGAACAGCTACGGCGACCAGTACCGCTCGACAAATACCCGGATTGAGGAGGCTTTCTGCACAGACCGTCAGGAACAGGTTGAGAGAGGCTGGTTTACGTGCCAGAAGACCTTATTTTGGCCCTGTGCTTCGACAACAACATCGTGGGCATCGAGTTCAATGGTGCACCAACGTTCAGGCCTGGAACCTACCGAATTGGCGTAGAATCTGGTTCAGTGATGAATCACGATTTCTATTGGAACGACGCGATGGAAGAATGCGGGTGTACAGACGTCGACGTGAACGTTTCGCCGACGCTTGCGTTCCCCAGGTGGACAGATTCGGCCGGGGCAGTATTATGATGTGGGGAGCGATCACCTGCCGTAGGAGAAGTTAGTTGGTGATGATCCAGGGCAACCTGACAGCTCAACGGTACTGTGAAGAAACCTACGCCCACACCTCCTTCCAATCATTGGTCGCCAGAGGGAGATGTTTCAACAGGACAATGCCAGGCCCCACACAGCACGTCACACTAGAGACTTCCTCCAGAACCACAACATCAATGTGCTCCCCTGGCCCTCAAGATCACGGGACTTAAACCCGATCGAACATCTGTGGGTTGCCCTGGACAGACGGGTGCGACGCCGTAACCCTCAGCCCCAGACACTTCAGCAACTCGCACAGGCACTACAGGTAGAGTGGGCTGCGATTGGGCAACACGAGATTCTGAGACTTATTCGTTCGATGCCGACGCGATGCCGTGCAGTTCTGGATGCCCATGGTGGTCACACGAGGTATTGACTTCAGCGCCACAACACGTCTCCATGTGACACTCAAACTGACTTTCCTCGAGTTGGTGCCAAAGGCGGATAAGTCTGCGTTCCCAGTGTGCAATTTCGCTATATTTCATTGACTTATAAAGCCTACAAAATAAACATAAAAATACAGTTGAAATTCCTATATGCGTTTCTTTTTTGGGAGAGTATATTTCTATTATCTTTGTGCAATCTATTTGCAGATAGATTTGCAATCTATCTATATATATAATGCATTACTTATTCATCTGTATATATGAAATACTCGACTGCACATACATTGTATATAACTATATGAATATATTTAATTGTAACATATTTGTAACCTCATATGTCGCTGTCTGAGGCCTGAGTTTAAATAAAGTTCAGTTCAGTTCAGTTCAAATAAAATGAAAGGGATTAATGCACAAGCTAAATTGTAAATGCAATGATGGTATGTAGTTAATGTCTCACTGTAAAATAATCAGTTGTTATAAGGATATGTAGTTCAGTAAAGAGGATTGGTGCATCCTCTAAGAAGTTCAAACAAGGTTATAATAAAATACTCAGTTCTGCTACTAATAGGCTTTAAACCAACTTAACCATATAAAATGGAGCGTTCGCCAACCACTGTGAGTCACAATGGCTAACCTGCAGAGGGCAGAGTTCATCTTGTCTCAGAGAGGAGGAAGACAGGTACTACATGATGGCCACAAGTATCGACTGAATGTTGTGAGACAAGTAGCCACACTGGAAGTGCGTCATAGATAAATGTAAAGGCTAGTGCAGTACCATTGGTGACCACGTATCTTCCGTCACAGAGCACAAGCACCCTCCTCTGATGAATGAAGAAGAGACCAGACTCCTCACCAGACTGAGACAATGTGTTCGTGATGAAGTGAGAATGGACATCCGCACAAGTAAACTTCCTTAACACTAAGCATATGTAATATGATGTTATATGATGTGAATACCATTGTGATCGAAAAATGGACAATTAACAGTGTAAATAAATAACAGACAAATAACAGAAATAAATTCTTTTAAAAATGTCTTTTTGTCCTTTAACTACTTCAACTAGAAGAGTCCTCTTTTAGATCATAAGGGTGCCACTAGTTTACCATTGCGTAATCAACAGTCAACAGACCATGAAATGTTGTTTTAAGACTGTAGGCGAATTGGGATGTAGGCGAAATGAGAACATGCCAATACAAGCGTATGGTTCCAAATACGCGATCACCAAATATAGACTTTACTAGACCGGACCAAGTGTGCAACCATGCTTGGCTGTCACAGCTGTTGACAGTCGTAATAATTGGCTAATTTGTGGATGGTTAGATCGGAAATGGGTTATTCCTACAAGGCTGATCGGTTCCTTACTGTCAACTGACAATAGGGCTGGATATTGCCCTGATTTTCATATTGCGATATATTGCAAAAATTTAAGAGATATTGCAATACATATTGTGATATATTGACTGGAAGGTTTCTGCCAAAGTGCGTACAACATAAATTCATAATAGCTCTCTGTGTGCGACATCATCTTCTCAGTTGCTGTTACACCATACTTTCAGGCTCCCCGTCCCCATTGTGTATTTATGTGTGCCAATCGTTTACAGGTAAATAAAATAATATAGAGCCTTAATGTGGAATATATTAATTGCACCAACGTTTTGCGAACATAATGATAAAGGTAATAGTATAACATGATTTTCATAGTCCGTGTTGTTTGCTTAAACGGAATGCAGTTCAATGCAGTATGTAATTATTGTCACTCTAGGTGATTCATTCAGATTCTATGTGTTACCATGAACTATTGCCAAATGAAACAAAAACAAGATTTAGTTGAACTACTTGAGATTAAAATCGCATGTGACTTCCAATAGCTAAGATCCTTGACTGGAATGTCATTATACAGTCATACATTTTTCTAAGACTCAGGCCTGTAGGATAAGTTGATATCATCTGCCCCATTATGAAACAAACAAAAATAACCAAATGCTGTGAACTGTGAAATGGTCACTCAGAGCCAGAGGCTCTACTAATAAGTCCAAATAAAAATTGGTCCATTTGAGGCCACTTAATTCCTCCAAATGAAACCATTCAAACCCACAAAACGTAAAGTATTTGGTAGACTATTTGACAATTTTGGAGCCACTTATCATGACACTTCCTCATGTAAAATGTTACATGAAACTACTATGATAAGGGTCTTTGGTCCCAGTGAGGGAGCAGGTGAAAACCCATTTCTAACTAGCGTGCTGGTCTGCTTGGGGGGATTAACTCAGCAAAGAATCCGAAGTCACAAGAAGCCAATCACAATTTTATTTCCAAGAATGGAATAACATGGGGTGGCCACAGAGAGTCTGTACAACCCTCTGGGCTGAGGTGAGGGGAGGTGAAATTGGGTTTAACGTCGTACTTGAGAATATTTCGCTCATATGACGACGTGCATGCGTGTGTGTGTGTGTGTGTATGTGCGGCTGCTTGTACTAGCCCAGACTTAAGCTGGTTTTATAGTGCTAGCCCACTGAGGTACCATGCCGCAGTGAAGCATGAATACCCTACTCAGACACATTATACTGACTCCGAGCCGACCAGCCCTTGTTGTACCCATTAATGCCGGGCGCCAGGCAGGGACCAACAAGTGCCATATTTTAACGTCTTTGGGTATGACGCGGTCGGGGATCGAACCCGCGACCTTCCGCTGTAACCACTACACCACGGAGGCGGTCTTCTGGGCTAAGGGCTAGAGCTGACATGTGTTGGGAGTCTAAACCCTACTGACAAATAATTGGCCATGGAGTTGGTGATTATTTATCTAAAATTGAAACAAGGAAGAGATTATGATTCGTTGATTGATACAAAAATGGGTGTAACCTACAATAACCAATAAAAATACAGAATGGGGTGTGTCCTACAAGAACAACTTTAATGACCAGACAGGGGGAGTACTTAATCCTGCTAATCCTATTTCAACTGGCACTAATCTCGTTGGCACTTTTACTGGATGCTTGGATGCTTACCTTGGGCTAGATCTTAACGAGCCTAATTTGATGTGTCAATTATAGGTGCTTGGATTACAATAGATGCGTTTACTCTGGGCCATGTCTTAATGACCCTAAATTGATGTTTGCTTAATGTTATTGTAATATAGATGATGACATGTTTACTTTATCAAAACAGTCTATTAGACCGTCTAGACATAACTTTGTCTTACTGAAAGGTTTGTCTAACAGCTTGAGTCTTTGATACCTTAGGCTAGGATTTATCTTGAACATCTGTGAAATTGTGCAGTCGTAATTTACACCTTGTTCAATAGTATGTCTGTGAGATGAGTTTTACTACTTTTGACTGGAGTCTTTCTCTAAGCTTTTACTGACACATGATGAAACTAATATTCTATACATTTTGTATTTATATTTGCCTAATATCTGAATCCTAGTATATTGCTTGTAGTGGCTATAATTAATAATGAATTTTCGTATGAATTATTATTCCATGATAAAACCAACAGAAATAAAAGTATATTTGGCACTTTTAGAACACCTGTGTTTGCTGTGGAAATCAAGGGCGCATAATTCAAACGGAGCTAACTCTGGATGACCCATTATATTACAGAATCTGAACAATATCGCGATAATCGTATCGCGAGATACTGTACCGGTATATACCATTTTACCGGTAATATTGCACAGCCCTAACTGACAACCATGAAAAGGTATGAAAGGTTGTTTGTCACCGGATGTACTAAGGTCCTCCGAAGTTCTGTGACCTACTGACGGGCTCTATATCACGGTAGGGACACAAGAAATATACCCATGAGGTGAATCGAACCCGGGTCTTCGGCGTAACGAACAAACGCTTTAACCACTAGGCTTCCCACCGCCCCTGTAATATCACTAACGTAAGATATTTTCAACTTAAAATTTTACATAATGCATGTTAAAACCCTTTTGTATACATGCTATAAAATAAACAAGCAAGAAGGTTTAATGTCAAATTAACTTAGTTACAGAATGGTGATAGTTTGTTTTCTCTTTCATCAGCCTGTTATGCCTGCAATTTTCTTCTTGAGTGCCTGCTGGTAAGGATCCTCGCTGCTTTTGTTCTTCCCGAAAATAAAGTGCTGGGACATATCGGGGGAGTATCTACTCGCGGGGGGTCGACGCCCGTATTCTTCCGCCACCACCCGGATGTAGTGAGAAGCGTTTCCACAACATAGTCCGACGTACTGCACGCCCAGGGATTTGGCTTCTCGGGCAAAGTCGGCGATTTCACTTCGCCCACACGCTTGCCCAGGAAGGTCAACCGGAAACGCCCTGGCACCTTCAACAGACACATTGAAGCAGATGTGGGTTAAATTCACAGACTTTTCTGTGTTTCTTGACATGAAAACCAGGTACCGGAAACACGTTTGTAAACATTCAGAGCATGCAGACCACGTACCGGAAACACGTTTGTGAACATTCAGAGCATGCAGACCACGTACCGGAAACACGTGTGTAAACATTCAGAGCATGCAAACCACGTACCGGAAACACGTTTGTGAACATTCAAACTCCGTACCGGAAACACGTGTGTAAACATTCAGAGCATGCAAACCACGTACCGGAAACATTCAAACTCCGTATGTAAACATTCAGAGCAAACCACGTACCGCAGACCACGTACCGAAACAAACATTCAGAGCATGCAAACCACGTACCGTAAAACATTCAGAGCATGCAGACCACGTACCGGAAACACGTTTGTAAACATTCAGAGCATGCAGACCACGTACCGGAAACACGTTTGTAAACATTCAGAGCATGCAGACCACGTACCGGAAACAGTATGTAAACATTCAGAGCATGCAAACCACGTACCGGAAACAGTATGTAAACATTCAGAGCATGCAGACCACGTACCGGAAACACGTTTGTGAACATTCAAACTCCGTAACGGAAACACGTTTGTAAACATTCAGAGCATGCAAACCACGTACCGGAAACAGTATGTAAACATTCAGAGCATGCAGACCACGTACCGGAAACACGTTTGTAAACATTCAGAGCATGCAGACCACGTACCGGAAACACGTTTGTAAACATTCAGAGCATGCAAACCACGTACCGGAAACAGTATGTAAACATTCCACGTACCGGAAACACGTTTGTAAACATTCAGAGCATGCAGACCACGTACCGGAAACAGTATGTAAACATTCAGAGCATGCAAACCACGTACCGGAAACAGTATGTAAACATTCAGAGCATGCAGACCACGTACCGGAAACACGTTTGTGAACATTCAAACTCCGTAACGGAAACACGCGTGTAAACATTCAGAGCATGCAAACCACGTACCGGAAACAGTATGTAAACATTCAGAGCATGCAAACCACGTACCGGAAACACGTTTGTAAACATTCAGAGCATGCAGACCACGTACCGGAAACAAGTTTGTAAACATTCAGAGCATGCAGACCACGTACCGGAAACACGTGTAAACATTCAGAGCATGCAGACCACGTACCGGAAACAGTATGTAAACATTCAGAGCATGCAAACCACGTACCGGAAACAGTATGTAAACATTCAGAGCATGCAAACCACGTACCGGAAACACGTTTGTAAACATTCAGAGCATGCAAACCACGTACCGGTAACACGTTTGTGAACATTCAATCTCCGTACCGGAAACACGTTTGTAAACATTCAGAGCATGCAGACCACGTACCGGAAACACGTATGTAAACATTCAGAGCATGCAGACCACGTACCTGTCAGTGGATCTTTGAGCGACTGGAACGTAGGATGATCTGAACATGTGCGGTACGTCACCGGCAATGCAATAACTGGTCCCTATAAACAGTGAACGGATTTTGTGATATAAACGTAAATGAAATGTGAATGAATATGCCAATTAAAAAATGTAGCAGACATTGCCTATATCCATGTATCGAAAATGGCTCTGCTGAACGGTCTTACGTTGGCCAGAGATACCATCCATTTGCTATCAGTTTATACAATATAACCAGGATCAGGACTGGTCCATTTTACGGTTTTACATGCTGTGATGCTGAGTTACGTCCCTTAGGTCTGCTAGAATCATATGATCGTTAGCTCAAGTTCCATGTTCGGCCTGATCTGATTGGAATTGTTGGTTTGCATGGTACCCGTGCTCTAAAGTTTCCCCATAGAAGGTAATGGCTACATTTCTCAAGTTACATTTAGTTGGCACACCGTGATATCAATGAAGTACAATTCATGGCGGCGTGACACTCGATCACACATTCACTCACTCACTTATAAAAGCCAGGGCTACCTTGCAGGCCTGTCTGATCTCTCTAATGAGAGGCAGCATCGTCCTGGGACCACGCCCACAGTTTAATCCAACTGCCGCCGCTCCTGCATCCTCTAGCCTGCGGCAGGCGACACCCAAAGCCAAACCGTCTGACGTTTTGTCCACTGTATGGGCATTAAAGCTAATGGCCGCTGGTAGTCCTGGAATGAAGTTGGCTCTGTTTTCAGATTCACGAACAAAAAATCCGCTGAAGAAGATTCATGACGCAATGTGATTATTCAGAATTTTATCTGATTAACTGCAAATTCTGCATCATCTTACCATTTCCATATTTGTTAATACACTCGAGAGCAAGCATAGCCTCTCCCAACTCGCTGAAGGTTTCTCCAACAATGTAGTCGGCGCCTTCCTCCACCGCCCACTCGATCTGTTCCTGGTAGAAGAGAATATTACCCAAAGGTTTCAACGCTTACTGAAGCATCATCTCAATGTATATCTTAAGTCGCATTTCAAATCTAACAGTGCAATGTAATTTTATGAAACATATGCCATGAAGAGATATAACCCTTGTATCTGCGAGTTGAGGGTTCGAATTCAATTGTGAGAGAGTTCCATCCCTCAGATGTAAATTCCTTTGCATCCCAGATTGGTTCTAATAATAGTCTTTTATGAGTGGTTGAGCGAGTATGGTTTTTCGCCGCTTTTAGCAATATTCCAGCAACATCACGGCGGGAGAAACCAGAAATGGGCTTCAAACACTGTACCCATGTTGGAATCGAACCCGGGCCTTCGGCGTGACGAGCGAACGCTTTTACCCCCAGGCTACCCCACCGTATCATCACCATATCCGTGTTCGTTGAATACGTCTCAAAATAAATGTCTAGTGTTTTGAGTCCACAATTTATTCCACAGCTGACAAGCCTTACAGTTGTTTAGTATTACGCAGGGGCGGATACAGCTTTTTGAGAAAGGGGGGTGCACACTATTGAGTAAAGGAGGGGTGCACACTTCATTTTCACCCGAGTTTCAATGGTCATTTAACAAACTTTCAGCACAAAAGGGGGGATGCGCACCCCTGCAACCCCCCCCCCCCCTCTCTGGATCCGCCTATGTTACGGATCAAACTTGTGCTAAACCCAACTCGAGGACTTACAGAAGTGATCACTTAGACTTTGTTCAAGGACGCTAATTTCTCAATGTTCGCAAGGTTTAAGTGTTGTATGTTTAATTACTACCGTCCAAAATGGAAGAAATTTTCGCGCACTCACTTTAAACATGGCTTCCGTCGTCTCAATGGCGTCCTTGTTATCCTTCCTGTACACCGTCGTGTTGCAGAGATTTCCCGCCATTAACGTCCCGGTGTCGTCTGCTACCTGCCTTCGCGATCCGCAAAGCATCTCTGTTCAACCTCTCAAGGTCACCTTCACGGCCGATAACTCTGAGTTTCTCTCTGTGACCGTAGTACTGTTGGATAAATGCAATATTGTTTTAACGAGGAAACATAAATTCATTGTATAAATGTTCCTATAAGATTAAGACAATGCCACTTGAACATCAGTTGTCTGTACTTCTACCTCCATAATCTTTTAGGGGAACCTTTTTTCGTGAAACATAACACCAGCTTGTCAAGTGAATGTGAGTGAGTGAGTGAGCGAGTTAGTTTTACGCTGCTTTCAGCAATATTAATTCCAGCAACATCACGGCGGGGTACACCAGAAATGGGCTTCACACATTGTACCTATATGAACCTTTTTCGTGAAACATAAGACCACCTTGTCAAGTGGATAGAAGGTTTGCCTGCAGAACCGAAGCTCAGCATCCGATGCCTGGTCACCATGAGCATCGATCGACACAATTGGGATACGATGACACCTAGAGCTGTGACGACATATCGTAGTATCGATAATCGCCATACTTTATCTGACGATAAGTACATCGATACCTTTTTTTGTATCGTGATATGTATCGTTGACCTTAAAATTATTAATTTTCACAAGGAATTGGCGGTTATGTCAAAATTTACACTGTTACTTGCTATCAAAATATACATTTTGAAAGAAAATAACTAAAGATAGCATATTGTGATATGCATCAAATCGAATCGTATCGTGCCAAAATATCGCAATACGTATCGTATCGTGATATTTCTGTATCGTCACACTTCTAATGACACCCATCAATCAGGTCAGCGAGCCTGACCACCAGATGCCCTCAGTCGACTTTTATAGCACAGATGACTGAAGACCATTCTGGGTGAATGTCAGTGAGTTTCGTTTTACGCCGCTTTTAGCAATAGTCCAGCAATATAACGGCGGGGGACACCAGAAATGGGTGGGAAATCAAACAAAGGTCTTCGGCGTGATGAGCGAACAGTCGCCATTAGTCAAGACTGATACACTCTCATGTGCATTCACTACATAATTGCAATAAATATATAGAGGACCTCATCCCCCCTAATCCCATAAGACAATTGATAGCAATGAGACTGTGAGTTTCTTTGATTAACGAAAGATCACAGTCGTGAAAAGCAAATCATTTACCTACCGTGAAAGCTAAACAGACGTCACTTCCGGCATTCACAAACTCTTCGTGGAGAACTTTCACCAGATCCGGTCTTTCAATGACGACTTCCGGTACAAATGCTCCGGCTTTCAGCAAGCCTCTTCTCTCAAATTCAAACACATATCCCTCCGCCACAACAATATCCTCTTTGTCTTGTAGACGCTGAAGCAGACCTTTGAAACAAAGCAACTGATAAGAAGTCAATATGTGCTAATGAAGTAACGTATGAGTGACATTAGTGACCCGTAATATGGCTCGAATACTGCTAAAGACGGCATAAAACAACACTCACTCACTATTCCTGTATTAACAGTATTACTATTTCTATGTCACCTTAATTTTATTTTTCAAAATGTCTTTGCTTTTTTCCGCACAATCCTTAACACACAATGCCACAATGCCAAATTCGACTGTAGCCACAAAACAACTCTACTTTCTGGCCTATGATTGTATCTTCCTATCCCAGACTAGCTGAAATTTTCGGTCAGTCAGCACCTAAACCTTAACAGATATTCAGTCTGTTCCTTGTGGGATATCTTTTACGTAGAAGCTCTCTGCGTCCTTATCAGGAAACAACCATGAAAGGTTGCGTCATGCAACCTGACCGGACTTCGGCCTTCCAATCTTCACTACACTATATGACAGGAATAATGCTTTGACTCTTAAAAGGCAGCCCCCAAAAACAAAACATAAGAAAACTAAACACACACACACACACACACACACACACACACACACACACACACACACACACACACACACACACACACACACACACACACACACACACACACACACACACACACAAAAAAACAAAAAAACAACACACACACACACACACACACAAAACACACACAATAAAAGCACATTAAAAAACAAACACACATTTTAATATCTTAAGGCATCATGTCTAAGTTTTGATGCTGCCGGTAAACAAGACATGCTTATTCTTATTATTTTCAAAGATCCAGTCACATAGTTTTGACCAATATTTTGCTTTTTACGCCTAATGGAATCTGTTTCGGAAGATGATCGACGCTGAATATTCTCTCGCGTTTGTGTGTTATATTCTTCAGTCAGACAGACATAAGCTTTCTCATTATCTCCACGAAGTCGATGTGTATCAGAGAAAATCTGCAAATATATTTCTTCAATGGTTCCTCTTAGATTATTTAGATGCTATGGCACCCGGAAGGTACATTGTCGACAATATTCCACAGCAATACAATGATCTGATATTTTTGTATACATTCGGAAACTGTCGGTTTAGTTCATTTTCTGGATACACTGACTGACTGACTGAGTTTGGTTTTACGCCGCTTTTAGCAATATTCCAGCAGCATCACGGCGGGGGACACCAGAAATGGGTTTCACACATTGTACCCATGTGGGGATTCGAACCCGAGGTCTTCGGCGTGACGAGCCAACGCTTTAACCACTAGGCTACCCCACCGCCCCATTCTGGATACACAAAATATATACGCTGGTCAAAGTGCATTGCTCACTCGTACCGAAAACTTACCGTCAAATTAGAAAGTTCACTTACATAGAAATATAAAGTACACAAAACACACACTATATATATATATACCTTTCGTTGGCATTGTAACGGCAAGTTTTGGTAATGTATGTAAATTAAAAAACGAAGCCTCTTCTGTCCTCAATGTCTGAAGAGAGAATAATGTTTTTTATAAGAGGTTAGAGACGTGGACGTGGCTCTGATAAAATCTTACCAGGTGGTGTAGTTCTCAAAGTAGGCATACTTATCTCCGATTGTCCAGGGTCTATTTGTTCTTTCTGTTATATGATATCCATCGCTAATAATAGCTACGTTTTAGACCCGATTCGAATGACACGATACCAAACTAGTCATCTTATCCAATACCTTGCATTAGCGAGAGGGGGCGGTAGGGTAGCCAAATGGTTAAAGTATCCACTCGTCACGCTGGAGACCCGGGTTCGATTCCCCACATGGGTACAATATGTGAAGCCCATTTCTGCTGTTCCCCGCCGTGATATTGCTGGAATATTCTAAAAGCGGCGTAAAACCAAACTCACTCACTCATTAGGGAGAGGAATTGTCTGATGGATATTGTGACACCAGTACCTTGTTTTGTCGTTTAGCGCCGCACTCAGCAATACTCCAACAATATGGCGGCGGTCTGTAACTAATCGAGTCTGACCAGATAAATCAGTGATCAACAGCATGAGCATCGATCTACGCAACTGGGATACGGTGACATGGATCAACCAATTCATCGAGCCTGACCACCCGATCACGTTAGTTGCCACTTACGACAAGCATGGGTTGCTGAAGACCAACTCTTCTAACCCGGATCTTCACGGGTGACAGATCACATGGACAAACACAGCTTTAGAGTTGACAGGCCAAGGCACATAATCGGAGCAAGTATTCCTGGAGATAAGAACCCAAGATGTCCGTAGCCGAGGTGAATTATGAAAACAAATATGGCCTCCTTCTTGAGAGAAGACAGAAAGAAGAAAGCAAAACAAACGGCGGACGTTAACGTTACCAGCTAACATACAACGTTTTCGAAACGTTGTGGGAAGGTTGTAGATTGGTAACGTCATGACACAACGTTGTCACAACGTTAGTATTACGCTATTTTATAACGTTGTCAAAAATGACAGCAGCATTACATATATACGCTTATCGGCCTTTTGGCTAAGATCAAAGTGTAGTATCTTAGCAAAACCAGTCTCGGTTATCTCCTAAGGGAGTCTTTGCAGATTTTTGCCTACAGTCTTACATGTGATTGTCTGACGCTTCTTTTGCTTTAACAGGTCTACGTGTGGCATCGATTACCAGCTAATCGTATGACTTTTAGTAGTATCCACACATTCGACATGGCTCTTACAGCAGTAGTCAATGAGGCTCCCATTCCTGAGGAGTTTGTGGACCAAGACGTTGTTGGAAGAAGTCTCAGTGTCTACCTTACTGCCAAGGTCTCATCGACAAAGGACTTTCTAGACTGCATGATGTTTGTGCCAGAGTTTACATCGTCATCATGCCATCATGAAGGATATTGTGAGTGCCAGGAGATTGCTAGAGCTTCAGTGTGTTCAGGCAGAGAAGGACAGGATCTACTTTTACAGTTATGGAAAGTACATTGTTCCCCTTAGGATCCACTGGCTGCATGCTACCATCAAGAGTTCTTTCCTGAAGCATTATTTCTCCAAGTATGGGAAGGTTGTCGACGTGTTCAGGGAGTATGAAGAGTGGGACGGAGAGGAGATATATTCAGGAGTGAGGATCGTGAAGATGGAACTCAGTGATGACGAGAAAGCTAAGATTCCACATGTTGTGAAATTCGGGGGAAAGCAGAGTATGCTGATCACGGCTCCAGGAAGACTTCCCATCTGTCTTAACTGCCATACTCATGGACATGTCAGAGCTAAGTGTCCAAATGTTGATCCAGCCCCTGTGACTAACAAGGAGGTGAGATGAGGTGAAATTGGGTTTAATGTCGTGCTTGAAAATATTTCGCTCATATGACGACGTGCATGCGTGTGTATGTTTATGTGCGGCTGCTTGTACTAGCCCAGACTGAAGCTTGTTTTATAGTGCTAGCCCACTGAGATACCATGCCGCAGTGAACCATGAATACCCCACTCAGACACATTATACTGACTCCGAGCCGACCAGTCCTTGTTGTACCCATTAATGCCGAGCGCCAGACAGGGACCAACAAGTACCATATTTTAACGTCTTTTGGTATGACGCGGTCGGGGGTCGAATCCGCGACCTTCCGCTCTCCGGACTAACAAGGAGTTAGATGTGCATGAATCAGATGATTCTGAGGATGGATGATTCAGAGAAGGTCATGGATGTGGATGTAAAGGAAAAGAAAAGGAAACAGGATGAAGGAGAGCATAAGGACAAAGACAAGGAAAGAGTCCTGCAGCGTCTACAGAGCCCCTGAGCTGGGCAGAGTAGACCTCTCATTCTGATGCAGTGTTGGCAGCCATGCCAGAGATAGAACAGTCAACCAGTACGCCTGTCAGGAAGATTCAAGTACCAGAACTTTTCTTGAAGTCGTGGGCAGAAGAAAACAAGGATGTCATTGAAAAGAAGGGGGAATGGAAGACGTACAGCTTCTGTGTGAAACTGGAGAAGACAGATAAAGGGATTGTTGGTACATCTATTAAGTGAGTGAGTGAGGTAGTTTAGTTTTACGCCACACTTAGATATATTCCAGCTATATGGTGTCGGTCTGTAAATAATCGAGTCTGGACCAGACAATCCAGTGATCAACAGCATGAGCATCTGCGCAATTGGGAACCGATGACATGTGTCAACCAAGCCAGCGAGCCTGATCACCCGATCCCGTTAGTCGCCTCTTACGACAAGCATATTCGCCTTTTGTGGCAAGCATGGGTTGCTGAAGACCTATTCTATCCCGGATCTTCACGGGTCGGTACATCTATTAAGGAAGAAATTGACACTTGTACTCAGAACTTCAAACAGGAACATCAGAAGATTGTGAGGCGTTCGATACTTCATCTCCTAAAGCAGAAATTGCACTTAAATCAGGACAAATTGGCAGATAAGGACAATGTGACATTCAAGGAAGTGCTTTAAGATATCCTTGATGGAGAAATACAGTCGTTTCTGTGAACTTTTATGAGTGCTTCAATAACTGTGTTTGAATTCAAGGACATCAAGTTATTCGTGTTGGACTTTTCGCATACCTAGTGAACTTTATCTGCTCATTTTTCAGTATTTCATATTTCATTCTTTCACTTTTTAATATTTTATTGGTAGAACTGCCACTTCACAATCTGTTGTGATATTTCCTTTTGAATTTAGAAGTGGTGGTTATTGCGCTGTCCGCAATTGTAATTTGGATGTAATATTTTTTTATGAAAAAGAAAAAATAATACGTTAGCATCAAATAACTTGAGCATTGTGACGACGTGAAAATGACGCATCACAACGTCACGTCACAACCGTCAAAATATCTTTTTCATGCTTTTAAACTACGAGAGTTACTGATTGTATCTCTTTGTGTTATACACCATTCATTGTATTTCTGTGTAATATGTATGTCCTATGGGCTAGACTAAGGCTTAGTCTCTGAATATATATAATTTTGATAGTAACAAACAAGCCGATTTATATTGAAAAGGAGCCCTAGGGAGACCAGAGATTCAGAACCTGAACCTGAGGAAATCTAGACTTGCTTTATTTAGGGCTTTAGCACTGCAGAGAGGGCTTGGCAGTAGGGAAATTAATGTGGTTCAGGGACTGTGAGACAGACTACCTATGGGCCTGTGGCCTGAAACTTTAAATAAATTTTTCTTCTAGTCCAAAGGGCAAGTCCAACTAAATTCATCATAAAAAAAGACTGCATGCTTCACATAAAGGTAAGAAAAATGCTATAAATTTAATATGTTGATATGTGGCCTATCTACTTGTACTACTTGCACTTGTTCATATTTTTAGAAGTCGGAGTACTTGGTGAAGTGGCGTGATTATCCCATACATCTTGCAACGTGGGAGCTCCGGAGTCATCTCTCTGACCACCTGCTGGACAGCTTCCCGTCACCAGCCATCAGCGAGGATCGTCTCACCGCAGCTGTTGGGGTTCTAGAGACCACTGTTCAGGGTAGACTTAAGTCTGGACATTCAACCATAGGACTAAAATTCCCTTTGGATATCTACCGTTACGTGTTTGGACTTAACCATGGATACAAGCTGATAGAACTCACAGACTTCGCTAAGTTGCCACTGGGTATCAGTTGGTGGTACAAACTGAACAGACATGGACAAGGCGTTTGCATAAAGTTTCCAATGCGGATAAGGCCAAACCTCAGGTTTAGAAAAATGTGGCTTGCTAGAGATGGACAATTAATTTGCGAGCACTTACCCGTGGAGACACTTGTGATTAAGGCTCAGATCTCAGCATGTGGGGTGACAAGCCTACGTTTCCCTGTGCTTACATGATGAATATAAAGATTAACCTAAGAAGATTCGTAACCAACTGTTCATTACATAGTTGGGGAATAAATAAATCTAGATTTGTTTTGGGGGGTAAATGACAACTATGCTATTGTGTTGTGGCTATTAAAGATGTAATGTTTGGTTGGTTCACGAATCTTAATTTTCCTTCAATGTTTATATATGTATATAGCACCCTCATTGTATCAATAACTATGGCATCCCCTCAAACCCCAAACCAGCTGCCTTTCAGCACTGACATCTGTCACACTGCGGGTATCAGTCCCTACCTTCCTAAAGATATGATACCAAGTGTAGAATTTAGCATTGAAGTATCAAACCTTTTCTTAAAAGAGCTGGAACAGGTCAAATGTACACATCCAGATCTTTCTTACATCTGCATTGACAATACGCAGTTGACAGCAATGAAACTATTGCAGCGTGACAGATTAGAACAACATTTTCGGCGTATTTGTTCAGAGGTCTGTTTAAAGGTTCGCAGAACAAATTCAGGTGCAATTAGAAAGAAATACGTAGCAAACCAACGTAGGATAGCAATTTTTAGGCACGAAACTGAGAGTCACTTTGAATTGGCAGATCAACTTGAGAGATGCAAACTTGAGCTTGTAGAATAAGAGTCTCGTTGTTCACAGATTTGGAGCCAGCTACAGGCCCATATGATAGATACACCATCAGTTGGCAGTTTCAGAAAGGATTGGGAAGATATAGGTGCCAGACAATCTGGTAGAAGATTATCCTTAGTGAAGGACGAGGTGAAGAAGGTTTTGTCATTCCTCAATGAAATGGGATTGAACCCGAGATCACTGTCAATTAAGATAAGAGGGAAATCTCTAACCATGGATATAGGTCAGGATGCGGTTTCATATCAAGAGTTGGACGAGGACAGGCGGATAAACTTTGGGGGTTAGTGGCCATATTGGATAAATATGGGATTAGCGATGCCGCATACCATGAGCTCAGCCAAGCATTTTGTAATCTACCTCGAACACACACTGTGGTCAGTGAAAGGGAAGAAATATCTCAGTTTAACATCAGACGAGTTCCCGGAAATATAGTAGGGGCATATGTCAGTTTCAAGGAAGATCTTCAAAATATACTTGGTGAAAAACTAAAAGCAAACCCGTCTAAAAAAGAGTTTACTGTGAAGATAGGGACGGGGTGGAACAAGGGTTAGTAGAAAATCAAACTTTGTAGTTTTCTCCTCTCAAGTAATTGATCCTGCACAGAATATGTCATCCCTGCGCCACTCTACCTTGGCCATAGTTAGCTGCCCAGAGTCGTACCTATGTCTAAAGGATTGTTTGTCAGCCTTGTTTGAAGATATCAACGAAGTAGCAAGGGAGGGAAAGATTAGTGTAGGGGATGAGAATGTTAGTGTCAATATAGTTTTCTCTGCCGATATGAAAATGATGCAAATAGTACTAGAGCTAGGTGCATCAACTGGGAACTTTGCTTGTCCGTGGTGCAAAATCCACAAAGATGACCGCTGGGAGACCAACCAGACATGAAATCACTTTCATGAGTGCCCCGCCACTACACGATCATTTTCAGATTTAAGAGGTTGTGCCCATAGCCTAACATATGGTGTGAAACATTTGCCTTTGTTGGAAATTGAAACCGGCAATTTTGTAGTAGATGAATTGCATATGCTACTTTCGGATCACTGATGTCCTGGAAAGGAATTTGATAAATCAAGCACGCAATTTAGATCAGTCCCAGACAAAAGGGAAATGCAGTTCAAAGTACACTGATAAACTCATCCAGGCATTTCGGGCATGTGGGGTTGCATTTTCGGTTTGGGAAGAAAAAAACAATAATGGAAAACAGAACTGGACGAGTTTATCAGGAATAGACAAAAAAAAGGTCTTAAATGAACTGCCCCCAAAACTCGAGGATGTTTTACCCACTCCTCCGGTCGAAACCATCACTTCAATTTGGACAGGTTTCAGAGAGGTGTTCCATGATCTTGTCTACGGTGGGGAAGGGGTAACCGGGGAGGTTATTTTCAACAAAGGTAAGGCATGGCTAAACCGGTTCTTGTCTTTGGGGGAAAAGGAGATGGGATATGGCAAAGCCAATGTAACTCCTTATATTCATTGTCTCGCTTACCATGCAGCTGTCATGTATACCAAATTTGGACCTCTGCGTCAGTTTAGTTGCCAGGGTATTGAAAAGATGAATGGTGAAATAAAGAGCATTCATCAGAGAAAAACCAATAAATGGGATGCAGCAGCTGACGCCCTGAAGATACGAAAACGCATGGAAGGGAACCAACACCATGTGAGGGAGAAAAGGACATACACAAAACGCAAACTGCAATTCTGGGAAGAGGATTTGCCGACTATGAGAAAATCGAAACGACAGGCAATAAGGGAGGAAGTGGAAAATGTGGCATTGCCTCAGCTTGATGTCAATCAGGCCAGTGTGCCTGAATTGAGGGACCACTTAGAGTCCAAAGGGTGCAAAACACAGGCAACGAAACGAGATGTTTGTTAAAAATGGCAAATAATGTGTAAATGGCGCCAACTTCGTTCAACCATTAAGTGAAAACGCAACATGTATTTGAAGGCCGCCATATAGCTGGAATATTGCTGACTGCGGCGTGAAACTAAATCTAAAACCTGAAAAAATCATTGCCTTTTTCCTTACATGGGAATTGTCTGTCCAGTTATTTGTCACTATTTTTAAATTTGATGAAATGTCTGTGTAATAAATATATATGTTTCCTTTATTACATTTATGTTATTACTGAATGAGCAACTGAATTTTGAAAAAACATCCATAAAATATTTGGCTGAAGCGGCTGAAGTGATGTAAAACTTGAATTGTTGCTGAAACGAGATATTTTACATGCGTTTCCAGAAATGTGACGCACCTTGTCTATGTCCACTATTCTTGAGTATGCGTAAATGGGAGGCCACAGAATAACGTTGTAACAACGAAAGCATATAATAACGTTGCGACAACGTGAGATTGTTAGCTGGGTACAACCTTACGCCACAGAGTAAACTTACTTTCAGTCAGGTAAGTGAGTGAGTTAATATTTACCGTCACATCGGCAATATTTCAGCCATATCATGACGAGAACAATTTAATTAATATCAATATTAAAATCAATAAATCTAGAACATAACAATCTGTCTTCAGTCAAGTAAGCGAAAAATGAAATAAGTTCACACATTTCACATACGACAAAAACATCGCTATCACAAACACATTTAAGTGTCAGAAATACTTAAATACATAAAAAAATATACAACCAACATTTAAACAAGTGTAAACTTTCCACCCAATTAGAATTTGTAGCTTCTCGTGTCATTCCGACAAGCCTTGTGGGTCACGGAAAGAGACGAGTAGTTACGAATGCCTAATTCGCTGTCTGCCACTTAGGGACTGCTGGGTAATATTGCACGGATATCCCGTGCGTGGCAAGAATATGAAGCACCTCGCTCGCGATGCACTTGACAATCAGAGAAGGTATGTGCGTCGAACGCGAAAGGACCGACACTCCAAGCGTCACTGATGTAAGTAAAAAGACAGTTAAAAAGCGGATATCTTATACATCCTTAACATTTACCAGAAACATGAAGCTAGTCTCCTTTCAGATAGATATTTGTTGACTGAATTTTACAGTGAAAAACGTTTGCATGCCAGGTCCTAAAGGCGCTGGACTGATATGGAGGGGTGGACACAAAGTTAAGGTTTTAGTCGTTCATTTGAAGTACTGAGTTTCAGTTCATTTAGTAAATAATGTATTTGTTATTGTTTCTGGGGTGGTGGGGTAGCCTAATGGTTAAAGCGTTGGCTCGTCACGCCGAAGACCCGGGTTCGAATCCCACATGGGCACAATGTGTGAAGCCCATTTCTGGTGTCCCCCGCCGTGATGTTGCTGGAATATTGCTAAAAGCGGCATAAAACCAAAGTCAGTCAGTCAGTCAGTCTGTCTTATTGTTTCTACAGATTACCTTTACATAAGATAAAGGTAAGAGTTCCACCCGCTTTAAATGTTTTCTATATATTAGGATTATATCGAGGGTTTAGGATTAGGGGTTAGGTTCAGGAATAGTGTTAGGGTTAAACAAATTTTTAATATAGATTGATAAAATAAACCGGGGGTTACGGGCAAAAATCTGGTAAGAGTTCCTCCCGTTCCCCCATCCCAAATAATATTTATAAATATACTAAACTTATTAACAAAACTTAACGCAACAATTACTAGAGAACTCACAAAATGACTAAAAGTCCAAAATTTAATTAAGGTTAGCTTTAGAGTTAAGTTTTGGGTTGGGGAAACGGAAGGAACTCTTTCCTCCGCCAAATCTGACAGGTGACAGATCAGGACGCGACACCGACCAGACAAGGTGAAAGAAGCACATTGAATCGAATCTAAGCAAAGTCTGATCTCCCATATTTATCCGTTTATAAAGTCAGGTACGCACCTTTCCCCAATCTCCAGGCTTTCACAACAATGTTATATGCAGGTTTTATGCTTTTCTATGCATTGTATGCGTTCGTGTGATATTTGGTTCAGTCAAAGAAGCGTACAGTACACTACTACAAAAAGGCGTACATCAGACCGTATATTACCCTCGAGAGAAGCATACAACTTATATTATTCTTTTTTGGTCAGAGCAATGTTTGGTCAAAACATGGGCCCTTCAACATGGACAAGTCACATTTAGATTGGTATATGTGCTCAATTTGGGCCAATGTGGATTGTATTCTTGTCTCTGGTGGTTGCGCAGATCGATGCTCATGCTGTTGATCACTGTATTGTCTGGTCCAGACTCGATTATTTACCAACCGCCGCTATATAGCTGGAATATTGCTGAGTGCGGCGTAAAACTAAACTCACTCATAATAATCAGATTGCTTATGTGACTTTTAAAAATAAACATGATATTGTTCTTCTATACTAAAAGATATCTCTACCGTGTTATATTAAGCATCTTGGGGGAAACCTACCGATCGGCCTATAATAGGCCTAACGGGATATTATAGGCCGTTCTGCCTATTTTGCTATATGCCGATCGGGCTATATTTGAACATTTTTCTAATTATTTCACGAATTATCAATTTCCGCACGAAATGGTTATATTTGATCATAGAGATGAATAGGTAATCGACCTCCTCAGCTTGAAAAAATTAAGTTTTGGGACAAAATGGAAATTTATATCATGTTCAGGAAAAGATGTTTCATTAAGACCACAATTTTTCATAGATTTTCCTTTTGAAATCTAAAGCTGAATATTTTATGTCATTAATTTTCAGTGAAAATTGTCAAAAATATTATGGACTTATATTTAATTAGCAATTTCCAAACTTCTTTATTATGTGATGAAAATTCTCAAAAATGGTTTGAATGAGAACCTTAGGACATCAAAACTTGAATGATGTTAATATCCTCATGCGGAAATGCACCACTTCCAATTTATTTGATAAATATCGTAATTATAGGCCAATCAGCCTATAGTAAAATAGGCAGAACGGCCATAATATCCCGTTTGGCCTATTATAGGCCGATCGGTAGGTTTCCCCAACCTGTTAAGTACAGTTTTGCGCCGAACTATTGTAGTTAACATGCGAGGAGGCTTCAGACCAAGTTTCAGCTGGGAGGACCGTGTAAAGTACTCACGGAGATAGAAAGAAAATTGTTATTGGCGTTTATTTCGTTGTTTTGAACAAAACTAAATTTTGATTGTTAAATATTCTATGACTACCGTTTTTCACAACTTTTTGTAAAATGATCCTGAGTAGATGAGTTTGCAGGAGAGCAAATAGTGTCATTTTTACCCTTTGACCTTTTATCACTCGGACCCGTGAAGGTCCGGGTTAGAATATTGATCTTCAGTAACCCATGCTTGTAAGAGGCGACTAACGGGATCGGGTGGTCAGGCTCGCTGACTTGGTTGACACATGTCATCGGTTCCCAGTTGCGCAGATCGATGCTCATGTTGTTGATCACTGGATTGGAGACTCGATTATTTACAGACCGCCGCCATATAGCTGGAATATTGCTGAGTGCGGCGTAAAACTAAACTCGCTCACTCACTTTCATTACTCAAAATGTACATTTCTGATGCAAGATATAGTATGCGAATGTCGATGTACTTTTCATAGGTTTGCGTTCATAATATGGTATTTTGGATGATTAGAGGACCAAATTAAAAGGCCTGGTTGGGAAAAAGTTATTTTCGTATTTGTTAAAACTACCTAATTTAATGAAGTAATAAACAAACGCCAAAAAACATTGTTTCTATTTCCGTGAGTTCTTTAGTTTGAGGAAAAGATATAGTATGCTCATGACACAGGGAGTGACAGTGCGCCTGAAGTGATTTAATGCTTACACTGATGATTTCACATACAATCAAATCATTGCAATCACGAACATATTCAGGGACAGAAATACCAGAATACATAATTGTTTGACACAATTCATTGTCAGAAAAGGGCGGTGGGGAAGCCTAGTGGTTAAAGCGTTCGCTCGTCAAGCCGAAGACCCGGGTTCGATTCCCCACATGGGTAAATTGTGTGAAGCAAATTTCTGGTGTCCCCCGTCGTGATATTGCTGGAATATTGCTAAAAGCGGCGTAAAACTAAACTCGCCCACCCATTGTCAGAAATCATCGTTGAATACTTCGTTCAAGCCATTGTCCTTCGTTTAAAGATCCTGCTTCAGACCTGTTCGAACCAATTCACTTTGTCATCCTGGGACATAGCTTCGTTCAGGGACTTCAACCAGTCTGCCCCCTGCATGAGGCATCTGCGCGCCCGTGGATTGGATTGAAGGGGAGACTGGCTCGGATGGAAGAAGAGATGGAAACCCTTGGAGCAGGTTTTCACGGCATTTTTTTTTCAAGTAGGAGAGAATGACGTGTGTTCGTCAACCGAACCACAGAACCTGGTTCAGGATTTGCTGGATCCTCTGAACTACCTGCGGTGACTACGGCCGGCTAAGTCAGTGATTAGGAAGTCTTTTTTAAGGGTAAAACCATGGAACGTGTCTGCCTAAAGGCGGAAGGTGGAGGAGGCGGACAGGCGTCTGAAGAGGATGTTAAGACGCCGTCTGGATGCGACCTAGACTTGCACAAGCCTGAGGTAAAATTAATAGTTCAAATGATAATTTCTAAAAATAAATAGCACACTGGGGTCCTTAGATGTACTGTCCGCTTATCTAGACTTGCCTCTTGGAAGGATAGAATTACTATACCTCCATGGGCTCAGCATTCAGTACAGCCTTGGAGCAAGGCAAGATTCGACCCTATGGAACAAATTGCGCAGATCGACGCTCATGCTGTTGATCACTCTATTGTCTGGTCAAGACTCGATTATTTACAGACCGCCGCCATATAGCTGGAATATTGCAGAGTGCGGCGTAAAACTAAACTCACTCACCCTATGGAACAACCTGCATACGAGAATGGGAGCTGCACTGCCAGCTGGTGATGGCCCTTACTTGACCCAAAACGCCAATGACCAGTTCTGCCTTTCTACGTAAGTGTATGTGTTTTTTTAATTATCATAAATGGAATAATCGCAAATGGAAAAATCGTAACCCATGCTGTTTTCGTTAGATTGACTTAATTCCAAATATCAATATAGTGGTTTCAACCCATTGATTGTACAGCAGAAGCAGAGGGGTTCACTGTTCGAACTTGCTGTTGTCAGGATGGCGCAGGTCATCGCTGGCTGCAACCGTTACATTTATCTATTTCATGTGCGTGTGCAACAATTATTGTGTCGGATTTATGTTGTTGCACTTAAGAGGCGGTGGGTTAGCCTAATGGTTAAAGCGTGCTGAAGACCCGGGTTCGATTGCTCACATGTGAACAACGTGCGAAGCCCATTTCTGGTGTCTTTCGCCGTGATATTGCTGGAATATTGCAAAAAGCGGCGTAAAACTAGATTCACTCTCACTTGCCTAAAGACTGACTTAGTTTCACCATAATGATCACTACATACCCCTCTAATCCAGCGTCATGTTCACTCACTCTACCAGCTGTTTTGTTCCAGAGACGACACCTGTCATCCGTTTTGGGGACGCCGAGGAAAGAACGTCTATTGCAAGCCCAACCTTCAAGTGAAGAGAAAAATGACCGACTATCATCCCGGGCCCTCCTGGGAAAGTCATCCGGGCCCTCCTGGGAAAGTTTCGTGAGGTGACACTCGGGTGAATGAAGAGGTCGATGCCCATGATGTGAAGGTTTAAAGGCGTTTTGTTCAAGTGGGAGAGAATGACAACTGATCTCCAGAGACAAGTCCAGATTATGTTGGTTCTGGACTCTGTGGTGCAAAAAGGCCGGGATCATTGGAAGCGTATTATTGAGGGTCTAGTTGAATAACATAACGGTGTCTGCCTATAGACGAAATGTGGAGCCGAGGAAGAGGCGTTTGAAGAGGATGCCAAGGTGCAACTGCTATACGAGGAAGGGTTTGGTTGGGACAGTGTCCACCTGACTCAAAAGCCAATGCACAATTCTGACTTACTAAGTTTTGACTTTCTATCCGTAAGTTTATATTGAAGCACGTTTCATCAAATCGAATCTAATACTTATTGACAAGGAAACTGGTAATACCAATTCTTGTTCATGATTTATTCGTCTGTGGCGCTGCATTTCCCTGTGCAGAGTTGCATCCCTTGGGCATACCTGGATTTTATGGTCGTGACATCCGCCAAGTTGTTTCTTGGTGCTGTTGTACAAAACAACCTCAGCGCTAAGCTTTGTACAACAGCACCTTGGGCATCATACCCATCCCTTCCACAAAAGTAAGCAGACACATTGATCGAACTGGAACACTTCTAAAGGCAATGTAAAACCCAGATTGTAACTTGCCTTTGCATGTGTTTGTGATGGGTCTCTAAACTGGAGCAAACATTTGGCTAAAACCTGGTTTCATCCCTATTTGATAGTGAATCATAATCACATGGTAAAAGTGATGTGTATGCAATTTTGACCAAGTTCTGTTGTCTCCATTGTTGGACACGTTTTGACAACATCAAATTGATGCAAATGGGGAGCGGTATAAAATCAATCTATCCAAAATATTTGGGACTGAAACCGAGTTTCAGAGGGCAGTTAGTCACCCCTGACCACACAAATCTTGGCAGACACCCATGTGCAAAAATTGGGCCCAATGGCTCTCGAATATCTGCATCATGACACCCTTGGAGAAATATATTTTCGTATTTAAACTAGACTTTTAATTTATCCCACAAGCAAAGTTCATGTGTGAATCTATTCCTGGTACTGCAACTGAATGCCTTTTTGTTGAACTTAAAACAATGCATTACTTGTTACAATATTTTATTCCATGGGTGAAAATGACATGATCACAAATGTAAATCCAATCACATATTTCAGCACCAGTGTCAACAAACACTTGTCATTCAGTATACAACCATCACTCCTGACCACCACCATACACCTCTGGCCATTCACAGATGCGTTTGTGCTCCTAATGATCACAAACCATATTTCTTTCACACAACAGATGAAAAGATTTACATGACCTTTTTTTCAGCTTAGCATTTGGATATAATAAACTTATGGTTGAACCTGTTATGGAAACTCATTTCATATTCTTTTAACATGTAATCATTCTGTATATACAACACATTTCATATCACAGCTACCTAGGTGGGAGATAATCTATAATCTCTAGTGCTTCTATTGACACAACACGGACAGTCACATGACTTAACATCTGCAGGTGATGAGACCATCCCAAGCAACATCTTAAGGTTAATGGATGTTTTCTTGATTCAATACAAACATACATGTACCCGACATGTCTTTCCAAGACTTGTGCCTTATGTTATGCCATGCCACTAATATACTACTCGCACAAAAATCACAACTTTACTTAAACGTAGATTTATAATTGTATCCATTTAAAACTGGATAAATAATATAATAACCCCTCTTTAGGCAAACAACCACCTTATGCACTTGATACAATTTAGCAAATCATGGACAAATAAACACCTGTCAATAGCAGGTCCACAAGATGCAATAACATACTGAAACCTAGGATCCATAATAAACTTAGGCATTTAAACCAAATTTGACCCCACATAGTTTTCTATTGAATCCATGATTTGATCCTTAGCCAAGTGTGAATATTATATAACAGTAAATCCCCATTTTCGACAAATGGCTGATGAAACCGCGCTTGACCAGCTGGGGTCTTCTCACCTGGCTGTGCTGCGTTTCATCTGAATTTGAACCCAAACGGACAATACTTCAGCTGTACTACTAGAACAATTGTTAAATACCACCTGATTTGTTCATATTGCTACAGTTAATCATTCCTTAATTCGTACTTCTCAGGGCGGTGGGGTAGCCTAGTGGTTAAAGCATTGGCTCCGATTCCCCACATGGGCACAATGTGTGAAGCCCATTTCTGGTGTCCCCCTGCCGTGATATTGCTAAAAGCGGCGTAAAACTAAACTCAGTCAGTCGTACTTCTCAGTGTTGCCGTAAACCTTTCCATGTTTCTGGAGCCGTCTGTACAATGGCTATGTACATATCACAAACAATGACACACTAAGGGCTTCATGCATAGATAACATTCAGAAATTGTATACAATAAATAGGATCTTAATAGCAGAGGTAACACAATGAATATAACATGCATTTACAAATAACACCCCTTTATGGAATTGGATATAAATATGTACTCAATGATGCGAAATAAACTATCAGCATTTGATCTGAGTTTGGTGAAGTAAGTACCAGGTCAAGATTCCTCACGAAACGACCTTGAACAGCTGGTGGTGAAGGATGGATTAAAGAATTCACAAAAGAAATTAGGATAAATTATGCAAACCCACTAATCGGGAGATTAGTTGATATTGCCATTCTCTCTGCACTGATAATCTGTGTTTGTAAAATACCGGGCACATCCATCTTGAATTATCTGAAGGAGGCATCAATGGTATACATGTTGCCATGACAAGACAATTACTGAGGGAACACCAACATCACTGCAGACTTTGGAATTAAATATGGCAGCTGTTGAGTTTCTATGAGGTCTCAATCTTTCAAAACTAGCCAGTGTAAATTATTCAAGGAAGCAGCTCAAATCTTGCAACAGGCTAAATATGTTCATTTCACAATAATGAACATATATAAGTTACCTGAAATGTTATTACTGGTGTAAATAATATTTGCACACGTCACAAACCCTTTACACAAGAATTGTCTGCTTTAAAGCAATAAGATTTAGATTACAACCATGCTCGCCATTTGATGGCAATTCATATCCTACACCAGTCAAACACATACAAGTGTTACATTTGGGAACCTCATATGGAAGCATGCTTAAAAATTTATTCTTGCGCACATTGAACATCACATGGAAGACGTTGATACTTGCGTACCTCCATACAACACCAATCGCTAGGCACATCATTTACTGCGCAAATGTTGTAGCAGATCAAAGTCTTCTTTGCAAAATTGACAAGTATAGGGTTGAATGAATAGGTTTTCAGAGATTCATCTTGAGCTGCTCAGAGGCCAAATTCAGCCCACTAATACTGCCAAAATCCTACAACACATGTGGCCATAAAGATTTGACCTGTAACAACCAAATGGCCAGGATTTTAGCCGAGTGTCCTATTTCAGTGCCAAAATCAACATAATTTCGTTTTGATTTCAGCAGAATTTCATTTATATCTTTTTGTCTCAAAGACAGTGCCGACAAAAGGCAGAAACTTAGTCAGAGATTCACACCCATTATCATGGGTTACTGGTACATACAAGGGAGGTAACTCTAACAATGTGTGGTGACCCCATTTCAAGATGCTTGCCCTTTTTGCCATTGTTCAAACCATAATCTGCATATGAAAACACCAGTGCCTTTATGCCTGTTAGTAATTGCCATTAAAGAAACTGCCATGCTAGCTCCCGATTTTAAACAAATGAAGCAAAAATTAACTTGAGTATGTTCAAAAAACATGAATGAGAGAAAAAAATTGCAAGTATAATCAAACTTAATTTGAATAACAAAGATTTTTATGTTAAGTAACATCAGTAAAGGAATGACAAACCAGTGTCTGGACAGTTTGATTAAACTTGCCATTGGAGTTCGACAACGCCTTGAACAAAGTTTATTAAACAGTGGATGAAAAATCTAGGTCCAACATTCAATCCTACTGGCTCTGAAAAATTGCTTTTTATGACAACCATGAGATCATAGCCAAACAATACATAACTAAAACAAATACACAGATGTAATAAGTTATTTTTATGTACAGGTATTATGCATCATTTCTCTGATTTTGATAACAAATTAAACCGCATCGGTCAATGAGAAAAATTAGTTTTGCGGAGTCCAGTATATATACACCATTCACAACATACAAGAGGTATGAACTCCAAATTTCAATTCCTTACATAAATTAAAAATAGAAAACTTTAGAACAGCATCTAAAAAAACAAGTTGATTTCATTAAAAAAGGTAAGCTAAGGGGTATAAAAATAATTCAAGAATTAGTATTAATGTACGGTAAAAATGACTCTTAAACAGTTGGAAAAAACCTGCTGCACCTGCTACCATTAGTGCATGTAGTTCCTGAGTTCTGGAATTAAGATCATTTGAACACATGGAAGATGTCTCGTAAGGCATGTTATTTTTGTAGTAAAACAATAATTCACTTAAAAAGAAAATTCTCAACCAAAACAATACCCCCAACAATCTTAACTCCACCATGCCAGTCTAAAGGTATAAACCTTCCCATTACTTTGGGAGAATAATAATTTAAAGAAAAGGGCAGCAGTCTTTAAAACGTGCTGCCATACAGCTTGAATATTGTGGAGTGCAGCGTAAATCTAAACTCACTCATTATTAAAAGGTTTCTCTTTATCTCATAAATTTTCATTTATAGTTATCATTGGAAACAAAAATTAAAAAATAAAACTCCTTTAAATCAAACAATCATTGAATCTCAGAAAAGTTTTAAAAGTTTAGTTTAAAATTTCAAGAATTAAATCAAGGTCTTTTTTAACCCAAAAGAAACCAAAACCAGCAAATGCTTCCCATGCTGAGACTCAAGTCAAATAGCACACACTTCAGACAGTCGAGCACTAAAACAAAACCAGTGTGAAATGCTTCACTACACTGGGCCCCATGTTTTACAATAGTAAGACACACAGGAATTGGACAGGTAAAACAGTAGCACTAACACACAGTAAATTCACAACAAAACATAATTCATTTTCACTTGGAGATAGAAACAAACAGTAACCCCTGGAGACCTTTGTGTTTCTCACCATTCCCATCTGGCCATGAAACAAACTTAAAAATAAAACTTTACCAAAAAGTGTAAAATATACTTGTATAAATTTCAGGAAGTGATCACAGCCATTTTTTGTTCAATGTTTCTTGAAATCTTTCGAAATACTGACATAACATCCGAAATACACAAAAACATATTTTATCTCTGTTATTACTTTTAATAACCATTACAACTATTAAGGGAAAAAAAAGCCTTACTGATTCAAGTTCAATATCACAACTAATTCTTATATATTCCATACACTCAAAGCTGGGTTAAATTTGATCTTCAGGAACCAATGCGTGTCGTCTTACTCCAGTTGTGCATATCCATGCTCATGTCAATCACTGGATTGTCTGGTCAAAACACAACTTTACAAATGGCAGTTCCATCCCTGAATATTCTGGAGTGCTGCATTCAACAACAAATAAACTCTCGGAGACTCGGTTGGACTAGATTCAAATATTTCGCCTTATCTTTTAGTTCTTGCTGACAACAGTGAGTGAGTTTAGTTTTACGCCGCACTATTCACGCCGCACTCGGCTATATGGCGGCAGTCTGTAAATAATCAAGTCTGGACCCGACAATCCAGTGATCAATACCATGAGCATCGATGTTCGCAATTGGGAACCAATGACGTGTCAGCGAGTCTGATCACCTGATCCCGTTAGTCGCCTCTTACGACAAGCATGGGTTACTGACAACAGTTCTCAGCAATGTTTTGTTCACTTTGTTTGTCCAGTGGTTGATAACATGAGCATCGATCTACGCAGTTGGGATAAAATGACATGTATCCGCCAAGTCAGCGAGCCTGACCACACACTTCCGTTAGTGGCCTCTTTCGACAAGCGTGGGTTGCTGAAGACCAATTCTAACCTAGATCTCCATGGGTTAGTTTTCATGTAAGTGGCTGGTCTCAAAGTGAAAATGACAACAACCAAGAAATTCAGGCAACCAGGAATGAAGATCTCCAGTCAATAACACAACATTCACACACTGATGCAAAGCCTTCACAGGGTCATACACGGAAATATGCCAACAGGCTTCTGGGGGATAGGATTGTCACAAACAAGAACTCATCCTGTTCCTCATGAACAAATATAATTCTGTGTGATGCAAAGACAGACGGGGAAGACGGTAAATGAGACACATTGTAAGTACTTGATGAAGTCCCCATCCCAAAACGGTTCCTACCTTTTTTCAATTACCTGTATTTACCCTTCTGTTCAATGGTAGATACAGGTAACTGTAATCTGTCAGTTTGAGGAAGGCAGTAACACAGTTAATGGTGATGAACGAATATTTCATCCTGAGAGTGAGATGCTCCTGTTCTCAAGCCAAAGAGGGTCTCGTTAAAACGAAATTGTCTTGAATATAACAAGAGTGTCATGCGTCTGTCTGTGATTTGTGGAGACATCGAAACTGATACTGTTTGAAAATGCTTCAAACTTCGAACAGCATGTGATATAAATACCTCCAATAATGTCATGAAAAGTTCACAAACACCTCAAAATTGTTTTCAGGAACAAATGAAGATGGGAAACACCCTTAACAATATCTGCCTTGGAATCATTAAGCATTGTAGTTTTCTAACATTATATAAGAAGTCAATCTATCACTGTTTAGAAGTTATAAAGCAGAGAATTAAGTTCAATATATCACCTGGGAATGGAATATGTCTGCACTTTATAAACTGATTGCAATTTGTAAATGTGCACATTTTAATGATTTTGACAATATAGCACATTAACAGAGAAATGTGTTACAATTGTTTTACAACATGGATAAACTGTTCAATCCTCATTATATTTTATGTAAAACTGATGCCATAGTTATTTCCTTGTAAATCTTCATAGTAATTTCTGAATTTGGCACTGTAGTTAAACAAGAACATGTTTTGTTACAAAATGCACACTAACCCCTCCCTCCTTCCCACAGCGAGGAGACAACATGAAATACTCATCACAGAAAAAGTTACATTCTTTTAACATAAGTTAAATACTTAAAATATAGACCATTGGATAGGCTGGACCTACAGTTAAGATGTAACAAATAAGCAAAGGGATCTTAGCGCTACGACTATGGTGAGCCAATGTTAAAGCATAGGAGTTATGATAATCTTAACGCTAAGACAGCTTCATGCTACTGGGCCCAGTTCTTCTAATCATTCCATTTTTGAACTGCCAATAAATTATTAAAAAATTCAGTGGTAAACAACAATAAATAATTTTCACTTTTTCAACTTGAACGTTTCTTGTTATGTTTTGGATGAGCGAAGCCATTGCCTGCATGTTTTTCAGTGTTACTGTCTCTGGTTCTGCTTGGACTCTTGACGCTGGAACTTTTCTCTTTCGGACTTGCTGTAAACACAACTGGTTCTGGAGACAAGTCTAAGGATGGGCTAGATGGGGAGCGTGGACTTGTCACTTCTAAAAATTTGAAGGAATTCAGACTTGATGTGGGAGTCGTAAGGGAGAAGGAGAAAGGACTCGCTGATCGTCGTTTCGCTGCGTAGCTATAAATAGTACTGGAGGATATGTTTTCGGATGATCTTGATTTTTGGCTGCCATTGGGGAACTGAACTGCCGTCTTTGTCCAGAGAAAAGGGGGCTAACTCTGCCTGAGCCATGGTTTGATGAGTGGTCAAAACTGGACGAGGAACTGGACTGTGAGAACGCCATTAGGGTAGGAGATCGAATCTCGAGTTTGGGCATCTTAGGTTGTGAGGCAAGAGGGTCTGCTTCAAGGCTCTCCTCTGCAAGACGTGAGGCTTGGTCTACACATGATTCTGACAGACTTCGCCGCTTGCTGTTGCTCAGGCCAGTCTCAACCAATTCCTGAACATTTCTGTAAAAAGAGTTTTCCTTGTAAAATATGTTTTCTTAGAACAAATATGTCATTGTGATAAGCAATCAGCAAGTTGAGGAAGAAGAGTTTTTGGTGACATGAAGTTGAGTTAAATACAGATAAATCAATATAAGATACAGACCTGTGAAGATTTTGGTTTGAAGTGGTTCCCAGGAACCCATGCTTGTCGTAAACAGTGACTAATGGGATCAAGTGATCACGTCGTTATATCCCAATTGTGCAGATTGATGCTCATGCTGTTGAGCACTGGATTGTCTGGTCCAGATTTGATTACTTACAAGAGTGCCGCAACTATAACAGGAATTTTGGTGAGTTGTGTCAAACATTGAACCATTATTACCCGCCAATGGAATGTTACCAGCGGTCTAGGAATACTTGACTCTGGACCAGACAATCCTGTGATTGACATCATGAGCATCGAGTTATGCAACTGGGATACAATAACATGCATCATCTAGGTCAGTGAGCCTGACCACCTGACCCTGTTAGTCACCTCATACGACAAGCATGTGTTGCTGAGGACCAATTCTAACCTGGATCTTCACAGAGGTGAGGTGAGGTGAGGTGAGGTGAAATTGGGTTTAACGTCGTGCTTGAGAATACAGTCAGGCCGCGGTAATCCGGTCCTTGTTAATCCGAATCCACCGACTTCCGAACGCTACTCACTGGGCACCAAATCATCTCCCTATATATTGTATATAATTGACACCTCGTTAATCCGATGATTCAGTTTCCACCTCCGAACGCTGGTCAGTCGGAACGGATTGGACTAATTACGTTGTAAACAGCTGCGTTAATCCGAACGATTGAAGTTGACCGCGCTGACTGACTGGTCCACCCAAAGTGACAAGTTGTTTGTTTAGCGACTACAGACTCGGACACATGCTTCGGCAGCGGGTCCACAATAACATTGTCAAAGAGCAAAGTAACGATGTTTCGAGGAATTCATTGAATAAATTGATTAAACTAATGAATAAAATCAACTAAATATATACATGAAGGATTTTGGTCACAGGTCATAACCTAGCACGATACGTCCAATAAGTTCCATAATTTACGTATAGGTAGCGATTTCTTGCTTAATATGTTCAAAATAGCATTATTTTACCCAAAACTTTCGTCTAAATCTAAAAGTTTTCGTTTACGAGGACGGTATCCATTGCCGTAATATAATTGGCTGCCTTAGGTCACGTGTCTGATTTTGACCAATCACGACCCTTATAGCAGACTGTAGTCAAAAAGCGTCATTAGAAACCAATTTGTATCCAATAAAATCGCTTCTTACAACTGTGAAAATACTCTCGCAAGGGTTCAGTGATGTTGTTGATGTTCAGAGCTTTCGAATGATACCCGACATCAAACGATTCGCCTCCCATGTTATTCATAATGATGCTTCAAAACGCAGGTATTTTCCGTTGTTATGTCATGTTACCGAGCGGAAAGCCACAGATATCGGGAAATAGGCAACCATACATATTATTTAAGAAATCTTTTTATAATAATTTTCTGATGACGTAAAAATGAAAATATAAACGAAAAAGGCACGGGCATGTTATGACATGTCACAAATGGAAAAAATCGCCTTAGTTTTTGCTTCTTTCGTGGTTTATCTGGACGTTATAAATGTAAGCTTGCATTTTCATACAAAAATAATTTTATTTAAGTTGTAGTTGTATCAAGGGGAAGTAACTCGGTGCATATACTGTGGTTTCAGCAGTACGAACGTTTCACTATCCGAACGGTTTTTTTTAAAAACCAAAGTGTTCGTATTAACGAGGTCTGACTGTATTTCGCTCATATGACGACGTGCATGCGTGTGTGTGTGTATGTGCGGCTGCTTGTACTAGCCCAGACTTAAGCTGGTTTTATACTGCTAGCCCACTGAGATACCATGCCGCAGTGAAGCATGAATACCCCACTCAGACACATTATACTGACTCCGAGCCAACCAGTCCTTGCTGTACCCATTAATGCCGAACGCCAGGCAGGGACCAACAAGTACCATATTTTAACATCTTTTGGTATGACGCGGTCGGGGATCGAACCCGCGACCTTCCGCTCTCCGGGCGGATGCTCTAACCACTACATCTTCATCTTCACAGATCTATGGGGTACTGAATGAGGTCCTGAATATCAGTTTACAAGATCTCAGACCTGTTTTTGTTCCGGAGCCGGACCCCTGTGCTTGTAATGATCTCCACCCGAAGCTCTTTGTCCTTGGGAGAGTTGTCTTCCCCTTGCTTCTGCTCTTTGCTATTCACTTGATTCCCTAAGGACCGTCTTTTCTCAATCTTGAGAGGAATGTCCAGCTCATTGCTGCCGCTGAAACCACTCATGTAAACCTCCTTGTCTGGAAAGAAAAGTTACCAACTGAAAGCACCTTTACTTGGGATTCCAAACTGAGCGGAATTAATTGATTCTACTTATAGACACGATAGGACAAGACTCATTCAGTATTATGATTTACTCCAATAATAGTTCTCCCTGCACTTATAGTGAAATATATTACCTGCCAATGAAAATTACCTCCACTTGCAATATTGTATCTACACTGGTGCAGCCTGGATATAGTGAAACCGATCCCTGCATCACTTCTAAGATCATATTATGGTACTAACTGGCTAATCTGCTTAACTTTTATAATATCAAGAACTTCACATTAGAGATAGGCATTTCAGTCAAAAGCACATTTTAATCGCAAGTAATATTCCTGCTTTTTCAACTAACACAAGGAAAGCAAGTGATTCTGATCAAACTATGCATGTGTTTGCCCAGCAGTGAATTGGACCTCTTAGGATAAGATGGTAATGTAACATGTTATATCTGGGATGACAAATCGTTTCCATGGAAACAGAGAAAAATAAAAATGGCAAATAGCAAAAGGCACCATTTCAAGATCTGTTTGATATATCTACCAAGTTTTGTTGAAAAATATTGAACGGTTTTTGAGTTATGCTCCGGAAGCGAAGCCCACCCCCTTTAAGACTAAGTCCAAAACGTTTCCATGGAAACCGAGAAAAATAAAAATGACAAAAATCTGTAAATAGCAAAAGGCACCACCTTAGGCTCTGTTTGATACATCTACCAATTTTTGTTGAAAAATATTGAACGGTTTTTTAGTTATGCTCCGGAAACAAAATGATTACAGACGGACAAGGTGTCAAAAATAACAAGTGATTCAGCTACTAACCTTTTCCTGTCAGGGGGCAGCCAAGGACGATTGATCTCTGGACAAGGACGTAGAGAGCTGTATTGGCTACTTTCTGCTGACCATCAGAGGCTGTCTCGCTGCCTGTACCTCGCTTGACGGCATCGCGGACCTGCGGCGCGATCAACTCATTCCACATGTCCTTGACCCACCTGGAACATTGGACAATGGTGTAAGAACTGGGAGCGGGTAGAATCTAGGACAAGGTCACTGGTCTTTAACATAACAACATAATTCTAAATATGATGAGAGAGAGCATCGCTTAATGTCAGATTCATGTCATATTGCAGTGTCTCAAGTTGAGTGAGTGAGTGAGTTTGGTTGTACGCCGCTTGTAGCAATATACCAACAATATCACGGCAGGGGACACCAGAAATGAGCTTCACACATTGTACCCATGTGGGGCATCGAACTGGGCCTTCAGCGTGACAAGGAAACCTTTAACCACCACCGCCCCGTCTCAGTTTGATGTGGGAGGTTTATAATAATAATTTATTAATAACATTTACCACTTTGACAAAGGTCACGAACATCCAGATCTGCCAGAAATCACTTGCCTTTCTTTGTGCACACCGAACTAGTGCACTTCAATGGATGGGCCACATGAGACCCATTCAATATATTCAATACACACAGTAATAAGGTGATTATAGCAACTGGGTCCTGTAAACTGATTATATTTCTGCAACTTCTTTACGAGTAACTATTTCGCTGTTTAGCAATATATCACCCAGGTAAAAAGAATGGACTCACAGATGGTACCAGTGTGGGAATCAAACTCAGGCCTTTGGCATAATGCTTGAACAAGAAGGAAACTCCAACACAGTATACTGTTTGTTGTTTAACGCCGCACTCAGCAATATTCCAACTATATGGCGGCCTTCTGTAAATAATCAAGTCTGGACCAGACAATCCACTGATCAACAGCTTGAGCATCGATCTACGCAATTGGGAACCGATGACATGTCTCAACCAAGTCGGCGAGCCTGCCCACCTGATCCTTTTAGTCACCTCTTACGACAAGATTGGTTGCTGAAGACCAATTCTAACACAGATCTTCAGGGTCTGACTATTGTAAATATTTCTATTCTACCCAAGAATCAAGACAAGGAACATTTGACAGATGAACTTACTGCAGTACAGCCTCCTGACTCAGCTTCTCCAGGGGACACTTGAAAAACAGACAGGGACCGAAGGCAAGATCGGGCAGTCCCAGCTTGGTGAGGCTGTCGTTGAGTCTCTGCCACAGGCAGATCACCCACTCGGCACAGCGGAAGACAGGCTTGTCGGGTGACGGCAACTGCCCCCCGTACAGGTGGAGGAGGCGACGGTGAATGTAACGGGCAAGATGGTTGCGGAACGGCTCCGAGTCAAGGCGAAAGTGAATCCAGCGGAATCGTTGTTGAATGCATAGGTCAAGGCCAGTTGATCTGAGGACGAAAGAATATGAGGAGTCATCAAAATTCATACTTGTCTACAGGCCCAAGACTATTTCATGGATTTGAGGACAAGCTCAAGTCCAATGATGGTGGTCCTCATCAACTACAACCATTTGATTCTGAGCCTGTTCTTAATGCTTCCATTTTGCCACAAATGAGAACAAAACAGAACTGACAGAAAGATAAACAGTACTTATTATTGTCTTTTTCAAGCAGGACTAACTACATACACTGAAACAATGTTTAGACTAGTCCTCAGAAATTCAAATGTTTTTTAGGCAATACTCCGCTTGTTGCAACCATAGGACTTAAATTGGCAAGAAATATGTTTTTATTTAGATGACAGAAGCCAGAGATTCAATATTAAGGTATAGCTTGCATCATTGTGACAGATGTGATCAAACACAGGTTTTGTTAATTCTCATTAGGAATTTGATCCTTTATACTCATTTCATATCGATAATGTCAAATCTTTTTTATTATGAGGAACACAACATTTCAGAGTATATTCTTACTCTTTCATCAGATGTATCAGATGAGTATTTGGCCTGATGAAGGAATAACAAAATACTATAAAACAGAAGTTGACATCCATAAATTTTCACCTTGTATGTGTATAATTTCAAAATGCCGTTCAAAGACTTCATATCCACAGTCAATGATTTGAAAAGTGAGTGAGTGAGTATGGTTTTACGCCGCTTTTAGCAATATTCCAGCAATATCACACCAGAAATGGGCTTCACACAAAGTACCCATGTGGGGAATCGAACCTTTGGCATGACGAGCGAACGCTTTAACCACTAGGCTACCCCACCGCCCAATAATAATTTGAAAAGATATGAGGAGTCACAAGTGAACACTTGAACAGGCCAACAAGTGAGTGAGTGAGTATGGTTTTACGTCGCTTTTAGCAATATTCCAGCAATATCACGGCAGGGGACACCAGAAAGGGGCTTCACACAATGTACCAATGTGGGGAATGATCAGATGTCAGCTTTCCAACAATCCAGCTGGCTTTCCAACAATCCAGCTGGATTTTTGTTGTAAGATGTTGGGTGTACGATTTAGGTATAACTCAGAACAAAACATAAATAGCAACAACGATTATGAGATAAATGTGGGTTTTTTATGAGAAAACTGTAGTAAGATAATACCTTGTTCTGTTCATGGTGGCAAGGAGGTAAAAGTTGTCTGGCAAGTAGTAGCTATCACTGTCATCGTCAATGTCACTGACGGAGCCCTCTGCAGCAGAACAGTGTAGTGTAAACATATTTTATTCAAAATAAATTGAACAAGGATCGTAAACAAGCCATAATGACTTATTTGAATACCTCTCAATTACATTAATACATGAATACAACAAATATTATCTAATATGCAGCATAGGGAAAGCAAGCAACCTGCGTATTGAACATAAGTATTCATTTATCAAACCTATGCGAATTTATGATAAAAGTATGGACAGATTTTAGTATAAAAGAATTTATAAGTTTATTTTTGCTTGGATTTCCATTTAAGACAGAACTTAAATTATATCCCTGTATATAAAAATACATGTGATATCTGATATTGGAATAATTAGGACAAGTAAAGAAGTGATGTAAAGAATCCTCACAGGGGTGACCATAGGAGCAGGATGGAGCAGAACAGTGTCAAAATGAAGATGAGAAGAATGAGGAATGGCCAAATTTTTGTTAACTTTTAAGATAAATTTCTACCCCTGCTCTATTTCTGATTTAAACTCACCTTAACACATGGTAAAAAAGTGAGATGAAAAAATGGAGTTTAATGTCGTATATAAGATAAAAGCATTTATATCACAATGTGCATGCATGTAAACTGCCCTACCACTGTTCAACATGGCTAACCATCTCAAGTCCCTGTGTACTGTCGCAAAATGCTGAATGTAGCAACCAATCCTTATATCCCATAATGCTGAATGCCAATCAGTGTAACAATCCTTACAATCTTTTAATGTCACAAGAAACCGGTGGTACCATCGTCCCTCATTTTGTCGGTCAAGGTACAATAAGAGTTACCATTTTGTTTGTTTGTTGTTTAACGTTGCACTCAGCAATATTCCAGCTATATGGCGGTGGTCTGTAAATAATCGAGTTTGAACAAGACAATCCAGTGATCATCATTATGAGCATCGACCTAGGTAGCTGGGATACGATGACATGTGTCAACCAGTAGATTTTCAACTCAGCTCTAAGATCAGCGCAGCCTGACCACCGACCCCGACCCCTCAGTCGGCTCTTATAACAAGTATGGGTTGCTGAAGACAAAATTCTAACCTGTATCTTCACGGGTGCACCTACCTTTAAGTCTAAACGCGTACATCTTCCCACGGTACTCTATAGGATCAAGGAGTTTCCCGAACAGCTGAGCAATGTTGACCTTCTCCATGTTCTCAAGCAGCAAGATGGGTGAGTGCTTGTCAGTTGACTGCTGCAGAGGTAGGATACAACCTGCAATATGCAGGGTGCGTTCAGGAAACATGGGCTTGGAGTGAGTGGGTTTAGTTTTATGCCACACTCAGCAATATTCCAGCGATATGGTGGCAGTCTGTAAATAATCGAGTCTGGACCAGACAACCCAGTGATCAACAGCATGAGCATCGACCTGCGCAATTGGGAACCGATGACATGTATCAACCAAGTCAGCGAGCCTGACCACCCGATCCTCTTACGACAAGCATGGGTTACTGAAGGTTCATTCTAACCCGGACCTTCACGGGTAGACAAGCATGGGTTACTGAAGGTTCATTCTAACCCGGACCTTCACAGGACGACATGCATGGGTTACTGAAGGTTCATTCTAACCCGGACCTTCACGGGTAGACAAGCATGGGTTACTGAAGGTTCATTCTAACCCGGATCTTCACGGGTAGAGAAGCATGGGTTACTGAAGGTTCATTCTAACCCGGACCTTCACGGGTAGACAAGCATGGGTTACTGAAGGTTCATTCTAACCCGGATCTTCACGGGTAGACAAGCATGGGTTACTGAAGGTTCATTCTAACCCGGACCTTCACGGGACGACAAGCATGGGTTACTGAAGGTTCATTCTAACCCGGATCTTCACGGGTAGACAAGCATGGGTTACTGAAGGTTCATTCTAACCGGACCTTCACGGGTAGACAAGCATGGGTTACTGAATGTTCATTCTAACCCGGACCTTCACGGGTAGACAAGCATGGGTTACTGAAGGTTCATTCTAACCCGGACCTTCACGGGTAGACAAGCATGGGTTACGGAAGGTTCATTCTAACCCGGACCTTCACGGGTAGACAAGCATGGGTTACTGAAGGTTCATTCTAACCCGGACCTTCACGGGTAGACAAGCATGGGTTACTGAAGGTTCATTCTAACCCGGATCTTCACGGGTAGACAAGCATGGGTTACTGAAGGTTCATTCTAACCCGGACCTTCACGGGTAGACAAGCATGGGTTACTGAAGGTTCATTCTAACCCGGATCTTCACGGGTAGACAAGCATGGGTTACTGAAGGTTCATTCTAACCCGGACCTTCAAGGGACGACAAGCATGGGTTACTGAAGGTTCATTCTAACCCGGACCTTCACGGGACGACAAGCATGGGTTACTGAAGGTTCATTCTAACCCGGACCTTCACGGGTACATGGGCTGCCAAACAAGCATGTGTTTACTAAAGCATCTGTGATCATTATTCTGCTACAATCATTTCAAGAATGCCTTTCGATAGCCCATATTCAACCTGTCGGTTTTGGCTCAAAAGCGGACTGATGAATTGCAATCTAACTTGAAAACTAATAAACATATAACACTCAATGAAACGCTGATCATAATCAAAACATCAGACCAACTCTGTGAGGGTTTTTTCAGAATTTATGTCCTAATAATAAAAAAGTTGATTAACAAACTATCATTAAAATATTCAAGCAGTTCACTATTTGTTACGAGGGAGGAGTGCAGAGAAAGGGACAGCCAGGTGTGCTAGAAAGGATGGAGACGGCACAGCACAGGTAAACGACTCAATAACTTTGTAGGGACTTGTGCTCATTCTTCTCATACATCTGGCTGTCCCTTTCTCTGCACTCCTCCCTCGTAACAAATAGTGAACTGTGTAAATATTTTAATGATAGTTTGTTAAACAACTTTTTTAATTTTTAAGACATCAATTCTGCAAAAAACTCACAGAGTTGGTCTGATGTTTTGATTATGATCAGCGTTTCATTGAATATTATATGTTTATTAGTTTTCTAGTTACATTGCAATTCATAGGTCTGCTTGTGAGCCAAACGGACTAAAATAGAATGAGCAACAGTGATACTTAAACATTACCTCACGCAGACTATGGTTATGTAACAGGCATATGCCCCACGTCACAAGGCCATTGTAACACTATGGCTGTGGAAAACCTGTTAAATTGTGGCAGCTATAATAATCGCAGTGCTACAGTAGATTAGTGAAATTGGACTCTGGGCCTTGTTCCATAAGTCATCATAGTCTTGTGACAGTCCTGGCCTGTGTTCAAGTTAGAGTTCTGGATCATTCATATAGAGTTATGAATATCTTAGTCCAAAAATGATAATGATCGCCCAGGTTTCTATAATCCGTACTCTTGAGTCTCACGTACCTGATTGTTTGAGAAATGAGATAAAGTCTGCGTTTGAGAATCCAGACTGGAGTGACAGTGAGAAGATCTTTGGTTCCCGTCCAGCAGCACGTTCACTTGTCTGGGTAAGACAACATACATATTCACTGATGTACATGTAACATGTTATATTTGGGATTACACTTTCTTAGTACAGCACAGATTCTTGTACTTTGTTGGGTTGAGTCCCGTGCAGGATTCGAACCCACACCCTCAGAGTCAGGCACCTAATTGCCAGCACACAAAGTCAGCCTAACCCGCTCAGCCACCGCACCTTCCACACAAGTACTAGAATCTGTACTGTACTAAGAAAGTGTAATCTCAAATGTAACATATGTTACATTTAACCACTTTCTAAATGGCATTGTGTAATCATAGACTGACTGACTGACTGAGTTTGGTTTTACGCCGTTTTTAGCAATATTCCAGCAACATCACGGCGGGGGACACCAGGAATGGGCTTCACAGATTGTGCCCATGTGGGGATTCGAACCCGGGTCTTCGGCGTGACGAGCCAATGCTTTAACCATTAGGCTACCCCACCACCCCTGTGTAATCATAGATGTAGATGCACTTCATAACAGCCAACTCACACTTTTCTCGTAATAATCACCCTCTCACAATCAACGTATAGTACATGTTACTCCTCAAATTCAAGATGTTTTGCCATAGCCCAATTCAACTTGACCTTTTCTTATTTTCACAACTTGCTGAAATCATTTTTCACATTGTCAAATTAAAATATGAACCCTACAAATAAATTCCTTTCACAAAACTTTCACATATTGAATAGAAGAGTTACTTGATCTGAATTGGTCAGTAATTCATTAAGCCACGGGTCACTTTAAACTGACTTGAAACTATTTTCATTACTTGAGAAAATATGGTTACCAAACTCGAAAATTTGACAGCTGATTATACCTTTTAGTATGTGGATTATAAATATCATATACGGAAATGCAAATATCATCTAAGAATGATAACAGCTTTTTAAACTGTGGTACTAATACGCTTCCATACCCGCTAACAAAAATAGATTGATATCCTAGATCAATCCTTGCCTTACAAAGGCTGTCATTTTGTGCTGGCTTACCGCTATGCACTGTGCCAGTCGCTCTGTGAGGTAGGATTTGCCACTGCCTGCTGGTCCGTAGAACACGACACTCTTGTACTGTTCCAGCTGAAACAGGGGAGATTACTTCCTTCAACACATTAGTATTTGATAATGAGTGGTTTTACACGCAGGGTTTGTGTTGTTTCATGGAACACTAAGTTGTAAGTCATTGATCTGTTAACAACCAAATTTGGACAATGAATTCCAATGATAGATTGTGAACAACCATCTATGCCATCAGGTTACAAAGACACATTACAAACTGAATTACAATGCCTGACCACCTAATCTACATGGTCACATCTTAAAAAAAGGTGAGGTGAGGTGAAATTGGGTTTAACGTTGTGCTCGAGAATATTTCCTCATACGACGACGTGCATGTGTGTGTATGTGTATGTGCGGCTGCTTGTACTAGCCCAGACTGAAGCTGGTTTTATACTGCTAGCCCACTGAGATAGCATGCCGCAGTGAAGCATGAATACCCCACTCAGACACATTATGCTGACTCCGAGCCGACCAGTCCTTGTTGTACCCATTAATGCCGAGCGCCAGGCAGGGACCAACAAGTACCATGTTATAACGTCTTTTGGTATGACGCGGTCGGGGATCGAACCCGCGACCTTCCGCTCTCCGGGCTGTACGGGCCATGACGAAACACTCCAGGCCCGCTCTCCGGGCAGACACTCTAACCACTACGCCACAGAGGCGGTCCTTAAAAAAAGTATGGTAGTTGGAGATCTTTTCTAACCACTATGAAGATATGAGTTAATATTGAATCTCCAGCAACGAATGCTTGTCTGGGAGCTGACAATCAGGATTGGGTGGTCATGCTGATTTAGTTGATACATGTCATGGTATCCCAATTGCACAGATCAATAATCATGATGTCAATCACTAGATTGTCTGGTGAGTGAGTGAGTGAGTGAGTATGGTTTTATGCCGCTTTCAGCAATTATCAAGCAATATCACGGCTAGACACACAAGAAATGGGCTTCACACATTGTACCCAAGTGGGGAATCAAACCCGTGATGAGTGGCCACTATAACTATTAGGCTAAACACCGCCCACTAATTGTCTGGTCCAGACTCAAGCGGCATCATGTAAACAACAAGTGTTTGCCACTGATATGGCTATGTCCCCCGCCGCTAAAGAATGGAATATCGATGTTTACTACTTTTTATTTTTGGGTTACATACAAGATGCCTGAAATGACTGGTGTCTGCATAATCACCCAATGTAGGCTGTCAACATACTTGAAAACATTGGGTGCAATGTTTTATGAGATATCGCCTTTAAAAAGCGGTCAAAGTATCGTGGTGACTTTTAAAGGTCACATAAACCCTAGGGGGTACAAATACATAAATCACTAACTGGCATCGTTATAAATGAAACCCCGTCATTAAAACTACTCATTTCGACCTTTAATTGACTTAAATCGACCTTTTTGACAACAGTACACAATTCTCACCCGCGAACGAAATTTCAACCAATCAGAGCGGCGCGCCTCTGTGACGTCATATGAGGAATACCTTTGAGAGCCGATGCAGAATTCATCTACATTTTAGGGGGTAAATTATCGTGTTTACAGGCTTGTATAAACCTGAAATCGTGACAATTGTTGTGGAAAATGAAAGCTATATGTTCTCACAATCTACTGTCATTTAATTTTGTCTCCTGCTTTGCCTAGTTTCCGAGTTACAACTTGTTTTCATAGACGATTCTGTCAAAATCGATTGGTGTCGCTAGGCCCTATTTGTATAATGACTGATCTAAATTGATCCCATTTCTGTGTTGTTTTACCTCGATATTTAATCATGTCATGTAAAAATCTGTTTGTATTCTCAAAACAGTGTCGGCCCATAAGTTTTCACATGCAATACAGCAATTAATACTCCCTCGTTGTAACCCGTGTTAGGTGGTATAAACCTACACATGTTATTTGTCATCATTCACTTGATGGTCAGTTAATGAATTTATAACAGTTATAATTAGTGGTAACACACTTAGATTACCCGACAAAGGTTCCCATTTGGCATTTCTTGTGTCTGGAGTAAATATTCAACATTATAAACATCGATCAAAGGATTAACCGATAACACGCTGATTGATTAATTACTTTTATCTTACACAGCGGGAATTGTCAAAAGGTAGTGTTTATGTATGTAGATTTACTAATCTATACTGAATACACTCTGTCGGTAATGCGGTGTCAAGTAAAAACAACGTCCTTCTTTCAAAGGATTAACCGGGCAATACATTGATTGATTGCCCATTATTGGCTAACTAAATTACTGTTTTTAAAGAAAGGCGGACATTATGCAATTAGTTGCCAGGTGTGCTATCTTGGGTGACCAATGAGACTATACACCGATACCTGAAAAGATTTATCACTTTTTTCAGTATATTAAACTGTTAAAAGACACATCATTTGGAACAGTTTTGTGGATATTGATGGATACATTCCTCGAACAAGGTAGTGGCCTGATATTGTTCCTATAACTTTAATCTGTTTTAATTTTAATATTTGCATTTTGTTTTATTCATTTGTCGTGAGCATTCAACAGAATCATTGTTTTCGGCTGTGAAGTGTAATGAGACAGACAACATGCACTAGGGTGTGTGTGCGAATTATGATTCACATTGGCAAACTATAAAATGTCTAGATATTACAGTTCTGTTATAAATTCACTATAAGTATCAGCAGATCGTCTGCTTTTATTTAGTTTCAAAATGCATACAAGTGTGATAATAAACTAATTAGGATTATAAGACCAAATATAAAGGCACATTGACTAGTATCTACATACTGGTGAGTGGACATTAACCATGGGAATGTAGCAAAGAAATTTATCGCGCAGTATTGTGACTTCTTCGACCCCACCTCGCCTTCCGTGGAAGAAATCGTTATGTTATAAGTTGTGTCATGCAAAATCCGTTTGGTTATGATTCCAATACATATTTAACAACGAGTAGAAAGTAGTCTTGATTTTCTAACTTGATGAAAACAAACTATAATCTCATTAATTCTAACAGATTTTTATTTTTAAAATGAAAGCCCTCTGTCGGGAACATCCGCCAGTCTGAGGATAAATGGTATTTAGGTTTGTTTTCACCGAGTTACTAAAATCAAAACTACTTTCTACTGGTAGTAAAATATATTTTATTGATAGCCAATAGGATTTTGCATGACATAGCGTATATCATAACAATTTCTCTCGTGGCAGCGCAGGTGGGTGTCAATATAATACTACTTACAATATTATTGTTACTTCGACCACAACCTCACTTCGAGGAAGAAATCGTTATGTTACAAGTTTTGTCATAGAAAATCTTTATGGTCATCAATCATATGCATATTTTACTACAACTAGTAAGTAGTTTTGATTCTTTAACTTCCGTGAAGCGATCTGAACACAAGTAAGATTTCGTTTCAGGCTTCCACAACGCCAAGCCGCACTCACAAACATAACCCATTTAGCACGAACTGCGCGGGTCCTGTGGAAATCTGTGCATGGGGACACCATCGCCCGACCCCTAGGAGCAATTGGCGACAAAGCAACGATTCGGCATGTCGTCGTTGATGTCGAGAAATCATCAAAATGATGAGCGTGCTACACATTTTCTATACAACTAACTGAAAATCGTTCCTCATATGACGTCACTGCAGTGCTCTGGCGACAGAGTTACGTAACCTGTCTGTGGTTTCGTTGGCGGTCGAGAGGGAAGCAGGCGACTTTTGGGCCACTTTTAATCGCTCGGTATTAATTAACCACAAGTTTTTAAAGAATAAATTTGGTGTTCCGCATAAGACTAACCACAAATCTTTCATATGTAATGGTTAAAAGAGTAACAAAAAACAAAGTTTAGTGGTTCTTTAAGACATTGGGTACAACGGTCCATGAGATATCGCGTTAACAAGAGTTAAAAGTGTGAAAAGTGTCGTGGCGATCTTGAAGATAAGGTCAAGGTCACCCAAAATCAACTGGTGTCTGCGTAATCCCCCAATGTATGCTGTCACCAAATTTGAAGACATTGGGTACAACATTTCATGAGATACCGTGTTAAGAAGAGTTTGAAAAGTGTTCAAAGTGTCGTGGTGAATAAGGTCAAGGTCACACAAATCGACTGGTGTCTGTGTAATACCCCAATGTAGGCTGTCACCAAATTTGAAGACATTGGGTACCACATTTCATGAGATTTCGCGTTAACAAGAATCGGGACGGACGGACGCCGCTGAATACACATAGATCGACAACAAACATAGAGAACAACTTACCAGTCGAAGATAGTTCCTAATGGTGCTGAGTGGGTACAGAGTGTCAAACGCCACAGACACAGAGGTGTCTTCACTACCTGCCAAAAACAACATGGCCACCATCAACAATTTGTTCTGACACACTGACTGATATCATATCTTTAACAAAGTCCCAGCATCCCTGAACACATGAGGATCACATCTGGATCAGCAGACTTTAGAAAGTACGGGCCATGACTAAACTCTCCAGGCCCAAATTTAAAAAAGACCCTGCAGTTTATTGTGACAAATAAATAGTGAGGAAATTTACTACAAGGCATTAGGGCCTGTATGTGTTGAAACATGGGCCCAACATAAAACCTACCTGCCTCGGGACCATGGACAGGCATATTTTGAACAATGATATCCAAATGAAAATTGTTTAAGAAGTAGTGTTGGGAATTGGTTGAAAGCTAACAATTGATGATTGTTTCAGTACCAATCAGCAATCATCGAAAAAAATTGGTTAGCATCATTTTTTAGATATTCATCTTCAGGTTGTTATTGCAGATCAGTATAAAGAAAAAACATTTGGCTCTCTGTTGTTTTTTGTTTTATTTAGAAACTGTGCAAATTGCATTTACAAATTTCACATCCAATGTAAAATGATGCAACTTGCTACTTTAAAGTGTTGACTAATATATCATGAACATAAACTTCCCAGAGTCTTCAAGAAATAATCAGTCATGACTTTTCAGTCAGTGAAGTGAGTTTTCTAAGAATTAACCATGTTTTCAGGCCCTGACAACATCCTAGATATGTTCCATTGTCAAGTTCAAGTATTTCAAGCTCTTATTACAGTGGTTCCAAAATTGTTTGGGTTCGATTATGAGAAAATGTGATCGATTGCTTGGCAGTCTGGCCACTGCGATCAATCTTTGATTATTTCAATTAATGGGAACAGCACTATTTAGACTGACTGAGTTTGGTTTTACGCGCCACTTTTAGCAATATTCCTGCAACATCACGGCGGGGGACACCAGAAATGGGTTTCACACATTGTACCCATGTGAGGATTCGAACCCGGGTCTTCGGCGTAACGAACCAACACTTTAATCACTAGGCTACCCCACCGCCCCACACTATTAAGCACTACAAAAGCTCACAGTATATTTGCGGAATCCATGAGATACGGTGTACTTACTGTTGAGTGTAACACTGAGGGTGTTGGACGTGTTGTTGCTCACTATTTCATATGGCAGCTTGTCAGAAGGGTTTCCTGGGTTCCACTCGTAGTAACCTGAAACATTATTTAACCTATGTAACATATGTTACAGCTGGGATTACTCTTTCTCAAACCGCCTCCGTGTAGTAGTGGTTAGAGCGTCCGCCTGGAGAGCGGAAGGTCGCTGGTTCGATCCCCAGCCGCGTCATACCAAAAGACGTTAAAATATGGTACTTGTTGGTCCCTGCCTGGCTCTCGGCATTCATGGGTACAACAAGGACTGGTCGGCTCGGAGTCAGTATAATGTGTCTGAGTGGGGTATTCATGCTTCACTGCGGCATGGTATCTCAGTGGGCTAGCACTATAAAACCAGCTTCAGTCTGGGCTAGAACAAGCAGCCGCACATACACATACACACACATGCACGTCGTCATATGAGCGAAATATTCTCAAGCACGACGTTAAACCCAATTTCACCTCTTTCTCAATAAAGTACAGATTAAAGCACTTTTCTTCCTCTTTATTAGGTTGAGTCCCATTCAGGGACTCTTGACACTTGAAATTGTCTAGACTACCAATTGTATGATTTCATGTGATTTCATTATTTCAATTTTTGTGGAGGTTGCAGTGGCTGAGCTGGTTAAGATTACTGACATTGTGTGCTGGCAATTAGGTGCCTGATTCCAAGAGTGTAGGTTCGAATCCACTTTCTAAAAGGCATGGCATTTTTGAATCTATATACCATGTCATAATCCTTGTGTTAAGCAAGATTTAAGTCTCGAGATTAATTTACAGAAACTGTCAAGGGCCACAGATCTCCTTAATTTATAACACTAAAACATTTGCCATCTCCTTGTTGTAGCATATTTCATTTGAGTTAGCATTTATATGTTACCTTAAATCCACATTCAGATTATTTCCCCACTTTACTTTTAGTATCAACAGTAAGCCACGTTGTGACATGCTTTGAAAACAGTAAAACTCAAAAACATCAAGGACAACAGAAACTACTTATTTTCTAACACTTTAGGCTCATGGCATTTCCGAATTGTGACATGTTATGTTTTAGTCATGTCAATTCAGTCATATCAAGTTATATTTTACTGCAAATCCACATCTGGATGAATATTGCACATTAACTGTCAGCATCAAGAGTAAGTTAGTTTAGTTTCACGCGGCTTTTAGCAATATTCCTGCAATATCACAGCTGGGGAACCAGAAATGGGCTTCACACATTGTACCCATGTGGGGAATCGAACCCAGGTCTTTGGTGTGACCACTAGGCTACCTTACCGCCTCTTAGCATCAAGAGTCAGCCATGTTGTAACAAGAGCTTTGAAGACAATAAGACTCGAAAATGTCATCTGGCTTGGCTGTAGGTGTTTTGATGCACATCTACACACGACTCAGTTAATACTTACTAATTTTGAAATGTTTTATACTGGATGTCCCAAGTCCTAGTGTGAAGCCAGAGTTGTCTGTGGGGGACTCCGGCTCCAGACGGTTGATCTTGCGAGTCCGCAGCCCCGTGTCAAGCGTGACGTAGTACGACTCCAGCAGACGACAACACTTCTCCTCCAGCATGCACCAGTTGAAGAACGGCGTCACCTCCAACGTCCCGATCACGTAATGATGATGGCTGTCAGGGTCACTCTCTGATGGAGCCATCTTGGGGATATGAAGCTCCACAGTTACTGAGATTATGTGGTTATTGTTGGCACCTGGGGTGAAAAGGAAACAGCAGCCATTAAAAGTTGTGTTGGCTGAGTGGGTTAGATCGCTGACTTTGTGTGCTAGCGATGAGGTGCCTGACTCTCAAAATCAACCCAACAAAAGTACTAGAATCTGTACTTTACTGAGAAAATGTAATCATAAATATAACAGATGATGTTTCTGGTGAATAAATGATGAAGAATACTGCAAAATACGCACACAGAACCCAATGGGTAATTTCTGCATCATAAAATAAAGTATTGCACTCCTCTCTTTTGAAACATACTATTCAGACTTGAGGAATACAATATCACCTGTATCAGAAACTATACACCATGGTCCCTATCTACAAAGTATTTCGTATATCATTACGACCTATCGTAACTCTATGGTTCATCGTAAGTTAACAAGAGTCATCAGAAGATGGTATTTGCCTCACATATCTGCCAAGTTTTGCTGAAAGATATTGAGAAGTTTTCGAGTTGTGCCCTCCGGAAACGAAACCCACCCCTCCCTTTTGGGACTAAGTCTGAATCGTTTCCATGGAAACCCCACAAAAAATAAAATGCCAAAAATCTGCAAATAGCAAAATGCACCACTTAAGGATCTGTTTGATATATCTACCAAGTTTTGTTGAAAATTATTGAATGTTTTTTGAGTTATGCTCCGGAAACTAAGCCCACCCAAGCTTTTGGGACTAAGTATCTTTCAAGTTTTGTTGAAAAATATTGAACGGTTCTTGAGTTATGCTCCAGAAACGAAACCTACCCCTCCCTTTTGGTTTCCATGGAAACCGGGAAAAATAAAAATGCCAAAAATCTGTAAATAGCAAAAGGCACCACCTTAGGTTCTGTTTGATATATCTACCAATTTTTGAAGAAAAATATTGAACGTTTTTTTAGTTAAGCTCTGGAAACAAAATGATTACGGACGAGGCGACGACTATATCCCCCCACATTACATGCCGGGGGGATAATAATGTCATATCGCTATAAACACTTTGTGGACTGTGACAGAGTTGATTAACTAATTTTTACCAGCTTACCTGTTTGGTTGAGATAGTGCTTGCACAGTTTGGAGGCCACACTGAAAGCTGACCTGCCGAGGCGGTCCTTCTTCTCCAGGTCGAGGTTCGTATGTTCCATCAGCAGTTGAAGACAGTCCTAGAAGAGACGTACAGTGTTAGAACACACTTATGATTGTAGAACAGACGTACAGTGTGTGAACATACATACAGTCCAAGAACAGATCTGCAGTATCAAAGCTCGCATACAGTATACAAGTTTCAAGATAATCCAATTACGTCTATAGAGTTCAGTCCCATAAAAACTGTCATGCATTCATGTTCTTCTAACTTCTAACTGACCCGACATGCTTGTCAAATGACTGAAAACAGCAGGACCCTGTTCATCAAAGCAATCATAACGCTATGACAGTCATAAGTCTATGTTAAAGTATGGGAGTTACGATCATCTTAGCGCTATGACAGTCATAAGTCTGTGTTAAAGTATGGGAGTTACGATCATCTTAGCGCTACGACAGTCATAAGTCTGTGTTAAAGTATGGGAGTTATGATCATCTTAGCGCTAAGCTATGTTAAAAATATGGGAGTTATGATCATCTTAGCGCTACGCCCGCTTTGTGGAACGGGGCTCAGATAACCAGAACTTTTATGAAAGAGGGAAGGGGGGGTCCTCTGCATGCTACATATTTCTAATATCGGTTCATATTTAATGAAGGTGTGCTAAGTATGTTGGATATGCCATTTTCTGCAAATCAAACCTTACCAACTTCAAGACCAATACCCTGACCAACCAAACATATGATACGTAAGCATGATAAGATACATAATATTTCAATACACATCAGTGAGAACACGTATGTGACTGACCTCCTTCTCCAGGCAGGCCGCCATGTGAGCCAATGTCCAGCCACCCTTGTCAGCCATGCTGACCACATGTTGGAGAGATTCTGTCTGCTCGTCAGAGTCGGCCATGATGCCCTGGCGTTTAATACTGTGTTGCAGGATGAGCCTGAGACAGTCGATATGGCTGCCAATCACAGCAGTGTGGAGTGGGGTCAGTCCGGACTGAAAAACAACAAAACACGTCAGCCATTAACATCTGCATTCCCATGACAAGTGAAACTGTCTGTCCTTGCAGTTTAAATTGTGGAAGTGAGTGAGTATGGTTTTACACCATTTGGGAGAGGGCTTTCTTAAGTTGGATAACTCGTGCCCAATCCTTTTCTTGAATGAATAAAATATGTTTCAATCAACGCCACTTACAGCAATATTCCAGTAAAATCACAGTGGGGGACACCAGAAATGGGCTTCACACATTTTACCCATTTGGATTATGAACCCGTGTCTTTAGGGTGAAGAGAGAAAGCATTAACCAAACTTTCAGTTACCAAACCACCCCAATAATGTGGAAAATGGATGAGGATACCTTGTCTTAACAGTAGGGTTAATACTAGCATACAGTGCACCCCTGAATCCAAGCAGTACAATCCTGAGAAGTTATTTTGACTTGCTTATTTCCATACAAAAAAAAAAGTTCAATCTTATAACCTAAAAACTGAACCAAAGAAAATTCAGTGAAACTGCATTATCAGTGGTTCAAGGGAGGTTACTCTCTCTCCCTACATCGGACATATGAATGTTGGCCCACATTCAAAACGACAACATTTGAAACGGTGTTGATATGAAATTTTGTGATTTCCACAATTGTAGTGATTGAGTGACTATGGTTTTATGCTGCTCCCACCACCCCTCCACAACTGTGAGCTTCTTCTGATTAGAAAAAACTATACGATTAAAATAAATGATGTCCAGCATTTGGAACCAATCATTTAGCCTACAACTGCAAAGCCGAACGTCACATGTTAAACTTTCTGATTAAGGAAATACATCAGACTTTCACTTGCGGAATCTCATAAGTGATGCTCTAATTAACTGGAGCAAAAGTAGTTCCAGCATGAACTGTATGTGGATATTGTCAGATCTTTGTGTTGAGGTAGGAAGCAGTAGGTTTTAGAATTTAAGATGAATGGAAAAAGTAATCTCAGTAAAACCCTGAAAGTAGCTGTTAATCTTTATAGTCTTATTTGAGTCCAGGCAGTATTTGTGAAGTCTCTCTTCCAGAAAGAACCCACCATGTTTGTGAACAACGGCCGGGCTCCGTGTTCCAGCAGCAAACGGCAACATTCGGCATGCCCCCTGGTGGCAGCGAGGTGAAGTGGTGTCTCATTGGTCTGATTGCCAATGTTCACCACTGCAGCTTTGTCCAGAAGAAGTTTTAGGCAGCTGAAAGATCATCATCATCATCATCATCATCATCATCATCATCTATAGTGACGGGACAGCACAACAGAATTATGGAGCAACATGATGCACAATCACGATCAGTTGGATTACAGACATAAAAATCCTGGTCAGGAGATAAAGAAGTTCTGGATATGTTTTCAAAACAATGGCTATTTTAGATTACATATTTGTTATTCAAAATCAAATCTCAACATATTGCCATCATTTTCAGCAACTTTTCATCGATCTCCTATTGTTTATCCTACATTTTGTTCTTCTGGTATGGCAAAATTTGATTTTGGCATAATACGAAAAATATTACATTACAAATTCATATATTTCCACTTTTCAGCTCTTTCAGGTAAGTAATAATAATAATAATAATATATTTATAAAGTGCCTAATATTCACCATAGAGATGCTCAGTGGCGCTGTGACAATATTAGGGAAGGAAATAGTTCATGTAACTTTACAGAAAGGCAGCAGTGAATAGATGGGTCTTAAGCAGAGATTTAAAAGTTTCTTTCGATGAAGTGTTCCTGATTTCCTTTGGAAGAGAGTTCCACAGTTTAGGGCTGGCACAGGAGAAGGCTCGGTCAGACGGTTGGTTTGGAGATCTGTGTTGGGTGAGGAGACAGTCAGAGAACTGACTGACTGACTGAGTTTAGTTTTACGCCGCTTTTAGCAATATTCCAGCAATATCACGGCGGGGGACACCAGAAATGGGCTTCAGACATTGTGCCCATGTGGGGAATCGAACCCGGGTCTTCGGCGTGCCGAGCCAAGCGCTTTAACCACTAGGCTACCCGCCGCCCGAGAGTCAGAGGAGGATTGGAGACTTCATTGGGGTACATACATACACGGAGATGAGATGTTTGAGATAGAGACACAAGTTTGGCCTGTGCGACCTTCACTCACCTACTATGGCCGTTTGCAGCAGCCAGGTGTACTGGACTCAGGAGGTCGTCCCGGAGAGCATTTGGGTTACCTCCCTTGTCCAACAGAAACTGTAAACAATCTGTAACAATAGTGACTTCTTATTGTATAAATTGACAAGTCATCAAGTAACACACTGTCAATACTTTATAGGTTTAAATTCACCTCGTTCCTCATCACCAGTGATTACTGAGGATCAATTTGTAGTGAGGACAGGTTTAAATTCACCTGATCACTTTGTATTTGCTGGAGTTAGTCAGTGAGTTTGATTTTACGCCGCTATTAGCAATATTCCAGCAATATCATGGCAGGGGACACCAGAAATGGGCTTTACACAGTGTACCCATGTGGGGTATCAAACCCGGGTCGTCAGTGGGACAAGCAAACCCTTTAACCACTAGGCTACCCCACTGCATCAATTTTGCTGGATGTTGCTATGGTAACAAATGACGAAGTAAAAGACACAGTATGTAAAGGAAACTGCAGCTGGTTGCGAATACTTGTGGTGTTTTTTATCACTGGAAATAGTTGCTAATACTTTTGGGGCTTTTAAAATCACAGGAAAAAAGTTGCTAATTTTATAATTTCAATTCTTGTAACTTGATGTCACTAATGTCAACTTTTCAAAGAAAAAGATATCCATGATTTTGAAAAATATACTGGTATCTTCCAAATGTACAGCAATATGTATTCATAAGTAGGCACATCTCTAGTACTTGGGATAATAGTGAGTGAGTGAGTGAGTGAGTGAGTTTAGTTTTACGCTGCACTCAGCAATATTCCAACTATATGGCGGCGGTCTGTAAATAATCGAGTCTGGACCAGACAATCCAGTGATCAACAGCATGAGCATTGATCTGCGCAACTTGGGAACCGATGACATGTCAACCAAATCAGAGAGCCTAACCCCGTTAGTCACCTGTTACGACAAGCATGGATTACTGAAGATCAATTCTAACCCGGACCTTCAAGGGTCACTTGGGATAATAAATACAGTAATGACTTCCATGTGTTTAATAGAAAACGTGGCCAAGGCACTTACGTTCATGTCCCCCTTCGGCAGTGCAGTGAATGGGGGTCGTTCCATCCTTCATCGGTAAATTCACATCAGCATCTCGTTCTACTATAAGCGTTTTGAGAAGGTCAAGGTCACCACATGCAGCGTGTTTGTGTACAGGAGAGTTTTTAACGATGTCGACAGAACAGGTAGAGGATGGGGAGGGGGCAGATACTGGCAACGCTAGACTAAATGAATCACTCGGACTTGCTTCACCTGCAGACAAAAAACGCAACAGATCATGAGACATTCTGGCAAAATATTCCATATACATCATCAGTGGTTTATAGGAAACTGCATCATTTACTGTGAGGAGTGAGTGAGTTTATAGGTGCTTTAAGATATTTTAATTATCTCACGACATGAAACCGCCACCTACCAGCACAACTCCAGTGTCCACTATATCATCATTAGGATTTATTTACGATTTCACCCTCGTGATGGGCAAATCATAAAAAATATTGTGACATTGTGTCAAAAATCAGGTATTTTATATTTTCATAAATTCTGAATTGGTAGAATATAAATTTTGAATACAAACTTTAAAAAATAAATTAATTCAAATGGGAATTCTTTCGGTTATTTACTGCAGACGTTGAGCTGATTATCTACTTCTGAGCAGGTCCCGATAAATCCTGCTTTATCCCGGAAAATCCGGAATTTGCACAAATAATCATAACTGAGGTTTCATTGTTTCATATACGTTTCAGGTAACAAATCCATATGGGATCTGAGGACTGAGTAGGTCTCTAGTATATCATTCTGGAGAGACCAATGAGAACAGGCCATTGTGACCAACCAATCACCAGCGTGGATAGTGGGAATTAATTCTGCCCTTGAATACCATAGGGTTCAAGATATTAGGATTCCCATTACAGATAGACTGAATATACAAAATAAAATTTGTCACGTACCATGTCATATAATTCATAATTATATCACTTACAACGCCATGAAATTGATTATACACATATTTGATGCAACATTTGAGTAATTTAGAAATACAAATGTCCAAGATTCTGACATAAATAACACTGAAGTTTCTCTATCAGTATAATTTCACTGTATGTGTTATAATATCTAATCATTAAAAGGATGAACAAAAAATAATCCTGTAAATATAAACAATGCACTTGAGTCATTATTTGCTGGGAAAAAATATGACTTGGACATTATAACTTGGATGGAAAACAGTTATTCATGATTTCTGAAATTACCATTTCGTGTTCACAACCAATTCAAATAATACACCATGAATGTTTATTGATGCATTTACTTTGGCCTCAAAGAAATGGAAAAATAGATTCGTAACTCTCTGTAGTTCACGTGTATGTTTAACTGTCCTTTGAAAGGGTCAATCCACGAAATGCTCTATGCAAGGTTACATTTTCACGAAACAGACATACATAAGGAAATATTTTCAAAATGGCTGCTGTAGTGGCCATTTTTCGACTTTCATATAATTGACAATATTGAAGTCGTAGTATTGTTGTTGCAGGTGATTCTGAACCAAGAATTCACTGGCCACTCTAAACATGCATTTAGTGGAAATATCATTAAACTGATGAACCTATATGTCCTAACAGAGCATCATCAATCCTAACAGTTTAATTTAGAAAAGTGCTTTCTTCATTACATACAAAGTTCAGTGTCCTCGCTTTCCAATAAGTAACAGATGGACGTACAGACAATTTCACAAGCACATATAAACCATGGGTTCAGGTGAGCTAAAATTTAAGCATAAAAACATGAAAAAGAGCATGAAAAGGCTCAAACCATGAAAACAATGCAAACATGAAAAACAGAACTTCACAAAATTCAAAAAGTGTAAACAAACAAGTAACAAAGAAAGATAGCATTCGAACAGCATAGCAAAACTCCAACTTTGGCAGGGTCTACCAATTTCATAAGTCCTTAAAATTTTACTTAAAAACTACTAAATATAGTCTAAACTTCTAAAGATGTTGGTGATCCTATTTGAATATTTGACATTTCCCACGTTATTTCATCTCAATCCCCAATGCATACACGTTTGTTTGTTTGTTTGTTTGCATGCAATTGTACTAATTTCATTATATTTCAATGCCTTTAAAACACACTGTTATATATTAACAACATACAGACTGAGTGTTGTTTGTTGTTTAACGCTGCACTCCGCAATATTCCAGTTATATGGCAGCAGTCTCAAATAACTTGAGTCTGGACCAGACAATCCAGTGATCAACAGCATGAGCATTGATCTACACAATTGGGACACAATGGCATGTGTCAACCAAGTTAGCGAGCCTGTCCACCCAATCCCGTTAATCCCCTCTTACGACAAGCATGGCTTGCTTCAGTCCAGTTCTAACCCAGATCTTCACGGGTGGCTAGCAAGTAAACATTAGTTGGCAAACATATCTTCCCTAGTAGCGTTTTGAATACTTTCCTGGGTTTTATAGTGTTATTTAGATGTACAATTTCACTTACTTGTTCATTAATAAATATTTTTGTTTGAATGATTCTTGTAGGGGTGATCACATAAAATTATAATATATATTTTTAACACATTCAGATTGTATTTCACTGACCTTAGTTTCAGCTTCTCAGGGCAAATCAGTACAGTAATTCATCTAATAATTTGCACTGGAAATAATACATTTGGTTTATGAACAAAATCTCAAAATAACTAATTTCATTCATACCAGGTTTAGCCAATGTTAAAGAGCAAAACAATTTTCCACATCTTTTAAACTACCATATTTTGTGTAAAGTGCACACTTTTTAAAAACAAAATAAAAAACACACTCCATAGTGAAATTTGATGTTTTTTCCCTATGCCTAGTCATAGACTGACTGACTGAGTTTGGTTTTACTCCGCTTTTAGCAATATTCCAGCAGGGGGACACCAGAAATTGGCTTCACACATTGTATATCTGTGGGGATTCGAACCCGGGATCTTCGGCGTGACGAGCCAACGCTTTAACCACTGGGCTACCCCACCGCCCCCCTAGTCATAGACATGGGCATGTAACACCAGAACACCGTGTCAGCAAATCCAAAATAAAGACGCAGTTCAAGCATATAATTTCACTGTTGGGTAAAGTTCATTGTGTATCTAAACTTAACTTTTTTCTCATCTTTTATGAATTTTATTACAAATTTAATTCAATATTCATATATCAAACTTGGTGAAATAGTGTGTGAAGATATCCATTGGTATTACTGTAGGCCAGACTATGCTACTTATCGGTTTTACAGATCCGCAAAGGGAGTTAATAATATTTTGTAACATTTCAGCTCAAAATGTACAGACATTATGACTGGGTTGGGTGTGTCACACGTGCTCCAGAAATGGGGCAATTTGAAAAACAAATTAATGGGGTACAAATATTTTTTAAATATATAAAATAAGTATACACAATATCAAATGATCTGTGAGGATCCTGAGAAAGGCCACTAAATGCTCATGTCAATCACTGGCTCGTGTAATCCAAACTCAATAACATATGGCTGTCCACATAGCTGTAATACTGCTGTGATAGCAGTTTTAACAACAAACCAAAAATGTAATATAAGAGGTTGTCTTTTTAGAAGAAACATGGTAAAGAGCTGATGACTGTTCTAAACACTTGCTGCTCACACCTGCATCTACATGCAGGAGCTGCACTGTGTAAACATGCAGCCTAATACCACCTAATATCCATAACCAACGCTTGGTGAATAACATCCTTCCTAACGCTGGTGAACCCAAGCACTCCAGCAGTCCCAGAGGACAAGCCTCCCGGTTCCAACTTGCCCTGATGTGTCTAGCAGAGAAGCAAATTCTGGGTAAATGGCCAGGCAGCATATATATTACTCAGGATGCTGCTGCTGCTGCTGATGCTGCGGAGATAGTCTGTCTCACAGTCCCTGAACCACATTATTTTCCCTACTGCCTAGCCCTCCTGCAATGCTAAAGCCCTAAATGAAGCAAGTCTAGATTTCCTCAGGTTCTGAATCTCCCATCTCACTGGGGCTCCTTTTAAATTTAAAAGGAATTATTGGTTTCTATTAAAATTTTATATATTCCAGTAGTGGTGGTCCGATTAATTGAAATAATCGAAGATTGGTCGTAGTGACTAAGCGACCAAGCAATCGATCATAATTTCTCATAATCGAACACAAACAATTCTGGAACACTTGTTTTCATTAACAATATTTTTTCACATGGTTGGTTTTGTCTGTTATATTTTGTAAAATACTACAAGCTCGTTTCAAGTGATGATTGAATGTATCTTAAAGATTCCAAGAAATTTATGTTCCTAACATACTAGTCATTCTTTAAAGATTTGAAAATTTGCCAAAAACCCAAAAGAACTACATGGTTTTTTCCTTATTTTTATGTGCATTAACAAATTTCATAAATGGCGCAAAACCAATTATTTTTGATGATTGATCGGTACTAATGAACCAATCATCAATTATGAGATTTTTAACCAATTCCAAGACTAAGTGTTAGTCTACTGCTGAGATATCTCTGTGTGAACTGTCTAGGTATCATGATCACAAATCTGGATGTCATATCAATACTGAATGGTACAACAGGACATACTTTTCTATATTACTATTTTAAAGATCTCTTTTTGTAAAAATATTGTATTATTTTTATGCTATGGATACAGAGTTTCTATGCTATACTTTTGGATTTTTTTTATGTGTTATGGTCAAAGGTTATTTTTCTGTGGTATGGTTACAGATTTTGTATGTTGTGGTTACAGATGGATTTTTTTGTTATGGTTGCTGATATTTTCATCTTTTTGTCATAAAGTTGGACATCATGGTCACTGATTTTTTATTCTACAGTTTAAGATGTATGATATGGTTTTAGATATTTTATGCTACAGTTAGTATGCATGTTATGGGTACATATTTTTTTCTGTTTGGGTTTCTGTTACAGTTACAGATTTTTCATGTAATACCTAATATTTGTCTGACTGACATACACTTTTCTTCAAATTATTGTTTATAATTACTTGTTTTTAACTACTGATGACCCAACATATCACCAAACATGACTTTTAAGTTTTGAGAATATTCTCCCAACAACCACCAAGAAACCTTTGAAATTAAAATTTAATAATTATATTTTTGTCATATATAGATATTTTATTTCAATATTTATTTTGTAAACATTTTTGTAAAGGTGGAAATTGGGGGTGGGGAAATGGATAAATCAACTCACAAGAAAAAAGTTA